GATTGGCCACTGTGAGCTCAGGATGCTGGACTAGATGGGTCACTAGCAAGGATCTTATCAGCTGTCACTGCCATAGAACTGTAGAGCTGCAGTGGGTTCCTTGTAAGCCATCTAGATCAACCCCATGATTGATGCAGGAAACCAAGATCTAAGGTGGTTGTCCACCTTCTTCTTGAAAACCTCCAACAAGCAGGAGACTACCAACCCTGCTAATCGGTTCCAATGTCAACCTACTGTAAACAGTAAAGAAATTTCTTTTAACGTTCAGCTGAAACCTACCCTTCTGTAACATAAGTCTATTAATTCCAATCCCGTCCTTTGGGGCAGGAGAATAATGTGTACACATTACCACTTACAGTGGCTCCAGCGCCCTCCCATGGCTGGTTTTTGAAGCTGAGTAGACATCATATTAGCCACAATCAATAGGTGTCCTGTAGCCACTGTTCAAGGTACTCTCCCACCTAACCAGCTTTCATCCGATTTGAAAACGGAAGCCATAGTTAAGCTAAAGTGTGTACATTTCAGGCAGCCATTGTGCAGGTGTAAATGACAGCTTCAGTGAACCGGAGTTTGGCGCAGGGAAACAAATTAGATCTCCAACTCCCATCAGCCTGGCCAATGGTACGGCAGGACGACAGCTGTAGCAACAGCTGGAGGGCCTCAGGTGAGCGCACACCTGCTCAGCATCCTTCTTAACATGTGGTGCAGAAGGGCAAACTAAGGCCTTGAATGCAGGTCTTGCCCCCAAGCATGTATAATACAGAGGGCACCACTTTTAAGAGCAAAAGGGGAGAGTGAATGAAGGTGCCATTGTGATCCCACAATCTCATCATTTTGGGTTGTGATGCTATCATTGTAACCTGTACAAAAATATGCCAAATGATATACACAGCAGTCTGCACAAAGTCCATGTATATCATGGTGATTGCATTCTGAACACTTACAACTGTATCATTCTGGAAACAAGATTTGGTAATACTTGCTCTCCCCCTAAAAATAATAATAATAATCCTGGGAGAATTTCATAAACATCAAATAATGTCCCAGTGCAATAATTTTCCATGGAAAGCAAGATATAATTTGTCAGTGTATATGGCGCTGATACTCTTGTCTGAATCTAAAAGAGTGAATATTATTCTCACAGGGCACACAAAATTGTTTTTTGTAGTTTTGTTCTCAGATGATCCAGAACAAACTTTTATTTATATTTCCACGATTTCCAGAAGCGGAAAAAAAAGTTCTGGAAGTGGGCACATATTGTATAGCAAAGTATGGTACAGGTACATGCAAAGGACTAATGTAAGTAGTGTAAAACTACCTCCTGGTAGCGCAATCATTGCCTTTTCTGTTCTACTTCTCAGAGGCTAGGGTCAATGATTAAAGGTAAAGGTAAAGGGACCCCTGACCATTAGGTCCAGTCGTGGCCGACTCTGGGGTTACGGCACTCATCTTGCTTTATTGGCTGAGGGAGCCGGCGTACAGCTTCCGGGTCATGTGGCCAGCATGACTAAGCCGCTTCTGGCGAACCAGAGCAGCACATGGAAACACCGTTTACCCTCCCACCGGAGCAGTACCTATTTATCTACTTGCACTTTAATATGCTTTCGAACTGCTAGGTTGGCAGGAGCAGGGACCGAGCAACGGGAGCTCACCCCATCGCGGGGATTTGAACCACCAACCTTCTGACCGGCAAGTCCTAGGCTCTGTGGTTTAACCCACAGCGCCACCTGCATCCCAAGGGTCAATGATTACTCTCCTCCTAAAGAAATCTCCTTTTGCAATCGAGTTTTGAACAGGTAGAAAAAAGTGGATTTTAAAAAAAATCAAATTCAAGGCCATATAACTTTCCAATCAAAATTATAAATGAAGCAATGTTATTTCGAAGCATAATATTCCACCTATATCTATCATTCCAAACAAAGGAAGCCAACTTTCAATAGATGTGTTCAGTTTCTGGGCAGTTGTGATAATATAGCTGTATCCTATAGTTTAGATCAGGCTTCCTCAACCTCGGCCCTCCAGATGTTTTTGGCCTACAACTCCCATGATGCCTAGCTAGCAGGACCAGTGGTCAGGGATGCTGGGAATTGTAGTTTCAAAACATCTGGAGGGCCGAGGTTGTGGAAGCCTGGTTTAGATGGCCATTGGTGAACACTTGGAATCTTTAAGCAAGGGCAGCCAATCTGCCATCCTCCAGATATTGTTAGACAACAACTCCCATCGTCTCTGACCCACTGAATGTGGTGGCTTGGGCTGATGGGACTTTGAATCCAACAGCAGCTGGAGAGGACCACAATGACTACCCCTGTTTTACAGGTTGACCCTAAGCTACAGATGGGCAGTTTGAGAATTCATCAGCGTTTTAGTGCAAATTTCTCCTAATGTCTATACTTGTTGTATGCCCAATACATACATATTTGCAAAGCATTTCTCCCTAATATAATGCACTTTTGTTGTATTTCATTAATATATGCATTTCTATGCACACTTTTTACCCTAATATATGCCTTGCCGTACACAATTGCAAAATTCAGAAAAGTGTAGATTTTGAAGGATGGATGCATTTTTGTTCAAACATTGTTTCAGAAATTGTAAAATAGGTAGGTTCGCTTTTAAATGTGAACAGAATCAAATTTATCCCCAATCCCTACCTTAAACCACCTCATATTAAAAATAATCATCTGACACAAGAGGATTTACAGATACTGTTTATTTGCCAGACAAAGAAAGGGGGAGAGCTGTTTGATAAGTGGCAGGCAGGCAGTGTGATAGTAATCACATATATGCATAATAATCACAAAGCTTTTCTTTCATGTATATTGAGTGGAAAATAAGAAGTGTAAGCCATTAGTACTCTTTGTTCAAGTTACTACAAAGAGATTTATCAACTGATCCTTATTTAACTTCAGAAGATACAATTACACAGCAGAGAGATGAAGCCATATTTACATGAGAAATACATGTTGGTTTTTTGAACATTTAACAGCTACCCCAAGGATTTTGAGAGTGATAGTTTAGTGGAGTACTGAACATTTTCTGTTATAGAATATTCTAGCTCCTTCTCACAGAATGACAATCCCCTGGGATCTCTGGAAAATGGGAATAACTATTAAATCTGTTCCCACCAGTAGCAACGAGGAGGAAAGTGTTATTTCCACTGGGAACTACAAAAAAGAATATATAACAGTATTTGCTTTCCCATGAATAATTGGAAGCTGTAGTTATCTGAGCTAGGAACAGACAGCATCTTCACCAAACAATAATTCCCAGGCCTCTTTCTGAGACTTCATAATTAAACAAATATAACTTTGATGCAAGCATAGTGCACATATGATCAAAGAAACACAGATGTTCTGTGGGATGCAGGGATGAGGAACATGTGGCCCTCCAGATGCTGTTGGCTTCCAACTCCCACCAACCCCAGTCAGTATAATTCAAAAACCTCTGGATGACCAGAGGTTCCCTACCCCTCATCTAATGTAATGGACCTAAAATGGTTTTCTCTGATCCATTGAGTAATAAATACTATAATGGGAGGAATCAACCTCCACCATCTCACAGGTCAATTAAACTACCTCCAAAAATTGTTAAGATTAAGTTTCTGAACCTGTTCACAAAGGCTAGCATTAGAAACACAGGGTTGCGTTCAAGTAACTTTTACTCAAGGCAGACCCATAAAACGAATGCACATGAAACATGTGTCATACATTTAAAGCAGTATCACACCACTTTAAACAGTTTTGGTTTCTCTTTAAAAAAAATCAAGGGAAGAGTATTTTGTCAAGGGTGCCAAGAGTTGATAGATGAGCCCTATTCCCTTCACAAAGCTACAGCTCCCAGAGTGGTTTATCCACCAGTCTCTCTTCCCAGGGACCTCTGGGGGCTGTCACTCAGTGAGGGGAATGGGATCTCCCAAGCACCCTCAACAAACTACAGTTTCCAGAATTCTTTGGAGGAGTAATGACTTTTTATGCTTTAAATGCATAGTGCAGATGGGGCCCCAGTTAGTCTTGGCCACTGATTTTGATGGATCTACCCAAGTAATGGTTGGTTGAATACAACCCACAGCGTCCTCATATAGCTGCTGGGATTCCAGCACCCAGGTGGGAAGCCCTGCTCATACTACATGGCTGAGCCTGAAGATCAGCCATTTTAATTTCCTACAATGCCCTTGACATAGTGTGAGATTCACCTAATGAGTCCCATCAGCACAAGCCCTGTGTGAGGGCCATCCCTCATGCAAAAGGGCTTTCCACCTTCTTATGCCCCCTGGCACCCCTGAAATTGGGTTGGAGGGCATTAGGAGAACCTCCAGAACAACACACAAGGGGCAAAGAGAGAGGACCATTCCACCTGGCAAGTTGCAATGCTTGTGCTGGTGGGACATTCACCATAGCATGATGCTGAAATCCACCCAGAGTGTCTTCCCTAGGATTCTGGGCTTCAGTATGAATATTATTGACTATTTTAAGTCACCCAGCAAACAGCAAACATTACTAGGTGCAGAAATCTTCATGAAAGGATGGCGCCATATCATGAGGCAAGAGGTTGTCAATAATTATGGGTTGTAACCAAAGTTAGCCCTTCTCAGAGGAGACCCACTGAAGCTAGTGGACACATGACTAACTTAGGTCCATTAATTTAAATGGGTCTACTCTGATTGTAACTTAGTTGGATACAATGCAATGACTGAAATGGTGGGGGTTTCTCAGTGAGGTTGCCTTCTCTGACACCCTTCTCACCCCTATGGCAAAACCCATCATGTAGCAAAAACCCATCACTTCTGTAGTGATGTTCAGAATCAAGGTGTTCTGGACCAACATATATTATGACTTTGGGAGGGGTGGGGGGAGTTAAAAGGCCAAAGAAAGGGAATTCCCTAATGCCAAGATCTCCCTCGTTTTTAACACAAATTGCAGTGATGGATAATAGTATATTGTTTTCCTCAGCAAACAGAAACACCCCCCACTGCCCCTCAAACAATATTCTGGGCCTGAACTTTATCTGATGATGGAGCAGCTTCCTCCATACCCTGTTCGACATCCACTCCCAGAGTTGCGTCTCACGTCTCCACTGCTGCATCCGGCATTAGCGGAAGAAGCGGCGCCAGTGGCGTAGCCACCGTTTGAACACTCAGAGGTGTGGGTCACTCCACAGCCTCCTGTGCTCTCAGTGGTGTAGCCTCCACCAGCTGAGGAAATGCATGGTCCACTTGAGCTGCAACCCCCGCTTCTGGAACTGTATCCTCTGCTCCTAGAACTAAAGCCTCCACTTCCTAGGGATCCTAAGCCACAATCCCTAGGTCCACAGGGAGCCACACTACTGGTATTGCATTGCCCAAATCCAGAGCTCATTGTGCATCTCGAAAGGTACCCTCCACTCCTAGAGCTAAATCCAGCTCTGTAGTTCAGCCTTCCACTTCTGGAACTGAATCCTCCACCGCCGCTGGCACTTTGTCCTTCTGATCCAAGTCCATAGACACATCTCCTTCCAAATCCACCACCTCCTCCCAAGGTACCACCATATGCAGCTCCACCGCCTGGAGAGATGTTGGAGCAACCCAACACAGCTACAAGAGTAGAGGAAAAGAAACAGTTACTCAGACACACACATCTAAGGCCTCTCAGTGAAATGAATAGCATTTTTCAATGCAATAATAAAGGTAAAGGCACCCCTGACTGTTAGGTCCAGTCGCGGACGACTCTGGGGTTGCGGCCCTCATCTCGCTCTATAAGCCAAGGGAGCCGGTCTTTGTCTGCAGACAGCTCCCAGGTCATGTGGCCATGATGATTAAGCCGCTTCTGGTGAACCAGAGCAGCGCACGGAAACGCCGTTTACCTTCCCAACGGAGTGGTATCTATTTATCTTGTTGCACTTTGACATGCTTTTGAACTGCTAGGTTGGCAGGAGCAGGGACCGAACAACAGGAGCTCACCCCGTCGTGAGGATTTGAACCACCGACCTTCTGATCAGCGAGCCCTGGGCTCTGTGGTTTAGACCACAGCGCCACCTGCGTCCGTTATGCAATAATATATAGCTTTAAAGTTACTTACCTATGTTAACTGGAGTAGAACTACATATCCTGTTGAGAAAAGGAAAGAAAATGTTAATATTCCAAGAGTGCCACAATTCTGTAGTAATTGTGGATTTAATAATAGCAGCAGAAGTAACAGCAGTAGTAAAAATGTTAAACCCCCCCCCAATATTTCAGAATTCAAATTATTTTCAAATTTTCTTTAATATTTCCTAATCTCACTTTTGAAATGTGACTTTGAGGAATAGTGAATAATTGAAAGACAAGATTTTTGTGTAAGCTTACTAGGTTCAATCATATCATATATTATTTGGCCACGTTTCAAAACTTAGTAATAGTGAAGAATCAACCACACATTATTGAGATAACTTGATAACAGGATTTCTTCCTGGATTCCAGCTGATTAATTCAGCATCTTAACCCAAGCACTTCCTGAGGAGTGATCCTTCTATGATGTAGTAATCTGATCTATTCATTTATTCTGTATTCGTTTTATCAATGCAATATTATTGTTGACTTTAGGTTGTTCATCAAAATCTCTATATTTACATTTCAAAGAGCAATATAAGCAACGTTCCAGCAAGGATGTATGAGTATTGCATGGGCGCTAATTTTTCCCCCACCCACCTGCTCTCTTCTCCTTCCAGAAGTGACCTATACATAGCAATCTCAATGTCCAAAGCCATCTTGACATTCAGCAAATCCTGGTAATCCCTTAGCAGGCGGGCAAGTTCATCCTTAGAGCACTGCAGGGCATTCTCCACCTCCGCAAGTTTTGCCTTGGCATCCTTCAGGGCACAATCTCCACGCTGCTCATTGTCAGCAATAGCTGTCTGTAGTACATCAATCTTCAAAAGGCACAGATAAAGAGAGAAAAGAGTTGGTCCATGAATAATAAATATAAAATAATAATAATAATAATAATAATAATAATAATAATAATTTATTATTTATACCCCACCCATATGGCTGGGTTTCCCTAGCTACTCTGGGCGGCTTCCAACAAAAGATTAGGTAAAGGTAAAGGGACCCCTGATCATTAGGTCCAGTTGTGACCGACTCTGGGGTTGCGGTGCTCATCTCGCTTTATTGGAGAAGGGAGCCAGCGTACAGCTTCCGGGTCATGTGGCCAGCATGACTAAGCTGCTTCAGGCAAACCAGAGCAGCGCACGGAAACGCTGTTTATCTTCCCGCCGGAGCGGTACCTATTTATCTACTTGCACTTTGACGTGCTTTCGAACTGCTACATTGGCAGGAGCAGGGACCGAGCAACAGGAGCTCACCCCGTCGCGGGGATTTGAACCGCCGACCTTCTGACCAGCAAGTCCTAGGCTCTGTGGTTTAACCCACAGCGCCACCCGCGTCCCAGTAACAAAAGATTATAAATACATTAAAACATCAGTCATTAAAAGCTTCCCCAAACAGGGCAGCCTTCAGATGTCTTCTAAAACATCAGATAGTTGTTTATTTCTTTGACATCTGATGGGAGGGCGTTCCACAGGGCGGGCGCCACTACCGAGAAGGCCTCTGCCTGGTTCCCTGTAACGTCGCTTCTCACAGTGAGGGAACAGCCAGAAGGCCCTCGGAGCTGGACCTCAGTGTCCAGGCAGAATGATGGGGGTGGAGACGCTCCTTCAGGCATACTGGGCCGAGGCCGTCTAGGGCTTGAAAAGTCATCCTCAGTTAGTAACATTCAATGAGTAGGAGAAAGATCTGCACCTACTCTGCCTCCCGGCCCAGTCTAAGTAGATAGTCACAGACTACATGCATTCCATACTTTTGAAGCACATTCAAAGCACACACACACCCAAGAATCCTGAGAAATGTAGTTTCTTAAGGATGCTAAGAATTATAGTTCTCTGAGGGGTGATCTGCAGGTCCCAGGATTATTGGGGGAGGGCAGCAGAATGTGCTTTAAGAGTATGGTATGCATGCAGCCCCAGATTCTGGAGCCGTATGTGATTCTTTTGATTCAGTTTAGTCCAGGCTAATCATTAGAAATTAAGAAATGAGCAGCAGCCAGAGGTGTCTTTAAACTCTATGGTGTGAAGGAAACAGCTGGGGCAGGAAAGAGGAAACATAGGGTGGTGGTGGGGAAATCAGATGACTTCTTAGAGGGGAGAATCAGAAAGGAAAGCAGCTGGTACAAACAGGCAAGAAAATTATGTATGAGCAGGTGGGTTTTTTTAATTATCAATGAGGTTTCAGGTTTTGGAATGAGTAAAATATAAACCAATGAATCTAGCAAGCTAAGACAGCATTAATGCCTTAACTTTTATTACAGCAAGACCGGGAATTTTCTTTCCTTTGCATCCCATTTTTGAATAAATACAAAATGTTTCTTTCAGTTCTGAATAGTGAGCACAAAGCTCAGTGTGAATCTGGGGGTGGCCAATGAGGTGACCTCCAGGTGCTGTTGGCTCCTACCATCCCTGATGGACTACAGCTCCCATTGACAAAAAGCACCTGGAAGGCTCCTCATTGACTAACCCTGGTATACATCAAGACCAGGAAAATGATTTCTGCTGCTCAACCTTCTCCTGTTCGACTTCACCTCTCTCACCTGTTTCTTGGCATTTTCCATATCAGCCTTGAGTCGCTGGATAAGGCGAGTCAGGTCCTGGATTTCATGGCGGCCCTTAGCCAAAGCGTCACAGTGATGCCCATAGGTGGACTGCAGATCTTTGAACTAAAATCAGAGAGAAAGGATGACTTTATTTTTGCCTCTGTGGATTCAGCTATCTAAAACAGTGGTAACCGTCAATGGCATTTGCTTCTCTCTGTTGCAGACAGGCCTATATCATGTTTACCTTGGTTTCGTAAAGAGCATTGACCTCATCCTTGCTCCTCTGTACAATCTCCTCATACTGACACCTCACAGAGTTAATGATCCCCTCCATGTCTAGTTCTCGGTTGTTGTCCATAGATACAACAACATTGGTGTCAGCTGTTGTTGTCTGTAAGCTTTCTATTTCCTGAAAAGAAAACATAATTGGTGTTGTTTTTTTAGCAGGTCATCAATTGTCCATACTGGAGGGAGACAGTTTGGGCTGTTCCATGTGGCCACTCTATTCTTGTGACTGTAACACCTTTTAAATGGTTTTAGTTCTGACTTTTAAAGTGTTGTAACCCACCCAGGTACTTGATGGTGAAGGGCAAGGTAATAATTTTAATGCGGATGATGATTAGTTTATACTTTTAAAGTTTGCTGCTGTATCCAGTATTAATAGCGGACACTACTTCATTAGCTGTAGAGATGGATGAACTATCTAAAGCTGTCTTCTGGTTGCCTTGGAAATTGGCATGGGGAATTTGTTGATTGGGCTCACATTTAAAGGTGGATCTATCAAATTTTACAATGCAGTTCTCCAACCAATGTTCACAAGAATGGATATGCTGGGGAAAATAGCATGCAAAATTGCTTTATTTTAGGGGACATTGCTTTAAAAAAAATTGTACATTGGTGAAAACTTCATATAAAATGTGTTTATTAGGAGATATTCATGCTAAACTGCAGGTGAAATTTCATGAGGATTTGTTTTTCTTATTTCAAAAATCGCGAATTGCTGCAGAAATGTGAAAAAATGAATTTAAGTTAAGAAAACCGAGATCCAAAATAAATCATGAGAAATACTTACTGCTTCATGGACACATCTGAGGAACTCCAGCTCCTGTCTTAGAGCTTCCACTTTCACCTCCAGCTCCACTTTGCCGGTGTAAGCACAATCCACATCCTGAAAGACAAGACACAATAAATACTTCTCTTGTAATTCAGTGACAACAAGGCTTGCTTAAGAAAGAGAGGAGAGGAGAGGAGGTCTCCATACTTTCAGTCAAGAAAGACCTGAGCTTTAATATGGCAGATAATTAAATCAACCATTCTTGTGTTATCTACTTGTCTCAAATGGAGTTGGGAGAAGTAGTGGCACAGTCAGAGGAAGGGAATCTTTCTATCAATGTGCAATTTACCAGAACTTTTCCAAACAATATATACTTATGGGACTGTGCTTCCCATATTGGTATATTTTCATGCATTTGAAGTGGCTCTCACTACTGCACTCAATGGGACTTTCTTCTGAATAGAGATGTTTAGAATTGCACTATGTCACTCCCTGCAATCCACTGTAGCTGCCACAGAGTGAACCCCACAGTTTTACTGTCTGTAACCTGACATCCATTGATATTTGCTTGATTCTTAAAAAGGGTAAAGGTACCCCCCTGACCATTAGGTCCAGTTGCGGACGACTCTGGGGTTGTGGCGCTCATCTCACTCTATAGGCCGAGGGAGCCAGCATTTGACCGCAGACAGTTTTTCCGGGTCATGTGGCCAACATGACTAAGCTGCTTCTGGCGAACCAGAGCAGCGCACGGAAACGCCGTTTACCTTCCCGCCGGAGTGGTATCTATTTATCTACTTGCACTTTACATGCTTTCGACTCTTAGATTAAAAGAAAAAAAATCACTGTAGCATTGCATACGTATGTATACTATGATTTTATCGGGCCTTTCTAAAAAAATTTTTTTAATGGTATAGGGTACACACAACCTTCTAGATGTTGCCAGACTACAAATTCCACCATCCTTGATCAATGGTTATGCTGGCTGGAGCCAATGGTGGCGCTGAGTCTATCAACTTCTGGAAGGCCATCAGTTCCCTACATCTGCTATAATATAGACAATGTGCACACAAAGATAGGCCTATTATAAGGTACCTAGTAAGAAGAATATGATGGATAAAAAGAAAGATCTTTTTCCAGCACTGTGCTTAGAAGATGCTTTGGGGGGAGCTTCTCAAGCAGGGCAAAGTGTAATGACCATGCCGTGCCTCCAACTCTCTGAACATTTTAATTAATTGCCTTTTCCAATCTTCGAGACCAATTTGACTCACCTTTTTCAGCAACACAAATTCATTTTCAGCAGCCATACGCCGGTTGATTTCTTCTTCATACCTTGCAGTGGAGAACAGAAGGAGATACAAAGGTTCCTGAGAATCAGCTCTACTGCAAAGTGTCTGGGAGCCACTGACTGAGTGTGGACAGAGGGCTGGACTTGCATTGGGGAGATTCTGGCTTGGGACTCAGCATGGCTGAGAAGCACAGGGTGAAAGAAGGGCGAGCATGTTCATCATATTGAACCAGGCAATATTTCTCCACTGAATCTACCTCGTAGAACTCAGAAATAAAGGTAACACTTAGCACTTGTTTTATAAAGCACACTTCAAGTGTCCAAACATTTTAGTCACACTACCACCATAATCTTTACAAACCCCTCTAAGGTGGGCAAGCATTATTCTTCTCAAATTGCCGATAGCTGTGCCTTAGAACCATCACAAATGGTTAGAGGACACAGCATCCCAGGAGAAATAGGCCCCTTATTCATTTCTTAAACCAGACCTTTTTGGGGGAAGACAGCAAACCATTTACCTGCATTTGTACTCTTCAACCACATCCTGGAATTTAGCTTGCTCACATTGCAGCTGCTCCCGCTCATTCAGCAAAAGATCCAGCTGCCTCCTCAAGGTTGCAATGTAGTTCTCAAACAGGTGGTCAATGGTTTTCTTCTCAACAGGCCCCTGTTGCTGCAGGCAATTCCATTTGGTTTCCAAAAGCTTGTTTTGCTGCTCCAAGTGCCTCACCTGCAATGCAAATGGAGCCATGGTGATAAGTCTACTAAACACAGGAACCTATTAGGTCTTCCTATGAGGTGGAGAAAAATCTCCTCCTCAATTCTTGAATCCAGTGGGTTGGGGTTTTTTGCCAGAACCAGGCATTGGCATTCCATGCATTTCTAAAGCAAACAGAAGATTTGAGTTGACAATGAAGAAACAGAGTGAACCCACAATTATCTAGGAACATAAAGATCTCTGCTGGATCAAGCCAAAGGCCCATTGTAGACCATTGTTCTGTTCTCACAGTAGCTACCCAGAAACCCACAAGCAGTACCTTGTGTGTAACAGCATTCTCCCACGTGTGATTCCCAGGAACTGGGTTGATGGATAGTATACTATGCAGTACAGCTGTAATTGCTTAGGGAATGCTATCGGAGAAGAAATGACTACTTTTAAGTATACAGTGACAAACTATGGAACAAGAGCATTTAAATCTGCCATTGGAAAAAAGAATGGTTTGCAAATAGACAGAGTTGCAAGCCTTATAGTGCAATCCTATGTTTATTGACTCAGAATTGACAGTTTGCCCTCCTATGTTGAATGGGGCTTACTCCCAAGCTAGTTTTATCTAAGCGTACAGTCATAATCAATTTAATTGTTAATCAAGTTAAGGCTTGGCCTGGGAGCAAGCCACACAGAACCAGAGCTTGGAAAATCAATTTTAAAAAATAAATAATAAATAATTCCAGTTCACATTTGTCGCTTTACTAAAGAAACTAGTTTGGTTCACATTCAGTTCCCAGTTCAAATTCATCCAAAGGAAACATCAAAATACACAGAGTGGAGTATAAATTGTTTAATATCACACACACACACACAAAATGATTTTCAAGTTTAAATTCCAAAGGGTCTGAAAGAGTTCAGTCCATTTCTGCTTAAATAGAATTGGGGAAGGGCCACAGGACAGTGGAACAGCATTTTTTTTCCCAAGCAGAAGGTCCCAGGTTCATTTTCCCAGCACCTCCCAATAGGGCTGGGAGTCTCCCCTGTCTGAACCCCTAGAGAGCTGTTGTCTGTTTGCAAAGACAATACTGGGTTGGGTGAGATTTGTCTGAGTAGATTTAGGAGAGCATGACTGGTTTGGTTGCACTGGGCGCATAGCCTTGGGGGCACTGCAGGCAGTGCTGCCATGTAGAATGGAAGACGAGAGGTGGGAGTCACTGAATTTTGGCATTGCGCAGGGTGCTACTGAAATTTTGAGACCCCACTGGGTTTTTACAAGGCAGCTGGAAATTATGCATTTCCATCACCTCCGTAAGTTAGAGCAGCCAAGAAAAGGGGCCATTTGTACCCACACACTCAATGCATGTGAAAACCCAGAGGGATTTATTTGCTTCCATGGACCTCTTGCTTTAAAGCAGCTGGAGAAGGAGGCCCTGCTTGGTAAAAAGGTAAAGGACCCCTGACAGTTAAGTCCAGTCGCAGACGACTCTGGGGTTGCGGCGCTCATCTCGCTTTACAGGCCGAGGGAGCTGGCGTTTGTCTGCAGACAGTTTTTCTGGGTCATGTGGCCAGCACGACTAAGCCGCTTCTGGTGAAACCAAAGCAGCACACAGAAACGTTGTTTACCTTCCCGCCGGAGTGGTACCTATTTAGCTACTTGCACTGGTGTGCTTTCGAACTGCTAGGTTGGCAGGAGCAGGGACCGAGCAACAGGAGCTCACCCCATCACGAGGATTTGAACCGGCAACCTTCTGATCAGCAAGCCTAGGCTCTGTGGTTTAGACAACAGCGCCACCTGCGTCCATAGACCATAGGAAAGAAGTTGGAGGATGCAGAGCATCCAGCAACGTGGCTCAACTCACAGCTAAACTCCCTCTTGCTCATTCTGGCATGAGTTGTGCTGGCCACTGCTGAGTGCTGTGCTGCAACTTGCCTCTTTTCACGCAGTCTCCAAGAGGCTACTGGTCAGGATTTTAGGAATCTGCACAGTTTGGTTCTGCAGGGTTTCACACTAGGATTCTAGCCTATTTTATCCATGCCCTGGTAATCTCACAGTTGGATTACTGAAATGCATTCTACAAGGGTCTACCCATGTAGACGGTCTGGAGATTATAACTAGTTCTGAATGCAGCAGCCAGATGATCATCAGGCACACTTGCAAGGGATCTTATGACACCAGTTCTTAAATATTAATGCTAGATGCCTATTAGTCACCAGTACAATATGCAAAAGCCTAAACGACTCGGGGTCTGAGTGCCTGAAGGAATGCCATTCCCCATGCAGTCTTGCCCAGTAGCACCCACCTGTGGAATATTCTCCCCTCTGAGCTCTGTCTGGCTTCTGCTTTGTATATATTTTGGCACCCAATAAAAGCTTGCTTTCTTCTTGCAGACCTTTTATGATAGTATGTCCAGACTGAAGGACTTTTACTTTTGCTGGATTTTTGTTTTAAACTCTGTTTTATCTCTTTATCTTGTTTGTTGTGACCCATTCCAACACCATACACAATATACATCTTAAAAAAGAAATAAAATAACCAATACAGGCCAATTTTAATCAGTCTGGAGGCATTAGAATCACTTTTGCCATTAATCTGATTTGAATTAATTTTATAATGAAATGATTTTAGAATGTTGTATTATTTTACTGTTGTTAGCCACTCTGAGCCCAGCTTCGGCTGGGGAGGGCGGGATATAAATAATAATAAAATATTATTATTATTATTATTATTTTGTTAATAAGGGCTATTTTGGTTCTGGTGTGTTACTGTAAATAATTAATATTTAAATAAACATTTTGATTAGTTGATTAGTAAATAAACATAGTTGATTAGTCAGTTTTATTTCATTGATTGACAGGCCTAGAAATGAAATCTGTTTTTAAAAGGCAAGGAGAAATGTAATCATAAGTTGAGTAACTCGGAAACTCAACATGCAGTCCAAATGGTGACACCTCCTTGCATTCCCCCACTTAATCCCAGACACAAAAACTACTAGAAGCTCTTTGAAAAGTAAAACATCTCTTTGTCTCTTCACAAGAGGCTAACTCAAACAGAATGCACCAGAGCAGACTCACCATACAATCTCACCTTATCGATGAAGCAGGCAAACTTGTCATTGAGGCATTTGATTTGCTCTCGCTCCTCCACCTTCACTCTAGAGATCTCTGGATCAACCTGTATGCAAAGGGGCCTCAAGAGGTTTGTATTGACCCTGACCGACTGGATCCCCCTGCAGTCACCAAAACGGCCAATGGGCTCATAGCCCAATCCCCCACAAACAGGGCGACCACAAATAATGCTTCTGCTGCCATACACACCACCACCCAGACTCGGGCTGCCAAAGCCAGCTGTCCTATAGCCTCTGCCACAAACACCACCAAAACTTCGGCTGCTGAAGCCACCATATCTGTAGCTACCACTTCCTTCGCCACCGTAGCCTCCAAGGCTTTGGCTGCCGACTCCTCCAGCTGTGCCATAGGCCCCTGCACTTCGACTACTAAAGCCTCCAGGCCTGCCAATGCCAGCACCATAACCTACATGCCCAAAACCATAGCCCAATGGCCCAGGACCATAGCCCAAACCACTGAAGTCCCTAAAGCCTGCACTGTATCCACCAGAACTTCCTCCGTATCCACCAAGGCTTCCGCCAGAAAGTCTTCTGCTACGGCCGATATTATAGTGGCTTATACTGCTGTAGCCACCACATCTGCCTGCTCCGGTGTAGCAGATGGAAGACAGACTGTTGCCACCCCTAAATCCACTGCTGATGGCCGAGCCAGATGATGGCCGTCTTCCATTAAGGGAACGGGAACTGAAGCACTGCCGGCTCATGATGGCTTAATCAGAGATGGGACAGAGATTATTGAAGCAAAGCTGAGCTGCAACCAGGTGTCCCAGAGAGAGGGGAAGAGAATGGAACCCCTTTTCACATGTCCACTGGAGGTTTAGGCTTTATATACCTTCAATAAAATGGGCTTGGCCTCAAGATAGCAATCAGTTTAATCCATGGGACTGGTTGACTTGGAAGTCATAAATGGCAAATGAAATGTATTTTTCAACATGCATACAAAAGGAGACATCAAAGAAAGAGAACCTTATGCCAATGAAGTAATCTGAAATGGGGAGAAGTCGCTTGGCTTGCAAGCAGCTGGATGATGATGTTGTGTTATCTAATTAATCTGTTTTCCATAAGGAAATTAGGCTCAAGCTAAATGGCTTCAGGAAGGCCCTTTGCAATTTGCCTCATGCAGATGCCACCATCCTGCCCCATCTTCCATGCAGTGGTGAAGGAAGGGGGCTGCGGTGGGTGCGGGCTGCCCCGGGTGTCATCACTGAGGGGTGTGTGTGTGTGTGTGACAAAATGACAAAATATGAGTTTCACAATAAATAAATAAATAGGCTCACGAAACTTTTTAGTTCAGTCAACAAACGCAACGAAGCGAGACTGGCACTGGGCACCACACTGCAGAGGCTGGCACTTAAATGCACAAAAATGGCAAAATCAGGCAATACCTACTAAAGAAGTGTGGCAGCTAAAACTGATGGAATACGCTGAATTAGCGAATTTAACTATCAAGAGATCAAGAAGAGGCAGACTTTAAGGCGGAGTGGAAAACTTTTGTTGAATATTTAAAGAATTACTGTAAACATGTAAAAATGCAGGTAGAATTTGAATGAAGAACAGCAGTTGAAAACTTACTGAAGTGCAGTTTGGAAAAGACAGAATATTTATGATATGCAACAAATTTAGAAATTACAAGGGAAACCATGGAAGGGAAGTCAAATGTGAAACGGATGTGTATTTGGAATGTATGTATCGTTTTGCAAACTTTTGAAATTCAGAACTAAAATCATAAAAAACGAGGTGTAAAAGTCCTCTCTAAGATATGTAACAGGTATGGGTAACCTGAGACCCTCCAGTCCTTACTGGACTACAGCTGATGAGAGTTGGAGTCCAGCTGTGCTATAATGCACCCAGGTTGCCCACCTCTGACATAATCAGGATTACATGGGGGGGGAGGGCGTAAATCAAGACTACTTCTCATGCCTACTATTTTCGTTGCTCATTATTATTGACACATCTCAAAAAGCCATTCCATTTTAAATCAAATGACTGTGCCTTTAACATGCACAGCTGGCACATCTACCCTTTTATTATTTATAGCATGAACAGATCAGTGAGTGGAGCCAGCTGGTTGGCTGGAAAATTATGAAAACATGAACGCACTCTTCTCCCTGCTTCTGTATAGCTTACAGGGTTGTTGTAATGATTATTGCAATAATGCCTGTGGCTTTTTTGGGGGGAAGGGGATACAATATAAAAGCTGAAGCATGATTGTTTGTTGTTACTATCACCCTTATCTATTCAGAAGATGTTTCTAATACAGTGGTACCTGGTTTGCAACCATTTTGGATTGCAACCCCATCAAACCCAGAAGTGTGTGTCCCTTTTTTTGGATTACAACCCATTTTTGGGGGGGATTACAACCCCCCCTTTTCGGGAGGCCCCATTGGCAAAAGTACGCCTTGGGTTACAACCTGATTTGGTTTACAGCCGGACCTCCAGAAAGGATTGTGGTTGTAAACAAAGGTATCACTGTACAGTAGAACCTCTACTTACGACCACCTCCACTTGGGCAAACCCGGAAGTAAATACCGGGTTTGCTGTGATTCGTGCACGCGCAGAAGCAGCTGCCGCCATCTGCACATGCGCACAACGGCGCTTCTACAGGCAACCCATTTTGCCTAAAGGACGGGTCGCCGGAACAGATTACGGTGGTAAGTAGAGGTTCCACTGTACTGGGATGGTGTTGTTGTAGAGACACAATTAATGCAAGCAACAAGACATGAAGAGAACCATTAGCATCATCCAGTTTTCTACAAAGGCGCAAATTCATAGAACTGAAAAACAACAAACCATCAGAAATGCTGTCATGTGATGGCAGTGGGGCCGGCTCATGATCCAATAGACACCCCCCCCCATTGCTCCATTTTGAGGCATTACGCTAGATCCTGCTGGCAGGAATCGCACCAGCAGCATTTACACCCACCCATGCATACAGCAGAATCATAGAACCATAGAATTGTATGGGTCATTGAACCCAACAATGTAGGAATCTCAACTAAATCTTTGCAATGCAGGAATCTCAACTAAAGTACCCATGGCAGATGTACACTCAACTTCTGCTTTAAAACTTCCATTGCAGGAGAGTCCAGCACCTTCTGAGGTAGTCTGTACACCAGATGATCTTGCAGGAGAGTTAGTGGAGAGAGCCCCCGCAGTAGCAGTTCCATTCTCCTCATCGAGGCCTGAAAAACTGCCTGCATTGTAGTATGTTGATTTGTCGTTCTGGATTTAACATATTTCTTCATGTGTGGCAAAATGCCAGCAGCTGTACATCTGTCAGTAAGAAGCCACTGGCTCTCCTGCCTCTCGCTCAGCAAGGACAGCAAGTGCTGTGGTTCACATGCCTCATAATCATTTTTTTAATTTGGAATAGCCCAGCCTCTAGCAGTTCTTGGTCACTCAGCTACTTTTCAGGACTGGAATGCTAGTTAAGGTCTGGACCTTTGAGTAAATATGAAACCAGGCAAGCAACCTGCAATGGTGGAGCTGAAGAAAGCATCAAGGCTAAGCTACAACCCAGCAAGTGAGTCATTTGCTGACTTAAATGAGAAATACCATCAGTATTTCTGAGACAAGCAGCTTGCATGGAAATAAGTGCTGTTGTACACAGATGGCAAGGGACGCGGGTGGCGCTGTGGTCTAAACCACAAAGCCTAAGGCTTGCCAATCAGAAGGTCAGCGGTTCGAATCCCTATGACGGGGTGAGCTCCCTTTGCTCAGTCACTGCTCTTGCCAACCTAGCACATCAAAGTGCAAGTAGATAAATAGGTACTGCTCTGGCGGGAAGCTAAACGCTGTTTCCGTGCGCTGCTCTGGTTCGCCAGAAGTGGCTTAGTCATGCTGGCCACATGACCCAGAAGCTATACGCTGGCTCCCTTGGCCACTAAAGCGAGATGAGCGCCGCAACCCCAGAGTTGTCAGTGACTGGACTTAATGGTCAGGGGTCCTTTGCCTTTTTACACAGATGGCAGACGGAAACCAGCTTGCAAAGTGCAAACATCTATGATGGCAATAAATGAAAATCTCTCTTGCCATTTAATGCTTTCGTCCATCTTATTGTATATGGTCAAGGGGTGGGCAGACATTTTCCTGAGAAGGGAATGGAGGGAAAGAAAGGATGTGAAAGCCAGTGTAGTGGTTAGACTGCTGGACTAAGATCTCAGAGATAGAGTTCAAATTCCCACACAGTCATGAATGGGTAGACTGGGGACTCTCTTTCAGGGTAACATACCTCACAGATAAAAGGGACAGGGAGAGAGTCATGTATGCCTCCCTGAATGCTTCGGAGAAAAGGCAGGATATAAATGTGGTTGGTGTTGTTATGTTCACACAGTTCCACAGAATGAAGGAAAGGGGATTCCGTGAGGCTGGAATAAAAGCACCTGCCACTGGCATTTGGATCTAGACAGCTATACTTGCACGATCAGACATCTCCTTGTAAGTAACTCATTCAAAAATGATTAAACTGGCACAAAGTTTTAATGTCTTTGTGGGAGGAGATGGTTGTTTTGATTTTGGGTGTGTGGGTTTGTGTGTGTCTGCAGGGGGCCATACACTTGGGCTATTCACTTGTTCATCACATTCCTCTGGACCAGCTGACACGTCCAAAGATCACCATGCCCTGTTCAGGAGGTGCCACCAAGTCTGATGACTGTGGGGCAAGAAGAGGAAGGACCTCCCTGGGATTCTGTTCCAGCCTTGATCCAGCAACCAACTCCCTTTCATTTAAAAGGCATGTCTGCCTCTGAGACAGAACGGGCAGCATTTATTGAGCCCTGTGTCTGTGGCAAAGTTAGACCAGACTCATTTGCCTTGTTAATCCCCTCACTTAGGCATTCGTTAATTTTATTGGGTTCATGAGGAATGCCAGGCTCACCACCTTCTGCAGGGAGGATCCTTTTCCATCTAAGATGCAATTTGCTCCATTAAATATATGCCTCTTGTAATTTGACAACTGCTTAGGGCTACTAAAGATTTCAAGAACAGGAATCTATTAAGGTGGGCGGGGGGAAGAAAAACACACCTACAGAGGAAATATTTTTTGCTGGATGAATAGAATATTCTTATGGTTACTCAGAAGAGTACAGTCTGCCATATACTTCAGGCTTCTCCAGACGGATGTATTTTCTTGTGGGTATATTCTGCCACATATTCTTGATGCAATAGTGCAATAGAAACCATCTGTATGATACATTTAAAGCAATATCATGCCACTTTAAACATCCATAAAGGTAAAGGGTAAAGGGACCCCTGACCGTTAGGACCAGTCACGGACGACTCTGGGGTTGCAGCGCTCATCTCACTTTATTGGCCGAGGGAGCCAGCGTTCAGCTTCCGGGTCATGTGGCCAGCATGACTAAGCCGCTTCTGGCGAACCAGAGCAGCGCACAGAAATGCCGTTTACCTTCCCACCGGAGTGGTACATATTTATCTACTTGCACTTGATGTGCTTTCAAACTGCTAGGTTGGCAGGAGCAAGGACCGAGCAACAGGAGCTCACCCCGTCGCGGGGATTCGAACCGCCAACCTTCTGATTGGCAAGGCCCTAGGCTCTGTGGTTTAACCCACAGCGCCACCTGTGTCCATCCATCTGTGAAGGGTTCTGAGAGTTGTTAGGAGACCATTTGCCCCTTACAAATCTACAGTTTCCAGAATGGTTTAACAATCAATCTTCCCTACCCAGGTAACTCCATGAACCCCAATGCTCACACAGTAGTTCCTTGCCCAGAAGGCACGTCCTTCACATTCAGTTGACCCACAGTCAACTGTCCCAAAATGAAACCCTCCACTTCCACATTCTGGTGGGCTATTTATTCCCCACTCTAAACTACTAATACCTCTAGATCTACCCTTCCCACTTCCAAAACTGGGTCTCTTACTTGCAGAACTGCTCATCTCCAGAAGGTTTGGAGCCAAACATAGTACCCAAAAATCTTCCTTCATCTCTACAATCTTCTAGCCAAACACTCTTCCTGCAGCAGTTCCCTAAGCTTTTGTAATCACATTCCTCATGCATACAATTGTATCTCTTGTCTTTGGAGCTGCAACCTGAACTTCTAGAGCTATACATATCTCAGAGCTCTCTTTACCTCTAGTGTCATATCCACTACTTCTACAAAAACGCTCTCTTACAAAAATGGGAGACGCATACTCTTCACTCCCACAAGGTGCTGATCTACCTGTGCTACCACTAGAGCAGGTAATCCATCTGGAGCAATACGCTATCCTTCCAGAGCTATATCTCTGAATTGCCAAGCAATAGAAGATGCCCTCAGAGTTTTCTAGGCTACCTGAGATATCTCCACAAATTGCAGCTTCAGAGCAAGACGCTATCCATTGTTTTGCATAACCTCCAGTTTTCCAATTGTCTGAGGCAATTTCCAAAGTGCTTGTTCCTTTTTAACTATATCCTTCCTTTTTTAAAAAAATAATAATTTTTATTTAAGTTTTAAACAACGTAGAAAGAAAAAGAAAAACATACACAATACATATCTCAAAAAAGACAAGAAAAAAAATAATTACAAAAACACACACAAAAAAGAAAAAAAACCACAATTCAACAGTAAAAAACAAAAAGCATAACAATTAAAAACAATATCTCTTTTCCATTTCCGATTTTTTTTAGTTTACTTATTTTCTGGACTTCCTCATACCTCCCTCTTTTGTATTCCAATCCAAATTGTTTGTCCAGCAATTTCTTTTCCACTTTTTTAATCCCAGTCTTTAATTTAATATAATATTGAAATATATAACTTCAACTTCTTTAAATCTAATCTTTAGTCTTAATGTAATGTAACATTAAAATTTTTCCTCTTAATTATCAAATTTCCATTTCATTAAACATCTTTAATCTTAATCTTTAGTCTTAATCTATCATTAACCTTAACCTGTACAGCTGGAAACCGCTTATTTTCAGTCCAACATCACTCTAGCATTCTTTAATTTTGCAATGTTTCTGAAGATAGTCTTTAAATTTCTTCCAATCTTCCTCCACCGACTCTTCTCCCTGGTCATGGATTCTACCAGTCATTTCCGCCAGTTCCATATAGTCCATAAGTTTCATCTGCCATTCCTCCAGCGTGGGAAGTTCTTGTGTCTTCCAATACTTTGCGATGAGTATTCTTGCTGCTGTTGTTGCACCTTTTTAACTATATCCTTCAACCTTGTAGCTGGGTGTTCCACAACCACTTGCAGTAGCTGGGGTTCTGATAACAGCAGTCCCTTCTGTCCTTGCACCCCGCTTAATTGCATCCTCAAGTTTTGGGCAGAAGACTGCAAAAAGCGATTCAGTACTTTGAAGGCTCACACTTTGCAGACTATATTGCTGTAAAAAGGTAAAGGACCCCGACAGTTAAGTCCAGTCGCAGACAACTCTGTGGTTGTGGCGCTCATCTCACTTTACTGTCCGAGGAAGCCGGCGTTTGTCCGCAGACAGTTTTTCCAGGTCATGTGGCCAGCATGACTAAGCTGCTTCTGGTGCAACAGAAACTCAAAACCAGAGCAGTGCATGGAAACGCTGTTTACTTTCCCGCCAGAGCGGTACCTATTTATCTGCTTGCACTTTTTGGTGTACTTTCGAACTGCTAGGTTGGCAGGAGCTAGGACCGAGCAACAGGAGCTCACCCCATTGTGGGGATTAGAACCGCCGACCTTCTGATGACCAAGCACAAGAGGCTCAGTGGTTTAGACCACAGCGCCACCCGTGTCCCTAAAGAAAAAGGACCCCTGGACAGTGAAGTCCAGTCAAAGGCGCCTATGGCGTTGCTGTAGCATTTCCCATTTGGTCGACAGCATCATCTGCTGCTCAAGGAACTGGATCCAAAACATGATGCAAAACAAAAGAACAATAAAAAACTGAAGCGAATTGCAGGGAGAAAACAAAAATCTCATGCTGATTTCTCATAGGTGAAATAACTCCTCAAAATGCTTTTTATTATTATTATTCTGAAAATTCATTGTGGTATGCTTCAAAGGCAGTAATTTAAACATGAACTTTATAGCGTCCTGCACTCAGTACCTCCCCCAACCAGCACAATTTAATTTAGCCCAATCCCAAGCCCTTCCCCCTTATGAGAGCCAGTGTGGTGTAGTGGTTAAGAGCGGTAGTCTTCTAATCTGGGGAACCGGGTTCGCGTCTCCACTCCTCCACATGCAGCTGCTGGGTGACCTTGGGCCAGTCCCACTTCTCTGACGTCTCTCAGCCTCACTCACCTCACAGATTGTTTGTTGTGGGGGAGGAATGGAAAGGAGATTGTTAGCAGCTTTGAGATTCCTTAAGGGGAGTGAAAGGCGGGATATCAAATCCAAACTCTTATGTGCTTCATCCATTCATAGCATGCAAATAAGCAGAAAAGCTAAGCATAAGAGGCCTTTCCTGCAGACCAAATAGCAGCTGAGGGAACAATTAACTCAATTAATTTTCAAATGGCTTAATCTTCAGCAGGAAGTTCTTTGGCTCAAGTGCTTGCTCCAGTGCTCCATGCCAAGTCTTGTCCTGCAACAGGAATGGGCTAGAAGCAGAAGAAGCACCATAATTAATGTTGTACTTCCTAGAGGAAATGCAACTGGCCAAGAAGACTGATACCACTGCTGAGAAGCAGCGACAGAGTCTGAGACAAGCAGTGTGGACTAAAGATGGATGAGAAATTCAAATCGGTACACTTTTTAAGCCAATTCTTGATTATATTTATACTCCATTTTTCCTCCAAGGAGGTCAAGATGCCTTTCATGGTTCTCATTGTTCATTTTATCCTCAGAACAACTCTGTGAGGTAGCTTAGTCTAAGAGATGGCGACTGTCCCAAAGTTGCCCAGCTAGCATGATGGATGAGTGGATATTTGAACCTGGTCTCCCAGGTCTTAGTCCAACTCATTAACCACTATGCCACACTAGTTTGCTGTGTGTTATTCCTAGAAGAAGCTAATGCATACAGTCCTGCTGTCAGAAGGAACAGTTTCTAACTAGGCTCCAATACAAGTGGGGACCTGCCACAAAATCTTCACTTGCCTCCAGTCTATTGGCATCCTAGCGTGCTGAGGATGTGTGCCTTGCTTCTTTGTTGCCTTTGGGGTGCCAAGGTTGCAGTCCCGTGCAGCCCCCAGACTTCCAGGTGGGGTATATGTGGCCAGCGGCGGAGTGAGCTAGCTGGGTGCCCAGGGCGGGGGCGAGGCCAGCCGCCTGTGGGGCTCCGAGGAGTCTGCCTGCCTCCTCCCCCTCAGCCACCCTACAGCTGAGGGGGAATCAGCAGGCAGACCTTTTCAGCAGCGGAGCCTGTGCACACCCAAGACACTGCGTCTCCCAGGAAAGATGCGTGGCTCGGGCGCACTGCAGGCCCCGTGGTGAGAGTCGCCTGGAATTTATCACCCTTTCAGTGGTGGCACCTAGTGCAGGGCACCCCTATCGCACCCCCATCGCTACACCCCTGTGTGTGGCAGGGATAAAATGTATCAACTAATTTTAGAAGCTAATGATGTTGTTTTTCTGCACACTCAAGTATTTCCCTGGGAACACTGAAATCTTCTCTTTTGTTGCAATTGGCCCATGCTGGTTGATTTGTTTGAGGCCTTTTGCCCAGCCAAAATAGGTCCACAAAGCAGCTTTTGGGAAGAAGAACTATAGCCATGAAGTCAATGCAACACTTCAGGGGGGAAACAATGTCAGCATAGAACAGGCCATCCAGTGATCTCACCTGACAGGTGTTTAAGACGAGGTAAACAACCTGACCACAGGAAGATGGCTCAGGTCATACAGTCATAGAACTGTAGAGTTGGAAGGGATCACAAGGCTCATCTAGCCCAACCTCCTGGAATGCAGGAATCTTTTGCCAGTGTGGGACTCAAAGCCATGACCCTGAGATCAAGAATCTCATGCTCTACCAGCTGAGCTATCCCAGAGCGCATGACAGAAATATATCATTCTGCCCTTTTGCATGTAACAGAATCCATGATGGATATCTTCAAAATGGATATAAGATAACTAAATTGAGGCCTCCTGAAACAGGGACATATTTAGATTATAAGGTGCAGGCAAGGCATTGTCTTCTATGTACTTGTGGATGATGCTGATGCTGTTTTCCCCGACACACATCCCTTTTGTAAAAGTGCTGAACATAGCCATAATGTAAGTAACATGCACACTGTTTTGTTATGTAAAAAGGTAAAGATACCCCTGACCGTTAAGTCCAGTCACGGATGACTCTGGGGTTGCAGCGCTCATCTCGCTTTATTGGGACAGCTTCCGGGTCATGTGGCTGGCATGACTAAGCTGCTTCTGGTGAACCAGAGCAGCGCACGGAAATGCCGGAGTGGTACCTATTTATCTACTTGCACTTTGACGTGCTTTCGAACTGCTAGGTGGGCAGGAGCTGGGACCGAGCAACGGGAGCTCACCCCGTCACGGGGATTTGAACCGCCGACCTTCCAATCAGCAAGCCCAAGGCTCTGTGGTTTGGACCACAGAGCCACCCACATCCCTGTTTTGTTATGTAAAGAATAACAAATGGCAGAGGATCCTCTTATATGCACCATAGGAAAAACTTAGAAAGCTGCCTTACACCACTGGCCCATCTAGCTCAGTATTGCCTACACGGATTGGCAGCACCACCCCATGGTTTCAGACAGGGGACATTCAGAGCCCTACCTGGAGATGCCAGAGATTGAACCTGGGATCTTCTGTATGCAAAGTCGATGCTCTGCCACTGAGCTATGTCTCTTCCCCTACTGGAGGGAATCCTCCACTAGTGTTGATGGAGGGTTCCTTCCCACTGTAGAATTACAGAATTGTAGAGTTGGAAAGGACACCAAGAGTCACCTAGTCCAACCCACTGCAGGGCAAGAATCTATTTATTGCAATAAACAGCAGTGTCTGTGTTGAAGGAACAGGTTACTCAAACCTGACTGTGCAGTCACCCGAACCAGGCCCCAAGACTCCCAAATTCCTTCTTCAAGGATCCGTTAGCTAAAATCCATTAACTTGAGCTGTGTAAAACAGGAACCCACCTGTACAAACAAAGCCGTCTCCCTTATCAGTCCATGAAGGCTTAATGGATGGCCTTGTCATCCATTGGAGACATCCAGTGGAGACGGGATGGAAGATCTGGGTCTTATCCTGTAGGTTGTAAATATCCTGACCACGCTGACGCACAGAACTTGCCTGTCAGGCCTGCCAGCCCCCACACCTGGAGACAGCGCCAGGAGTACCCCTATAGTTGGGTGACCTTCTTACCCCAAGATAAGAGTACAGGAACAGGAATATCTGTTTAGGCTCAAGGATGTAATCTTACGTGTGCAAACTCATGAGGCTGGATTCCTGGGGAGGGGGGGAGGGGGCCTGAAGGGGATATAAGCTGAATGTAACTTCTTCACAAGTGTGCTTGCTGTGAACTTTCACGCAGTGCCTTTCTGCTATCCAAAGAACAGAAATAAACTCTTTCTCTGAATCAGCCCTCGGTGTCTCTTGACGCTTTCCTCCCTCCCGGGAGCAACGCAGACCCAACCAATGGAAAAGGTCTGAAAGGCCTTGGGACTTTGTGTATGGAGAGTGGTGTTATCTGGTCTGCAGAAAGAGAGTCCATGTTTTTAAATGTTTACATTTTGAGCCAAAAATAAGGCCTCTCACACCACAGAGCTGAGAATAATGTAAGTTGCAGACAACAGTGCAGTGGGGCCAAATATATGAGGTGGGGGAGAGGGAAGAGAAAAACATATGGCACCAGCTTGGGATTGAAATGGCCATAACTTTATTGACTTCAGGTGTAAGTTGACTTTGACATTGGCAAGGATCTTTATCTTGAATCAGCCAAACCAACTGTTTGCTGATACCTCCATTAGGGTGGAACCTGGTGGTAAGGATATCCCACTGACACAAATCTAATGGGTTGCGATTTTGGTATATCCTAAGGCCCATCAGTCCCCCATGTGGGGCTTTGGGGAGAACCCAACCCCTATACCCTTTTACTGGGGTATCCTGAATTTGATCCTGGACCTGGGGGTCGGGCACCCAGCCACCCCCTAGGTCTTGACTAAGAATCCAACTCAATGCCTTTTTTTGCAAAAGTTGTGACAATTGCTATGAGGTAGGCAAAAACCCCAGGCAAGCCCGATTTGTCTGCCGGCAAATTCCTTCTTAGCCCCAAATACGGCAGCTGAATAGTTCCAGAGCAAGGCATACAGATGAGCTGCCTGCTTATGTTCACACCGGAATATGGTAAGCAGTCCTTGCAGCAGAGGTATGTTTTGATTTTCAGATTTTGACTGAGCTTCTGAAATTCCTCCTTTACATCTTTGCAAAGGCATTACATCAGTGTATGAGGTGGGAATTAGCATTGACTGAGCTCCTATCTCGCTTAGGATGTACCTGCTCCACCAATCTTTATCCCTGAATATTGCTTGCGTTCACTTTGTTCAGTGGGGGTTTGGAATCTAATGGAAGGCACCATGTTGGCTCCACCCTGGTTTTAGAGATGGGAGTATCTGTCCATTTTGATTTCTCTCTCATGTTACCCTCTCTTGCCACTGGAGCAGCATGAACACATGACAAGTACCTTGTACTTCAAAGAAGCCAGGCATGGCCAAACTTGGCCCTCCAGCTGTTTTGGGACTACAACTCCCATCATCCCTAGCTAACAGGACCAGTGGTCAGAGATGATGGAAATTGTAGTCCCAAAGCAGCTGGAGGGCCAAGTTTGGCCATGCCTGACATAAGCAGTCTCCAGAGTAGTCTTCCTGGGCATGATCTACCTGTTGCCTATAGAGATACCAATGCTTTGAACTGTAAAAACAACAAGGAGTCTTGGTATACCATAAAAGCTTACAGATTTATTGCAGTATGAGCTTCCATAGACAAGAGCATACTTCATCAGACTTACGGAACGGCCAATGAAATTGTTGAATACTTGAATTGTAGCTTATTGTTAGCAATGTTTAACATTGGAAACACACACAGACTGTGTGTTTTAAAATGGAATATACAACACAATTATTATTATTTTTAAAGGGAGTTTATGAAAGCACTTCTGTTGTTTTGCACCACCTTATTTATTCATTTCTCATTTCACTTCCGGGCATTTCTTATCTTTGCCACGAAATGGGCTTGGGGAGGAGCCACTTAGGTGAGAAAAGAGAAATTTTGGGACAAGGCTATGGACCAGTTTGCTTCAGAATTATGCAACTGTACAAGTAATGAAAAGGAGGCGAGTGCTCTGGAAGAAGCACCCCATGGGTGGAGAAGATCAAGTATCAACAGAGAAAACTAGAACGCAAGGAAAAAGCAACTGTCTACAACCTTATTGTGACTGAGCATTGGGCTGAAGGCACCACACTATTGGAACAGTCATGTCACGTGGTACAATTTCTCCTGCACTGTACCACTTCAGCCCTTTGCTTGGGTGAGGAGAGCAAGCACATTTTTAACTGCTTCCCATTTATTACAAAGCCTCCCTGTCCCCACAAAACTAGCATGCCAGCGAGAAAGCTGAACAAGAAACCCTCCTCCTTAACACTAATTTAGGAATTCATTTTCTTTCTTTCTTTAAAAAATATGCCTACATATTCAAGCCTGGGCTTTTCTGATCTACAGCCTAGTACAAAGCCACACCAGCTAACCTTTCTCATCATGACTCAAAGAATGGCATAAACAGAATAATTGAATATTTGGCACTTTCCTTGTTGAATTGTTGAGGGGGAAGTTATACAGGTGAAAATCACCAGTAAGTGCGTGTGTGTGTGTTATGGGCTTTGAGCGAGATATACATAATTGGGGGGAGAATCTTTGTTTTCTTGAAGCAAGGAATGGTGCGTACTTTTGGAGGATGCAAGCAAGGACACCTTAGCTGCTTATTCGCTTGCTTGAAGAGGAATGTACGATCTTCACACTCGAACTGCCACCTCCATAGCCATATCCTCCACCGGTGAGGCTTCCAGAACCGCTTAAACTGCCTCCAGTACTAATTCTGCTGACTCTTCCTCCTCCAACACTGACATGGCCATGTCCACAGCTCCCGCCGCCTCCACCACCAAGGCTCATCCCACTTCCCCCTCCGATGCCATATCCGCTTCCTGCTGCACCTCCGACACCATATCCGCTTCCTCCTCCAAGGCCGTATCCGCTTCCGCCTCCAAGGCCATATCCTCCTCCTCCACCACCACCACTGATGGTGCTAGAACTGCTGACCACAGCTGTGGAGTAGGAAAATTATATTAGAGATGTCCTTCTGTCCCTCAAGCAAAGAGCCTTGTTTCTTAACGGAGTCAGATGCTATGGCACATACTTACATACGTTAACAGGGGTTGAGAATTCTCCAGACATCCTGAAAAGATAAACACAACCTATTGAAGTGAGAGCAAACCATGCTAGGCCAGCTTGTTAATTTCATTAGTTATAGGGATTGATTTAGCTCAGCCTTCCTCCACCTGTTGCCCTTCAAATGTTTTGGACTACAATTCCCATCAGCCCCAGTCAGCATGGTCAATGTTCAGGGGTGCAGTCCAACCCGCTCTTTAGTGCTCTATCAGAGCAAATGTTAATTCAGGTTTTTCGCAGATGGATGTTTGCTCCAATTAAGAATCCAAGAGTGGGTTTTCATGGGGAAAGCTCCGGAGCAAAAGGGGGGGGGGGACTGGGACACAGAGCTTTGAATTGTGGGCTGTAGCACAATTTAAGAGTGGAGGAAAGGTAAGTGTGGATAAGCCCTGAGATGAATAATGTAGCTTTGGGCAGAAGTCAAACTGCAGCAAACGGAAACAGTGCTGCATGTGACAAAAACAAGGTGGAATAGAAAACAGTGCCTCCTAATTTGGAGGGCCACTGCTTCCCCAGCCCTGCTCCAATACTTGAATCTACCTACATTCATTCTATTTAGGGGGGGTTATATATAATTTATATATCTTGATTTTTTAAAATCTAAGCAGTGTACAGGGCCCGGGGGGTAGAGGGGTGCAGGGCACCTGGGTGTCAAATTCTGGGAGGCACCAGGCGCCTGCTGCTGAAGCTGCCTAAGATTATGTTATGTATTGAATTGAGCTGCTATGCGTCAGCAGGGTCAGCGGTACCTCTAACACAAAGGATCTCGTGCCAGCGAGAAAATGTTTATTTTCACTAATTGTTGGCATTTTCATTGACTAACTACTTAGTATTTAGGGCTCTACTACACATGCGTTTCAGCACACGATTTTAGTTTTCCATTTCCTCAAAAATGCGCCAGCTAAACTAAATTTGGGGGTGCTGGGCTGATCTTTGCACCCCGGAGGCACATATGCTAAAGACGGCCCTGGCAGTGTACACAAACCAATGCAAAATAAAAAAAATTCTTTAAAAAGATTGTTAAAAAGCTCTTACAAAGAAACTCCCTTAAAAGAATCAAGTCTATTTGTCCTAAGAAAGTCTTTAAAAGAATCCTTCCAATAGCACCTTAGAGACCAACTAAGTTTGTTCTGGGTATAAGCTTTTGTGTGTATGCACACTTCTTCAGGTACTCTGAGACAGAAGTCACCAAACCCTTATATATAATAAGAAGGAGGGGAAGGATTGATGACTGCAATTGGTCTGACAGGAAAAAGCAAGGGATTTTTAAAGAGCTAGTGACCAATAATAGCTTTAGCAAGCATCCCTTGCTTTTTCATGTAAGACCAATTACAGTAATCAACAGTCGTCAACAGGTTCACCACACCCATTAGCCAATCACCCATTCCCACAACCCTTCTAAGAAAAATCCTGAAATACAGTCATACCTCGGGTTACGAACGCTGCGGGTTGTGTGTTTTCGGGTTGCGGACCGCGCCAAACCTGGAAGTACTGGAATGGGTTACTTCCGGGTTTTGGTGCTTGCGCATGCACAGAAGCGTAAAATTCACGTCACATGCATGCGCAGAAGTGCCAAATTGCATCACGCGGGTGCGCAGGCGCGGCGCTTCAGGCTGAGAACGCTGCAGTGCCTCCCACACAGATCACATTTGCAATCTGAGGTATGACTATAAAAAGGTTTTAAACACACATTTAAAACAGGATAGCGAGGGTGCCTGTCTAATGTTAACAGGAAGGGAGTTCCAAAGCAAAGGCACTGCCACATTGATGGATTGACACCTGACAGCTGCAGAATGAACATTGCATGGTCCTTGAAAATTCAACAGATTTACATTCAACAGAGTACATTCCTCATTGAAGAAAACTCCCCAAGGGCTACTAGGCAGTGGCTGTTCCATGAACTGGATACAGGGCAGGGGCGGAGCTCAGTGACAGAATATGCGCCTTATATGCCTATCCAATCCCTGTTTGCTCCAGGTACTGTTGGGGACGGACTCCATTCTGAAACCCTGGAGAGCTGCTGTCAGTCAGTGTAGGCAGTTCTGAGATAGGTGAACCAATAGCCTGTCTTAGTATAAATCAGCCTCCTACGTTCCACATTCTAAAAAGAACTAGGAGTCCCATTCAAAACATCCAGCCACAAAATGGCAGACATATTTTGCACCTGGATCCACATGCCGTCAGATATGTCTGATTTCCCAGTGCCTACCTGATCTCCTCTCCCTCCAGCAGTGTCTTGTATGTAGCAATTTCAACATCCAGGGACAGCTTCACATTCATCAGTTCCTGGTAGTCCCGCAGCAGACGAGCCAGCTCGTCCTTTGCCGTGTGCAGAGCAGTCTGCAGGTCAGCCAGTTTTGTCCTGGCATCTTTGAGGGCCATTTCCCCACGCTGCTCACATTCTGCTATGGAAGATTGCAGGCCATTAATCTAAAAAATAAAATAAAATAAAAAATGGAGAAAAGTGCCTCCGTTGGTTATTAGTTATTAATCATGTGGGTTGGTTTCCTACATCTTTCCCCCAAACGCTATTCTGAAAGAAAGGGGGAGTATCAAAGATGGCAATTGCCAAGGCAACTGTGCATCCGGAGATGTCTTAATCAAAGATTTTGTGGGCTCTGCCAACATCCATTTTACGATACAGGATCCAGTAAAATAAGTAGGTTTTGCTTTCTGCTTTCCATTGGTCTTTCCACTTTCTTCATCATCATGCAACACTTCTCCTCTCACCACACTCAAAGCTGACCAGTCTATTGGATGGGTAGGGACGCGGGTGGCGCTGTGGGTAAAAGCCTCAGTGCCTAGGACTTGCCGATCGAAAGGTCGGCAGTTCAAATCCCCGCGGCGGGGTGCGCTCCCGTCGCTCGGTCCCAGCGCCTGCCAACCTAGCAGTTCGAAAGCACCCCCGGGTGCAAGTAGATAAATAGGGATCGCTTACTAGCGGGAAGGTAAACGGCGTTCCGTGTGCTGCGCTGGCTCGCCAGATGCAGCTTGTCACGCTGGCCACGTGACCCGGAAGTGTCTGCGGACAGCGCTGGCTCCTGGCCTCTAGAGTGAGATGAGTGCACAACCCTAGGGTCTGGCAAGACTGGCCCGTACGGGCAGGGGTACCTTTACCTTTACCTTTAGTATTGGATGGGTAGCGTACATATCCCAAGTCCTGTCCCTGAAAGAAACACCCTGCCCTCATATTGCTGCTTTTATTTGTGATGCTGTTGCTTGTTACAATGAGAGGTGAATTTTTTGCTTTATGGGATAAGGGATGAGGAACAGGTTAGGACTAAAGAAGTACTCTGTATGTAGGAAGGAATGAGGCCAAAAAAAATAATAAATAATAAATGCAAAGGGAAGGCCAGCTTGGAACTTTCTTTCATTCTATTGGCTATTGCCAACTCTACCCACTGAGTCTATCTACAAAATCTTACTTTGACACTATAGTTGCTCACACATTCAAGAGATGCTTTTGACATCTGATATTGCAACAGTCTTGCCATAACTGCTGTTGGTCACTTCTCATTAGAGATGTCAGATAATTCCAATGCCAACAATGTTCTCTTATTTGTTTCATGTCTGGAATGGAAACTAATCCAGAGAATACAGTTGGCATTCACTGCTGTTGTTGCTTTCAATCCACGAAAATTACAAAATTGATTGCATTCCCCCCACTATTTTCATTGCATTTCCTTTGCACTGAAATGAATGGGGTGGATGCTGTCATTGCATAATTTATGTAATATAAGCCACAGTGGACAGTGAGATGAATAATGTAGGTTTTGGCAGAAGATGAACTGCAGCAGAGCGGAAGCAGCACTGTATGCAACAAATACAGGGCAGAGTGGGAAATGAGCAATGGAGCGATGGATCCAAACTACAAGAAAGACGAAAAACTACAAGAAAGACATTAGGAAGAACTTCCTGACAGTAAGAGCTGTTCGACAGTGGAATTTGCTGCCAAGGAGTGTGGTGGAGTCTCCTTCTTTGGAGGTCTTTAAGCAGAGGCTTGACAACCATATGTCAGGAGTGCTCTGATGGTGTTTCCTGCTTGGCAGGGGGTTGGACTCGATGGCCCTTGTGGTCTCTTCCAACTCTATGATTCTATGATTCTATTCTATGATTCTTTTCTATGATGCCTTGAAACATCCCTACTCCTCACCTACCTTTCCCTCTGAAACTTTAATACTTATTGCCTTGCCTGTGGTTTATGGTGTTCCATGGCTCTCCACCCCCTCCTGCCCCTGCTATTTCTTAAATCGACCTCCTTTCATAAGCCAAAAATGCACCCAATCATTGATAATTGCATACGGTAAGCCCAGGTTAAATCCTGGGGGTGAGGAAGGTGTTAGGAGGGTTAGAATATATGAGAGCTGTCTGAAGGCATGTTATTCAGGTCTGGACCTGGGAGTTGCGTGGAAGGGACAATTGTATAGTGAGCTATATATAAGCTGCTTTAAGCTCCTAGGAGGAAGAACAGGATGTACAAGCATAAGACACAAATAGCAACAACACAGGTCCTTGACAAACTGAGTAAGAGCGATCAGAAGGAATTGTTTGGATATCTTGTGACTTGCTCAAAACTTGTCCAGGATGGGCTGAGCTTTTCGTAGATTTATACAGCATATTATAGGAGAAGGAACTTTGAGCCTCATGAAGCCCCTAGCTGCCTCAATTGGTTGCCTACAGGCTATGTGGAGGGGGAAAAAAGTTATGACTTACAGCTTTCTGCACAATTTCAATTTCAGAGCGAAGTCTTTGGACAAGCCGGCTCATCTCTGCGATCTCATCTTTGGTGGATTTCAAGTCATCGCCATGTTTGAAAGCTGTAGTTTGGAGTTCCTGGAACTGATATACACAAAACAAAATAGCAATCATCATAAGCAACTCATGTCAACAAGTTCTTCTAAGTACATGTCTGTAAATGGATATAGATAAAGGAGTTGGTGCTCAGTTAGATTTCAGTTGGTAGCATGTTGCATCGATTAGAAAGGACACATCGTTGCAATTTTACAAAGAAAGGTGTAATGGATGCATTTCTACACAGATGTTGGAAACAGATGGATGGTATTAAGTTCAGGGATGTGGGACCTGCAGCCATCTAAATGTTGCACTACAACTTCCACCACCCCTCCCAATTTGTCATGCTGGCTGGAGCTGGAAACTGTTGGAGACCAACAACACCAGGAAGGCCAGATGGACCATATCTTTGTACTAAAGTGTAATGTGTGAATATTTTCTGCTTAAGCCAACAAAGATGAGCTGAACAACATAACACAACACGATGGCCAATAACAATGGCACTAAACACTATTTATAGACTAATACAAATGATCAGAAATCTTCTTCATCAGTGACTACAGTATCATATGAGCACTGATCCAGAGCATATTTTCTACAGCGTTTATATTTGCTTACATGTAAGATTGGCTTGTTAAGAAATTGAACTGCATCCTTCTCATATTAATTCTTACAAATCTGGCTGATAAAGAATTGATCAAGATTGGCTGATGAAGCATGGAACAAAACAGATTGGTTATCCGGAAACTCTGTTCCGGCGATATTTGGTGACAGATTATGTATATATCAAACTTTTGAATTATTCTACCGTGACTGGTGAAGAAGATTTAGAGACTTTGGTTGCAATTTCTGATCGTTTGTATTAGTCTATAGATAGTGTTTAGTGCTATTGTTATTGGCTATCATGTTGTGTTATATTGTTCAGCTTGTCTATATAAGCCAGCAAAGAGGCACATGCATTTGTACATGGGAGGAAATCTTTGTGTCCTTGTGAATGGACTCATGTGGAAATACTTAATGGAAGGAATTCAATGTAGCACTAAGCTGATTACTCCATTGAGACAAGCATTTCTGCTGGCTTGATGGAATGATCTCCCCCTGCATGCTGTTTTTGGGGTTCTCCTGACACCCCTAAACCAATTAGGGGAGCATAGGGAATGGGGGGAGGGAAAACCCCATTGTGCTAGTGCAAGTCATTGCATAAGCTTCTGCAGGCATGCTTTGTTAGCTGAATCTCACCCAATGTGTGAAGTAGGCAATCATAAACATTGTCTATTCTGTGATGCCTATGAATTGGTATTGTAGTTACTTCATTCCTACATTAACATCAGCTAGCTGGGGAGGGTGATGTTGAGGCAGGAAGAAACCATGGCTTTGGCCCAACATAAATAGTTCTGTCAACTATTATTAGAGTGATGCGAGGAGAGATCAGGTCATAAAAACTATTGTTCAAATTGTCGTGCTTCTCAGTTGCTATAACTGGATCATAGTTTAGCAATTTCGGAGCTCAAAAAAGAAAATAAGAATAGAGAGAAGAATAGAGAGAATTTTCATATTGCAAAAGTTTTATATCAGTTTGGATTTATTTTGTGTGACAAACTATTCTTTTCATTTTCCTAAAGACTTAGCCCAACCACTTGAAAAGATGAGCACTGGCTAATGGGGGGGGGGGGGACTAGTGGTTCCATAAGTCACCATGTGAAAAATAAAGTGCCAATTTAAAATTATAATTTTTTGAACTCATATTGTTCAAACTTTAATATCCATAAAATCTTACAGGTTTCTAATTTAAAATTTTGATTGCCAACTATTGACTGTCAAATATAAAGTATTCTGAAATTTAGCATGGGGCGCTAAATTCTGCTTTGAATTCCAATGAACAATTTGGAACAGTTCAAAAATCTACTTTCAAATTCAGGAGGGCCTTTGAATTTCAGTTTTTGGCAACACTTTGTGTCTGAGTTATAGCAAAATTTTACCTTATTTTGGTACCAAGCCTCTGCCTCAGCTCTGCTCCTGTTGGCAATATCTTCATACTGAGCTCTCACTTCAGCAATGATGCTGTTCAGGTCCAGATCTCTGTTGTTGTCCATTTGTAGGACGACATTGGTGTCTTTAACCTGTGCCTGTACCTGAGTCAGTTCCTGTGGGAATTATGAAATAATTTTTATTATCAATTGAAAAAACTTTTGTGCTATCTTGGTCTTTACATCTTGTGGTTTCTGGCACCAGCAGGTATTTATTCATTTTTAATCCTTCCTTTCTATTAAAAGGAACATTTGAGATAGCCTACAAACTGGACTGAAACCTGTGGTTGCTGAAAAGAAATGGATTTTATTTATAGCCTTGCTACAAACGCCACTATCAGATATACTGTAAGAGGTCCTTATGGGGAAAAGCAGAGACTGCACTTGAAGGTGCTGTCGCAAAAGGGAGAAACTCTCCCCTGACTCCTGGTGCTTGACAGCCTGGCTTTCATGTGCCTGTATGCACAGAGCACATAACAGCATAGCACATCACCAGCGGCGGAGAAAGCCACTCAGGAGCCTGGGGTGGCACGCCCAGGGGTGGGGCAAGCCCATAGGGCCGGGGCAAGGGTGGGGCACACCGCAGAGTCTGCCTGCCTCCTCCCCCTCAGCCGCCCTACAACTGGGGGGGAGGCAGCAGGCGGACTGTTTGGGCAGTGCAGAGCCTATGTGCACCCAAACCACCGTGTCTCTCCCAGGAGAGACACATGGCTTGGGTGCACTGCAGGCCCTGCGGTGAGTGCTGCCCATCATTTTGTCACCTCCTCAGTGGTGACACCCGGGGCGGACCATACCCACCACAAACCCCTTCTTCCGCCTGTGCACACCCCAGCCAAGGACCCTGGCACTCACCCTGCCATAATAACAGGAATTGGTTTAGCGGGTGTTAAAATTAATGACTGGCTTGAAGAGAGAAGTTCAGTTTAGGATGTTTGCTTGTTTTTAACAAACTGGAATAAAGTCAAGTCCTTGGGGAATAGGTTGGCAGGTGGATATGAATTTGTTGAAGTACAGGCATACCTCGGAAGTCGAACGGAATCCATTCCGGAAGTCCATTCAACTTCTGAAAAGTTCAAAAACCAAGGCATGGCTTCCAATTGCGTTCCAATTGCGCAGGCGCACCAGAAACAATAGTGGAAGCTGCACCGGACGTTTGGCTTCCAAAAAAAATTCGAAAACCAGAACACTCACTTCCGGTTTTCGATCATTCAGGAGCCAGAACATTCAACTCCCAAGGCATTCGGGAGCCAAGATACGACTGTATTTTAGTCTGTTCAAGGGATCTGTTGTTTGTGGGGCTGTAGTTATTTGTCACATTTTGGATGATGAAGTTGGTTTAGTAATACATTCCCATACAGTTAGAAAAGGAGATAAAAATCTTTACCACATCGAAGAGCGCTCTTAAGAACTGGATGTGCTGAGTCAAGGAGTCAGCCTTGGATCCCAGATCTATCTTGTGCATGTAGGAGCCATCCACATCCTTAGGGGTGAACATAAAATCACTGTTAGCATAAGACGAGCAGAGTGTGTGTGCAATAAGGCCCAATATTAGGGGCAAACTCCAAAACATATTGGTGTAATACACCCTGGAACAAAGTGAAGTGGAATTCCCTGATGTGAATCTGTTGATTAAGAACTAACCTCAACAGCTAGGCTTCTGTTTTGTCAAAAGTCTTCCTCAAAATTGAATTTAACAATCAAAATCCACCCAAAGCTGAGCTTTATATGATTTTGAACATAACTGAAAAGTGAGTGACCTTTCATGCCAGCTCTGACCGTTGTCTGCTTCACCAGTCAAATGGCACAAACCATGGTTTAGGTCTGGGTTTGGCACAAATGGAACTACAAAGTGCAAAAGTGCTGACTTTAGTCATTATTCTTGCACTACAGATGGATACGTGAATACAGATACTTAGGATCAGGGTGTATAAGAAATAGGAAATAAGAGTGGTCTGCCATTCTGGTTTTAAACTTTCCTAATGCCACTTACCTTTTTGAGCACCACAAAGTCATTTTCACAAGCTGTACGTTTATTAATTTCATCTTCATATCTGTTAGAAAGGGGGAAATAATTATTGTCACCATGATAATTTAGGTGCATGAAATACAAACCTTACAAGCATAGAATCATGGAATTATACAGTTGAAAGGGACTCTGAGGGTCATCTAGTCCAACCCCCTGCAATGCAGTGTCCCGTATGGGGACTGAACCTGCAACCTTGGTGTTATCAGCACCACACTCTAACCAACTGAGCTACCCAGTAGTATATATCTTCATAACAACATTGTGAGGCAGATGAAGCTATGAGACAGTGATTTACTCAAAGTGTTACAGGAAGCCCCATGTTTTGGAAGACTGCTTTATCCCAAGAGATTATGCTTTGCGTGGACAGGTGGAGTCCCCCCAACCCCAGGTGACCCCCAAGCGGAATAATGACTCAAGACAACATGCTATGAGATTAAAATTGGCCACAACTTTATTAAGTTTCAGATGTAGGGAGACCTTGGCTCAGGCATTGGGTGTTTATCCTTCCCAGTCCCCAGCCGGGAATCTAGGAGACATCAGGGTTATCCAGAATGTGTAGGGATTGGGCTGGCTCTGGAGAACATATGTTCAACCAGAGAGCCCGGCCCCCGTTTTGCCACCATCACAGGGGAGAGCAATGACAACCTCTCGGCATATGGCCAATGCCTCCCCTCAAGACCCCTTTAACAAGGAACCCTGGGATCACCGCCACAAGGGTGGCGTGGGTCACCGCTTCACACACACACACCCCATTTAGGAAGATAGACTAAAGGATTCCACCCAAGGCCTGAAACCGCCAAAGTTGTGACATTTTGCTACGGGAAAGGCAAAACCTGCCAATGCAGGAAAATTCCTTTCTGGCCCTTCAACAGCAACCATGACGTAGCAGTGCCCACGTACCTGTGGAGAAAAGGTTAACCTGCAAAAGAAGGCTTAACTGAGGGAGGGCAGGGTGGGAGAAGCTCTGGAGCCAACTGACGCTTCTCAGGTAAGATTCACCTTCTGTTGTGTGGGCAGGGCAGTCCCTCCCCCTACCTGGCCAATCCCCTGGCAATGCCTCCCCAGGTGGGATTGGGTGATTGGCTGAGGTAGGCAGAGACCTCCAGGTATCCAGCCTGGGGAGGGTGAAGCCAGCCCGTACAACTGGGAGCCACACTGGGATCTGGGGAGCTGTGTGCGACCACGCAAAAGGCGCCCCATTTGATGTGGGGAGTGGTCATTCTGCTGGATCACAGCCATCTCACACCCTCCAACTTCCTGCTGATCAAAATCAAGACGCTCACTTTTTGGTCCCAAATTCCTGCGCTGGGCCAAAAAGGACATGCCAGGATCCAATCAGAAACAAGGATGGCTTCTGTAATTCTGGGATGTCCTGCTCAAATTGGGATGGTTGAGGAGTATGCTATCCTTGTGGGAAATTAACTGATGATGAATGGAAGAGTCCAGAGGTGGGAAATACTTTTCAGCCTGAGGGCCACATTTCCCCATAGAGAACCTTCCAGAGGCCACATGCCAAGTAGGGCCAGAGGCAAAAAAAAGTGGGCAGAACTATGGATGTCACTTTTTAAAAGTAGGCTCGATTTCAGTCAGGCTAAAGTCACACACACTCACACACAACACACACATCTATTTGTCCTCCAAGCAGGCAAGCAAGAGGCATTGTCACCCTCACTGCCACCTTTTCTGACACATACTTGTTCTTGAAATCCTCTACAAGCTCCTGTGTGTTCTTCAGTTCGATGTCCAGGTGGTTTTTATCGTTGACTAGGTGGTCAAGCTGCCTTCGGAGAGTGTCAATGTAAGCCTCATAAAGCGGCTCAAGATTGTCCCTCAGAGCTGGGCTGCCCTGCTGGTAGAGCAAGTCCCATTTGGTCTCCAGCACTTTGTTCTGTTGCTCAAGGAATCGCACCTGAAACACAACAAGGGAAGGGCAGAGATGAGACTAGAGGTTATAGTTCCCAGGATTCCTTGAGGAAAACCACGTACTTTAAAGGCATGGTGTGAATGTGATCAGAGTCAATTCACAGAGTTTTCATCATGTAAAAAGAGGATGGTGAGTCTCTGGCCCTGTACTAAATACCTGCCATGCACATTCTAAGGTATTACACTCCTTTGGTAGGACTATACCACCACAGGTATACCTGTCTCACAATATATTAGTACCAGGGGAGGCATAGCTTCTTTCAACCTTTCGTCTGCCCCTTCAGTGCATTTTAAAAAGCCAATTAAAACTGAAATGAAATCATGCATAAATTTATAACTCAGCAATATTTGAAATATTACGTTCTAAAAGGTGGAACTGTGACTTTTGAAAATGGTGACTTTCAAAATTTTATTGTGAATGACAATTAAGACCATAAGTATATTTGCTGCTGCAGCAACAACAACAAAACCGCCCAGTCCAGTGGGGCCTTAGTGAAGATCTGCTCGGTACATTTGGGGAAGTGAAAAAATAGAAATGTTTTTCTAACTAGTAAGGACTCTTTGTTATAAAATGAAAGCCACTTTGTATATTTTGGGTGTGAGCATGATCCGTTCTTGATCACGGAGCCCCTAAAGTGAGAGTGAAAATATAGGAAAGGGGGAACTGGGTGGTGCTGATAAATGATTTTCAGTTAAAACATATTTATTATTATTAAGATATAAATCAAGCACAGAAACCCATTTCCTAACAGTAATTCAAACTCTCAAATTACTCCAGAATACAGGCTTTTATACTGTGGGAACTGAATGCACACTGGAACTCTGCCAAGGAGTCTCTGGGTGGCCTTGGGCAAACTATCTATCTCACAGTTTCAGCTCCTTAATCTGTACAACAAGAGACATAGTAATAAGGAACTGAGCCTAAAGGGATGTTGGAAGAATTAATGGGATAATGGTTTTTGAAGCTTGGTGCAAGTGTAGCACAGTTGCAAGACTATTCCCAACATGGGACGAAACCCTTGCTTGCTCACTTGGAAGAAGATGATCCTTTCCCCATTAGTAGAGCGCAGAACCCTGGACGTCTTTGCACGGGTAGGGAAGTAATTCTGACATAAAGGTAAAGGGACCCCTGACCATTAGGTCCAATCGTGACCGACTCTGGGGTTGCGGCGCTCATCTCGCTTTATTGGCCGAGGGAGCCGGCGTACAGCTTCCAGGTCATGTGGCCAGCATGACTAATCTGCTTCTGGCGAACCAGAGCAGCGCATGGAAACGCCGTTTACCTTCCCGCCGGAGCGGTACCTGTTTATCTACTTGCACTTTGACGTGCTTTCGAACTGCTAGGTTGGCAGGAGCTGGGACCGAGCAACGGGAGCTCACCCCGTCGCGGGGATTTGAACCACCGACCTTCTGATCGGCAAGTCCTAGGCTCTGTGGTTTAACCCACAGCGCCACCCGCGTCCAATATGGACCATATCTTTGTACTAAAGTGTAATGTGTGAATATTTCGAACTGCTAGGTGGGCAGGAGCTGGGACCGAGCAACAGGATTCGAACCGCCGACCTTCTGATCAGCTAGTCCTAGGCTCTGTGGTTTAAAGTGCCACCCGCGTCCCCTAATTCTGACATAAGCAGTAGGAAAACTTTGCTTATAAGAAGTACAGGTACAGAGAAACTGCTGAAAAGTGTGAAATTATATTGAGAGTGTTTTTAGGTTTTAGGTTCTGCACAGGAGCAGACTGCATGAAAGTTCTGACTGTTTGCTGTTCTTTGAAAATAACGCTATGTCTAAAATAAGGCCTTTCCATCTTCCTTTTTTTGGGTAGAGGGGTAGGAGATACCTGAATTCCATGCATAACATGGATTCAAATTAACATTAAACACTAGTAGCCTGCACCCTAATCCCAAAGCTGCGATCCCAGTTAACATCTGATTCCACAACAGGCCATAATTGGTACGGGCTGCATGCAGGTTTCTGACACCATATCATCTCACAGGCGAGCAACAAGTACCTGGATGAAATCATATGGATGAAACCACGATGGCATAAATCAGGCCTATGCGTAACTATGCGTGAAGCACATCCTGTGTTCCTTGAGGGTGTTAAGTGTGCACATCGTATTTAATGTGAGAAGACAGGACCAGAATATCATCCCAATATATTTTTTGGGAAACCAATAAGGGAAATGACACCCCTCCCCACAAGCTACATGTTCCTCTTCTGATAGGGCAAGGAAGCATAATACTGTCTTCACTTGATCTCCATTTACCCCTTCAGCACAAGAATGTACACAGCCACTGACTCCATATCTGATCTATCCCACCTATGGCAGCCACAATACAACAACATTGACATACAAGAAGTAGCCTGAACTGGTTTTGTATTAATTCAGTACTTATATATGTACACGTGGCCCTGAATTTTTCAAAAAGGAACACTTTCCTGATAAAACATCTGTGTTCAACATCTGTGAAAATTTGTGCCTAATATTTCAATAGGGATGGGCCAATCTGTAAATTTCAGTTTCTTTTTATTTCTTCTTTTCCCCCGTCCTTCGCATTTCCATATCAGTTTGAAATAAAATAAAAAAATTCTAGTGAAAAGTCATCATTTTAGTGTGAATTTAGTGTGAATATACATTTTTGTGTGCAATTTGCCTAACAGAGACATTTTGGCAAAACAATTTCCCCTGATACAATGTATTTCTGTATGTTTATTAATATTTGCATGTACATCCAGACTTTAGCATATGCTCTTTGTACACATTATTGGCTGGAGAACTGGATTCCAAATCACAAAGGATGTGTTTCTGTTCACATCTTGATTCAGAAAGTGCAAACTGAATTGAATCCCCCACCTATTCCTGCATTTTGAAAACACTAATATTTATATTTTGCTAATCAGTTGTTAAATTCAGTGCCTGGGCTATCACATGTGGCTGCAATACATTTTTATAGTCCCTTCTTCATCAAAATGTACAGTGGTACCTCGGGTTAATTACTTAATTCATTCCAGAGGTCCGTTCTTAACCTGAAACTGTTCTTAACCTGAAGCACCACTTTAGCTAATGGGGCCTTCTGCTGCTGACGCGCCGCTGGAGCACAATTTCTGTTCTCATCCTGAAGCAAAGTTATTAACCCGAGGTAATATTTCTGGGTTAGCGGAGTCTGTAACCTGAAGCGTATGTAACCTGAAGCGTATGTAACCCGAGGTACCACTGTATAGCTAAAAGGTCTAATTACAGCAGAACCCTATGCCTGCCTGCTGAGAAGTCCCAGTGGGACTTGCTCTTAGGGAAATGAGAACAGGACTGCAGCCTTAAATTTTGGGGAGCGAGTGGGGTTATTCAGTAGCTTTGAATTAAATTATTATGATTATAGCATTCCAGTACAGCTATAGATAGTGCCCTACTCAGTTACGCAATCTTCCACTCTCTTTCTCCATTTGCATTTTAAAAGGGGAAAACAATGACGTTCTCCTGGCAAACTGGAGGTGTGCAGCATTTGATAACTTTGTCAAGGCTTTGGAAAGCAATGAGCTTCCCAAAGGGGAATGTTTTGAATGAGTGTTTGGCATGAAATTGACAAGGTAAATGTCAGAGACAATTTTAAGCTAGGCGAGCCATTAATTCTCCTTTAAAATTGCTGGAATTTGTCCATCTAGAAGATTATTAACACATCTTAAAGGCTACATTGAAGAGCTACGAAAATGATCACGCTGAACATGGAGGAATTTAGTGAGCCTTCAGCTACATTGTGACTTCAGAAGTATCATGTGACACTAGCTTTCCCCAGCCCAGTACTGGATCCACAGTTCTTTGTATCTTTGCGATTGGGTTTAATTCTTCCTTTTCTTTTCTCTTTTCAAAATTTGTGTACTGCCCGCCATCCGTAAATCTCAGGGCTGTTCACAACATAAAATTTACCCTTGACATTACTGCTGTAAAACTAATCAAAGATTTAAGATTTATGTGTATTATTGCTGTTGTCATGATGATGATGATGATGATGATGATGATGATGTAACTCTCTCAAAGACAAATTTCAAACACAGAATCTGTAGCATTTCCAAATTCAAAAAGGTAAGTTCTGGAATCTTGCTAACTGTTGACTTCATGAAATTTCATTTCCATTCCATTTGGAATAGATGTATGTTTAAAAGTAGTTTGGTCCTCAAAATCACCTTGCATGTGGGAAGTTTGAACCTCAGGGTTCTGTGTACATTCCAGCCATTTGCTGCTCTTGTAAAAAAAACTACTGCGTATCCATCAGGGCTATATTTACTCAGATGCATCTCAATTTTAGGAACACAAAATCCTCTTTTGAGAAGCAGCAATGAAATATTTGCCCCAAATGACTTGCTCTGCAGATTAATGTCTGTTGAGGAATCAAAATGGTTTGTGCCTCATGGATGCTTATAAGTCGATATAACTGACGTTGCTGGTCCTACATTTGCTTGCAAGGCTACCTAGAACACTAGAATAGCATTATCACTATTGAATTTCTCAGTCAGAGATCTTTCCTAGCCCTTGTTCTAGAAATGCTGTGGATAGAATTTAGGTCCTTGCGCATATACTCTGATAATGGGAGCTCTACTCATTCCATGTTACGCTAATATTAAATGTCCTAAACATGTAAGCATCCACAAAACATAGAACCAGCCTTTTAAGCATGTGTGATCAACAGTAAGGTATGGTCCACAAACTTCATGGCTCATAAACATCTAAATTGCCCAGATGGCATGATGTATGGAATCTTTAGAAGCTTACAAATCTCAATAGTTTATCTTTTTACATAGGTATAAGTAGATAGAATCACAGAGTTAAAAGGAACCAACTACTCAGAAACTAGCTCCTTCTCATATCGGTAGCATCCTTCACAGCTGCTTGTCCAGGCTTTGAACAACAAGGATGTTCTACAATCCCCTTAAAGAAGCTAATTCTGCTGCTGAACTATGCTTGCATAGTTTCTTAGTGTTTAACCTACATCCATAGATTAAAGTTATTTGCCCTTGCCCTAGAATTACAAGCAATTGAAAACCAACATTTTATTGCTTCAGGCCTAGTGATGCTATCCCCCCTTACACTGCTTTGTGTTCACCAAGATACCCATACATGAAATAGCATCATTCTAACCACTTGTATTGTGAGAAAAAGTTACTTCATTTCCTATTTTAGAATATCAACAGGTCATTTTTGTCTTCCTTTCGCCCCTTTTGCAACTTCCTCCCTGTTCCATCTTACCTTATCGATGAAAGAGGCAAATTTGTTGTTGAGGGTCTTGATCTGTTCCCTCTCTTGCACCCGGACCCTCTGGATGTCAGGATCAACCTCCATGTGCAGAGGAGCCAATAGGCTCTTGTTTACAATGACATTGTGGATTCGTCCCGGAGCTGGACAGGGAGCAGGGCCTGCAAGGGCATATCCACCACCACCACCAAAGCCTCCAACATGACTGCCCATGCCAAGACCACCACCAAAGCCTACTCCACCACCATAACCTCCATAACCGCTGCTAAAACTGCTGAATCCTAGACCGCCCCCAACACTTCGTGCGCCAAAGCCTCCTCCAAAGTGAGCACCACCACCACCACCAGAAACTAGGCCTGTGGATATCCGCCTGCTTCCATTAAGGTTGTAGAGACTTCTGCTGCCAAAGCCACCACTGAAGGCTCCCACTCCTCCAACAGGAACAACAGAAGTTGAGCCGCTGCCCATTCGAAAGCCACTGCCAGAAACAGAATAGCCCCTTCTTCCACCTGTTGAGAACGATCTGGAACTGAATTGCCGGTTCATTGTGGCTCCTTGGGAGGATGGAAAAAGGTAGGATGGCAAAAGTTGCGAAGCAGGGAGAGACGAGCGGAGACTGGAGGAGACCGAGAGCCCCCTGTGATGTGGGAGTGGGATATTTCTCCTTATATGTGTTTGGAGAGCTGGGCTTGGTTGCCTGGGAATGGGAAGATTAAGGCAAAATATTCATCAAGGGCTTGGCTTGCCTTCAAGCAATGAGTTCTCCACTAACGGCTCAACACCAAATGCAACACACCTATTAGATAGCTTTTAATTTGTCGAAATTGCTTGCCATGCAATACTTGCTCGTTAGCATCTCTTTCATGTTAACCGCTACCATGTTTGCCTCCTGCAAACGGCTTTAAGCTATGGGACACAAAGGTGAGATAACGCAATGTAGGATGATGCTAACCAAGAGATATATTCTCTACCCATTAATGGTCTCGCGTAGAGAGATCTAAGTATGCGTCGGGATGAAGAATGTTCTGCAGAAGCCATAATTTGCACACCTCTAGGGTGATATCCTTTAGAGAACATGAGACATGGAAAAGGGAAACTGACGTTTTGTGTGCAATAAAATACAGAAGTCATTCAGTGAGGAGGAGAGGAGGAATTGCTAGCTGCAGTGTCTCTACTCACTTCCATTCCTCATGAGCCCATGGTGATGTGAGAAGAAACTAGCAAAGATAGAGCTATTGGGCAACAACATATTTTACTTCGTGCTAGAGCATCACTGATATGCAAGGGCTATCTACCCACAATTGTTGCTTTTCATTTGTTTGCTTGTTAGCTGGACTAAAGAGATCTATGTGTACCACACAGAGACTAGAGATGGGGGAAGAAATTTGATTCACTCCACATACAAAGTTGCCTAACACACACTTTCCAAGACTTTCATGGGTATTCCATTTCAAATTTACATGCAGCGAGAACTTCAATAGGTTGTATCCAAAGCAGCACAAATTCACTGACGCATCGATGCAAGGATTCCTGCATGTACAATGGGACTTCCCTACTCTCTTCTCCCTGAACATCTCCTAAATCAGTACTAGGGGTGCCCCAAACCCTACATAGCAGATTCGAGCAGAATGCATTGGAGGAGGGAAGGGGCAGGAGTCCCACTTCACAAGCAGAAATCTTTGCACTCCTGGGATGCATTGGTTGGATTCCACCCAGTCAATTTTTAATTGGATTTTTATATGTCTTATGTTTATTGGTTCCTTCTTTTGCATCCTTCATTTCAGCTTATTCATTTAAACATTCAAAATAGTAAAATAGTGATAAGAGCTACAACCAATAAGAGCAACGTACAAGAAGATGAAAATCACGTTATGTTCAATAAGTCGTAAATCAATTTCAGCTGAGAAATGCCATTATGCAACCTGCAAATATCAGGAAAATATTGATTAAGGGCTGTACAGTTATACCTCGGGTTGCGATCGCTGTGGGTTGTGTGTTTTTGGGTTACGGACGCACTGAACCCGGAAGTACCGGAACGGGTTGCTTCCGGGTTTTGGCGCTCGTGCATGCACACTAAATCGCGCTTAGCGCATGTGCAGAAGCGCCGAATCATGTCACGTGTGTGCGCAGACGCAGTGCTGTGGGTTGCGAACACTGCAGGTTGCAAACATGCCTCCCGCATGGATCACATTCGTAACCTGAGGTTCCAGTGTAAACAGCACTTAGGTGCTGCTCTTGCAACAGACTTCCATTTGTGCAATGGAACTTGTCTTTCTTCTCATCTTCACTGCTGCCCACAACTTTAAAGTGCCCTCCACGGGGCCGGGGACCCTCCAGAGAAGATTTGGGAGTCACACAGGGACAAGAGATAAAGGGGAAGTTTCATTATACAAGTGGAACTTCACTCATGCAGCATGGTACACAACCCCTAATGATTTGTTTTAGAATTAGAGAACAGCCTAGATCAGAATAGTGGTCCATCGGCTACCTCCACAGCAAAGCAAATGCACTAACACCAGTCTACACCCTTGACAAGAAGCAAATTATGTCCTTGAATACATGTCATAAGTAATCACTTTGTTTCTGTCTTTATACACATGGTTTTTTGTCTTCTTTTGAACCCAATGCTTAGTCGGTTGGCCTGCCAGGGTTTACAGTGTGGCATAAATAGACTGCATCCCTTAATGGTGGTGCCCAAAAATCAATGATGGGAACGGGGGGGAATTGATGTGTCTTAGGGCTATGTTTTGAGTCACATTTATCTGCTCACACTTGGAACTATTTTTGCAGGTAATAGCTTGCGGTTTGGTTGCACTCATACTCAGAAATAAAATAACTTGACTTTGGGTAAAGTAAAGCCACAACTTTAATAATGAGATCTGCAATGGAACAAACTATGCATGTGTTTGCTAAGGACAGAAGCTGCCACAACCACTACCACCTCCTGCTGACTAAAGGTGGATGAGCCTGTCCCAACCCTGAGGCCAGACCCTCCAAATGTCCCTATTTTCCAGGGACATCCCTGATTTAGAGAAGCCATCCTGGTTTCTGATTTGATCCTCAAATGTCCCGCTTTACCTTAGGATGTCCTTTTTTTCATTAGAGAAATGCTGGAGGGTTTTGAGTTATCCGACCCCCGAGCCGTCTAAAGGCAATCCTGTATAGGGAAGTTTTAAAAAAAATGTTTAATGTTTCATTATGTTTTTATACATGTTGGAAGATGCCCAGAGCGCTGGGGCAACCCAATAAGATGTATGGGGTCTAAATAGTAAAATCACCATTGTGGAATGGGACGTCCCTATTTTCATCATATAAATGTTGGCGGGTATGTGAGGCTAGTTAACAACGCATTCGTTCTGTCCACTTGGCCACTTTTTCGAAGAAGGTTTTTCTGGGTCATAACCACCACCACCCTTGGCCTCAAGACTCTTTAGCCCCATTTTCACGAAACATTTAAAGCAGTATCATACAACTTTAAACAGCCACGGCTTCTCCCCCAAACTTCCTGGGGACTGTAGTTAGCTGAAGGTGTTGAGAGTTGCTAAAAGACCCTGATCACCCCCACAGAGTTACAATTTCAAGAGTTCTCTGGGAAGAGGGATTGAGCAGTGTTGCTGTTTTTCCCCTGGGGGTACGCAGGGGCACGCATACCCCCAAACATTTTGTGAATCTTTGTACTTTTGTCCATTTACTGTATTTATTTCCCCCGATTTGAACTATAAAATGGTGGTTTTCTTGAGTCAAAATGAGAGTACCCCTAAACATTCTTTAGAAAAAAGGCACTGACTCTGAGAATTGTAGCTCTGTAAGGGGAACAGGGAGGGACGTGGGTGGCGCTGTGGGTTAAACCACAGAGTCCAGGACTTGTGCCGATCAGAAGGTCAGCAGTTCGAATCCCCACGGCGGGGTGAGCTTCTGTTCCTCGGTCCCAGCTCCTGCCAACCTAGCAGTTCGAAAGCACGTCAAAGTGCAAGTAGATAAATAGGTATCGCTCTGGCAGGAAGGTAAACGGCATTTCCGTGAGCTGCTCTGGTTCGCCAGAAGCAGCTTAGTCATGCTGGCCACATGACCCGGAAGCTGTACGCCGGCTCCCTCGGCCAATAAAGCAAGATGAGCGCTGCAACCCCAGAGTCGGCCACGACTGGACCTAATGGTCAGGGGTCCCTTTACCTTTACCTTTTAAGTGGAATAGGGCCCCCTAACAACTATCCACACCCTTGACAAACTTCAGCTCCCAGGATTATTTGAGGGAAGCCATTGCAGTTTAAAGTGGTATGATTATGCTTTAAATATAGCAGCAAGTCACAGGAATCTCCTTTCACCTTCCGGGTCACACACAGAGTTACCTTCTTTTCTCTTCATTTATAGTTGTGACTTATTACGGCCCAAACCTAAGACTAGCTGTACTATACAGTTAATATTTAGGATGCAGAGTTCCATCTGTCACGTGTTGGCATGCCTGCACTGCAGAGACACAGTACTCTACTCTACTCTTGCTGTTATATAGGAGCAAATGTTCAGGATGTCAGAGGTTTAAACAGGCAGAAAGACTAGTGAAATGCAACAAGTAGCCTGTCCAAGACTCACTCCCTTCAGAGTCTTTCCACAGGATGTGTTTCTGAACTAGGTTGTCGATTTCTGCAGCTGCAAATGTTGCAAGTGGATACATGAACACTACACCTTTCCCCCATGGGCTGTGCATGCCCTCAGAGTGGGCACAACCAGGGTGGGCAAAATATGGATGTTTATGTTAATTTGTGCTATGTTTGTTCTTGAGCTGAACTTGAATCATCTGCCTAGATCTGACTAGTCCCCCAAGCACTGGAAAGCACTATACCTGAGAGAGACCAGAAATTCCCCACTCTTTGTCTCTCTGTTAGCACGTAAGTCACGGATCTGGCACAGGACATTTAACTTCTGGCTTCAGCTAAACTCAAATCCCCCACAGTCTAATATCCCTAGTGCTACAAGACTGGCACAAGAGTGCCTGGTCTAAAATTGTCTATCCAAAACTTCACTCTTGTGGTTTATCCCCACAACAGCTACTCACCGTAGGTTTCAGTAAAGCAACAGTCTAATTTGTCAATTCCTCAATGATTTCGAGCATCAGAACAACTTGGCCACAATAAGGAAATTTTGCCCATGGTATGACCATTTTCCATCTTCCCACTTCGATTCTCTGGCACCCTATCTGTATAACCTAGCAATTCCAAAATATAGATGTGCTTTTACTCTTGAAAGATTGAATGTATTGCCCTCAGCTGTACTTGAGGGATGATTCCAACAGATTCCACACAAAAAACACTTATGTCCCTGCGGAGATGGCAGCACCGAATCAGCCGTGCATGCCCTCCTGGCTTGCACTCTTTATAAAGACCTGAGGAATAAGATTATCACCCCTCTTTTATTGTCCATTCCGGGTCGCCCAACCAGTGCCACAGTGTCTTTTCTCCTGGCAGATCAAGAGGAGCAGTTGACAGCAACAGTTGCAAGGTTTTTAGATGGGACAATCAGAATAAGGTCCACTATTTGTCTGCTGATCCAGGACCCTAAACTGTGTTTTATATAATTGACTTTTAATTTTGTTCTGTGTATATCACAATGTTCTTTTGTTGCTATGGCCGATGACTGATGCAAATTAAGATTCATTCATTCATTCATTCATTCATTCATTCATAAGTCATATACAACAACCCTAAACCAGAGATGAGGCACACATGACCCTCCAAATGTTCTAAGACTTCCAGATCCCAACATCCCTGGCCTTTGGCCATGTTGGCTGATGATGATAGGAATTGGATCCCACAACATCTGGAAGATCACAGTCCACTTAGTTCTGAAGTCTTGCCTTCTCTACTAGGGCTCTTTAGTACTACAAAGATGCTCCCATACTTTTTTACAGCCCTTAGAACCATGTGAGGACACGCAACCTTTTCCTCTTCATTATGTGGTGAGTATCTGAAGTCGTCAAACATTCTTCAAGCAAGATTTTGCATCTCATCTGAATGCTTTGTGGCATTATCTGGACCCTTCCACCAAGGCAGCTATCATTCCCTTTAACATCAATCTTCAGGGTGTAGGTGCTGTTGTTTATGTTGCCAAAACAGCACTGCCAATTACATAATGGACCCAACATCCACCAAGGAAGATTTTGTAGCCAAGACAGCACTACCCATACACAAGAGGGAGGATATCAACATGCCCATGGAATCGAGATCTTAGAAATACAAAAAATAAGGGTAGGCTCAAAATGGGCAGTTTCCCCAAAAAACCAGTTAACGCAAAATTGGGTGTTTAAGAAACAAAACTTTCTCGGTGACTGTTTCTCTGCAATCCAAATTAGGCTCCATCTAGGGCATTGTTCTTCAGAGGGTGGGTTGGGACCCATTATGGCTTGCAGCCTGATTCAAGTTGGGCCGCAACAACAGTACAATTATATGAGGGGTTAAAGGCGGCTCCTGGATCTGAAAAGGTTGAAGACTACTCATATAGGAGAATGTTCCCCCAACTTCCCAGCATGCATGACCAAAGAGCAGGGCAACTCGCCGCCAGGAAACAGAAAGTGATGAAGATGCTGATCTCCATAAGCAAAAGGCACCCAGTGAGCCTCATGGTTGAGTGGGGATTTGAACCCTGGATTTGAACACTACTCCAGACAGACTCTCAAGTTCTTAAGCATTTGTTTAAGGTTCCTCAAAAAATTCAAATCAGCAAATTCAGGGCAGTGCGAGCAGTAAGGTTGCATTGGGTATGCAGCTGACGAGGGCATATTTAAACACGTATTTTTGGGGAGGGAGGACCTCAGACCAAATGTGGCCCTCCAGGGCACTCTTTTCAGCCCTTGGGACTCTGCACAGACCACACCCTCTCCCCAGCCACACACCCTCTGGACAAAGAAGTCCATCAGTTTAGCTTTTCCTTTCCTCGGTTTTCATCTATTTCCCCCCGCTATTGAAATATTCCAATCTGTTTGGCTGGGGGAGAGCGCGAGAGAGCATACGAGGGTGGGGAATGTGCCCAAATGTGTGTCTAATGTAACTCTATTTGGCCCTCATACTCTCCCCAGGCCACACCTCTCACTGGCCCTTGCTTCAGTCACTGTTTTTCCCTGTCTGAGATGTGGCCTTGTACTCTGATACTGCCTCTTGCATGCCAAGGCAGTAGAGAAGGGCGTGTGAGTTTCTAGAAACTAGCCTACTGCACAAAGGTTAACCCTACATTCATTTCTCTGCCTCTGCTCCCGCCCACCACTGGCATAAGGCCCTCAGAAGGTTATCCAGAAGGGAATGAAGTCCTCAGGCTGAAAATGATTCCCCACCCAGAGAAGGAGAAAATGAGAAATGGCATAATGAACCTTCTGTAGAATCCCTAAGCGCCAAAGGAGCTCTTTTCATCACTCTATATCCTTAAGCCTTCTCCTGTATAGCTACAGAGCTGGCTAAAACTTGTGGTGCCATCCAGGATAATGCTCAGGAAGCCACACCTAAGGTGGCTGATGCCGAGCAAGATGGGCAGGAATGAGGCTTCCACCTGCTCTGTCTCTTTCCCTTGTGAACTCAAAGAGTTTTCATTCATCCTAGGCCAGCGTAGTGGCCAACCCACCATTTAATAATACAGGACTGAACATGATAGGAGGAATTGTGTTGCCTTGATAACATCAAGCCTTAAAACGAAGAGACTCCTTTCTGATCATGCCTGCACATGTTGGACTCCAAGAGACGTACAGCATTTCTGATGGTGAGGGATGCCAAGGTCAGGCAAAACATCAGGGCGCTTTTTCAAAAGGGATGCTAAGAAGGGGCACAAGTCCCAAGGTGGCTCCCTAGACTGGGTGGGTAAGATGTGGTTTGCTCTGGGTGGGGAGACACTCTCTCTGTAGGAGCAGGAACATATCTATGGGTACTTCTGGAACCATTCCTGTCACTTGAGGCTCAAGTAGCCTCAGTAGCACAGTGTGCTTTCCGTCAGATTAGAGTTTATCTGGACAGGGGCAGCCTAACTTCTGTTGACTATGCTCTAGTAACCTCTTGGTTGAACTACTGTTGTTGTTGTTGTCATTTAGTCGTGTCCGACTCTTCGTGACCCCGTGGACTAGAGCACTCCAGGCACTCCTGTCTTCCACTGCCTCCTGCAGTTTGGTCAAACTCATGTTCGCAGTTTCGAGAACACTGTCCAACCATCTCATCCTCTGTCGTCCACTTCTCCTTGTGCCCTCCATCTTTCCCAACATCAGGGTCTATTCCAGGGAGTCTTCTCTTCTCATGAGGTGGCCAAAGTATTGGAGCCTCAGCTTCACGATCTTTCCTTCCAGTGAGTTATTTGTGGGGCAACCTCTGTAGGTAGCCAGATTGTTGAGCAAGGCAGGATGGTCCAAACATATTATTATTATTATTATTATTATTATTATTATTATTATTATTGCAACAATTATGTCATGGACACACTGTTTATCAATCTAAGCTCAAGACTGGGCCAATATATTTTGTTTCCTGAAGTCAAGGATAAGATAGCATCCCTCCCTCTTCCACAAACAATCTGATAAGGCTGTCAATTGACTCTTAATTTGACAGTAAGAGGCGGGGGAGAGAAGTATCTTCCACCACATCTGAGACATTGGGGGGAACATGCATCATATAGAGCTCTGTTTGTATGGCCAGAGGCAGGAGTGCCAACTTGAATAAAATATTGGGGCCCTGTACCACACAATAGATCACAAGATCATTTGAATGGCAATGCCCAGTAACTATGGGTGGGCAGCGGCGTAGCGTGGGTTGTCAGCACCCGGGGCAAGGCAAGTAATTTGCGCCCCCTAACCCGGGGCAAGGCAAGTAATTTGCACCCCCTAACCCGGGGCAAGGCAAGTAATTTGCACCCCCTAACCCCTACCCTGCCGCCGCTGCCAGCTTCTTCTTGCTGCTGCCTGGTCTGGTCTGGTGTGGTTCTCTCCCGCGCTCAGCGCTGCGCTGGGCGGCCGCTGCACTGTCCCTCCCCAGATAGTCCCTCGCTCTCTCCCCGCACTGCACGCCTGGCACCCACCCCCCCACAGTGGGCGGCGACCCAGAGGCTCGGATCGGATTCGCACAGCCAGCACTGCAGTGAGAGAGAGTGAGTGAGCCAGGTAGGGGCAGAGAGCTGCGAGTGCGAGCGCGCCCCCCCAGATGTTGCGCCCGGTGCGGCCGGCCCCCCCTGCACCCCCCACGCTACGCCACTGTGGGTGGGCCAGGCCCTCTCAAATATTTTATATTTTATCGGCTTAATATTAAATAGTTTTTTTAAAAAAAATCTAAAACTAAAACATTAATCTAAATGCAATACGAACATAGAAAAAAGAGTGAATTAAAAGCAGGTAAATAGAAAGAGAGAGAGAGAGAGAGAATTCAGAAATTAAAGAACTTTTGTTTCTTCGTCTGACCGCTGTATACAAACAATATTCATTTCAACCACTCCAGTATAACACCCTAAAAAGCCACTTCTTATAAACAAACATTATCTTCCATCCTCAGATCCAAATGTCATTATTTCGTTTTCTTTTTCATGCAAAAAGTCTATGGGAGGTTTCTACTCTTTAATAAATGTTAACAATGACTTTTCTCTCATTAAACATGTCAGTTTTACCATCTCGGCTGAATCTGTTAATTTCAATAGCCATTCTTCCATTGTTGGTAGTGATGAGCCCTTCCATCTTTGTGCATCTAAAAGTCTCGCTGTCATAATCAAATATTGAAGCAAAGTTCCATAGTCCTTTTCTAACTGGTTATCTATAAGTTCCAGCAGGAAGAATTCTGGCTTCAGTTGATAGTTAGTCTTCAAAATTCTCCATATCAATGCATGTATTTGTATCCAATATTTTTTGGCTTTTTTACATGTTCACCAAGCATGATAAAAGGTCCATTTTTTCCATATTCTAAATGATTTGTATGTATAGGAATTAGTAAGCCAACTCAGTGATCAAAGCTTTTTTATTATTATTAATGTTAATACCCCTATAGGAACAATATGGATTTCTTTATCCACCAGTTTTGACCAATGGGTTCTCTTATTGGCTCCCTCCATAATAGCTACTTAAGTTTGGAATGCCCCAACTGCCGGCTGATTGGTGGAAGTATAATCAGTGCTATTTTTTCTAGAAAAAGATGTACCAGAACTCTCCATAAATGCCTGCCTTGTTCTCTTCTCATAATGGCAACGAGAGGTGCCAGAACTGAGTTCTGGAAAGTTCCAGCTGAAAAAAAGGCCTGGGTATAATAAAGATTTTTTAAATACGTGATCAGCCCAATTGAAATATAAACTTATTAATTGTTTTAATGCCATTTGTTCAGATGAGCTACTGGTATCCAAACTGGAAGCATCTGAAACAAACAACAAACAAAAAAGGAATTGAGTTACAATCAACATTCTAGATGATGGAGAGTCTCAATTTATTCCAATGTATTATATTTGTATTTATACCTTTCCAAACTGTATGAAAACATTTTTTGCTTAGATAAGTCCATCCAGATACATAGATGTTGACATGCTTTAATCCCTTTTTAGTTTACTGCTGATTTAGATTGGGTTTTTAAAAAATATTTTTTAAAAATATTTTTATTGGTTTTTACAGATATTTTCTTACATAACATCATACTTTGCAAAAACAAAACAATTGGCTCCATGAGCCTGTGACTTCCCTCCTCCCCGAATGATGGTTTTCAAATCTAATCTCTATATACTGCCTTTTCCTATATTTCTTATTCCTATTAAATTGTATCCTTATAGAATTACTTAAATACAATTAGTAATGAATGATAATTTTATCCTTACAAAGCTTCTTATAACCCTACTGCCGATGTTAATAGTTTACAGTTGTCTTTCAAATATAGCATAGTTTTTTCCCAGTCTTTCTGAAAAGCCTGGTCCTGCTGGTTCTGGATTTTAATAGTTTTGATAGTTTTTATTGATAAATTTAGTATTTCTGGTAAACTGCTTGGAGGTTTTGTTTCAATCAAGTGGTATATAATTCTTGCTAAATAAACAAACATAAACAAACTCAGCTGCTACGCTACCTCCCAGAGGCACCAAGTTGCACCCAACATGAGGGGGCCCGTCGCGTGTTGCATGATGTCACACATGAATGACATCAAACATGTGTGACACCATATAGCAGCACTGGTGTGCTGGGCTCCGCAGTGGGTCATGCTGAAGATCCAGCCCTCCAGCATGGCTCTGTTGATGAGCACAGTGCACTTCGTGTGTCATATGTGAGACTGCAGGAGGCCAATGTCCAGCCATTGGGAGGAGGCCTCAAACATTCAGGGGCCCTGGCCCCTTTCCTACAGGTATTGAGGGGACCAAAGACCCCTTAGCCCCCTAGTGTTGGCACGCCTGCTACCTCCTGCCTTTGCCCTGCCCTGAGCGTACCAGGCAAAGGAAGTACAGTCCTTTGTAACTTATAAAGTAGCATTATATGCGTTGGCAGCTAAGAAGATCAGGAGAAAAGAGCTAGATGAAATAGCGGTCAACTACAAAGGGGATTTGGACATTTAAACTGGCATATTTTATCTGAGATTTCCCTGCTAGTCTAGCTTATGCAACAAATAATCTCTAGGAGACGTGTCCGTGGTTTGTTGCACCGGTAGTTCTAAATGTTTTTTTAAAATGTTTTTATGGTTATTGCTGTTTTTACTTTTGTTCCCCCTGTGAACGATGCGATGGCCTTTGGCTAACGCAATAAAGTTTATGAATGAATGAAAAAGTACAGTTGTACATCTACTTCTGTATCCCTCTGGATACAGAATCTTTGGGTTACGGCCACAGCAAACCCAGAAGTGTATACTTCTGGGTTTTGCCATGCGCACATGCACAGAAGCGCTCAATTGCGCCATGCACGTGCGCAGAAGCGTGCCTCTATTTACATAATTTCCAGGTGTGAACAGACCTCCAGAACGAATTAAGTTTATATCCAGAGGGTCCACTCTATGATGATTCTGACGGGAACGCGCTAGGTCTCCCCCTTAAGCAGATCCCACTAGCCATCATATATGAGCCTCCAGCCCAGACAGCATCCACAGAGGCCCATGCAAACTTACAGCAGCCGTATATGGCAAGCCTGCCCTACTTCCCAGGCATTGGGTTGGGCTTTAATTGTGGGAGTACAAGTCCCTACATGCAGGGCTGTACCAACAATGAAACACAGTGAAGCTGTGAATAAAGGCAGCAGATTCCTGAGAGGGTACCAGCTTCCCCCCTCTTCCTCTAATCATTACCACCTTTGCATCATTAAAAAAAAAATGCATGTGGAGAAAGGAATATTATTGCACTTCTTAAATGTGCAAAGCTATAGTGCTCATTTTGCATGGAAAATTGCCCCCTTCAAGAAGTGCTTGAAGAATTCAATCCTTGTGATCTCTGGTGGGAACTGATCTGATCCTGCAGCTCCTAGACTAATGTGCAGATTACAGAGTTTCAGATGATACCAACTGGGATCTTCTGCTTTTTAAAAAAAACGCTGCACTTAGAAGGTTTGTTGAAAGAGGCAACTCTTCAACATACACCGAAAAGAATATCCTGTATCTGCGTAATATATAAAGAGGGGGAGTTTTAGAGGGTAGGTGCCACCACACTAAAGGCCCAATTCTGGCATCGTGCAGAATGTACCTCCTTATAAAGATGATATCAATCAATCAATATTTTATTGCGGTCCAAAGACCCATAAAACATAAAACAATTTCAAAACTAGATACAGTTAAAATGACCAGACAGACAGATGGAAGAAACCAAGGCAGTCATTTTGTTTTATCTAGGGCATAATGATCTTTATTTATTATAACCCCTGAAAAAAACTTTGCCACGGCCAGTGGAATATCGTTTGACGTATCTTCCAAAAGATATTTAATATGGGAGGCTTCAGATTTTCCTGGCAAATTTGCCAGTAAGGGTTTGATCAGTTGATCCCTTGCTTGCTCATATTGCCCAAAATGCAGTAGGATATGCTTCATATAATCGACGTCCTGGGAACATAAACAAAGCCAATTCTGATGGGGGATGCCTCTCAGTCTGCCATTGAGAACTTCTGAGGGAAATACATTTAGTCTGGCTTTGGTAAATAAACGCCAATAGGTAGGTACAGACAAATTTGTAGGGTATGAGGATACCTGAAAGTCGTACCTGTATTGGATTCCAGCTGCAACAGGGATACAAATTACATATGATTGGGGTCACAGGTTGCTATGTGAGATGTCCCAAAGCCTTTGCCTCAGGGATTCAATGGCAATGTCGTAACCCAGATGATATAAGAGGGATGATGGCAGTCCAATCAAGGAGGCTTTTCTGGCCATAGTTTTCAGCCATAGGCTGACAAATTCTCATTGTACTAAATGTACTAATTCTTGTTGTACTAAATGTACTAATAATCCCTTCCCCATGCCAAATACTGAGATCTTGAGCCAGTATCTCAATGCAACTCACCATGTTTTGAAGGAGAGTGGGCATTCACCTGTTTCCAGAAACAGAATTGAATTTGGGACACAGTTTGGGACCTGTAATAGGGACCAAAGAAAGATGTCTTCTCCAGCAGAACTCAGCAGTCAGTTGAGTATTTATAATATACCATTTTAAGTTTCCTGGTCCCAAGCTATATATGGCTTTGTTCACCTGTACAAGCAGCTTGGAATTAGGCAGTTAGCTGATGGGCAGCCAATGCCATTCTTTCTGGCATAATACGATGGTGATATTCTTCCCCAAGGAGCAGTCGAGCCACTGCACTTTTGCACTAGCTGCAGCTTCCAGGTCATTCTCACTCTATATATGGCAGTAATCCAATCTGGAGGTCACCAGCACATGGACCAAAGCTGGGAAAAGGCAATCCTAACCACTGAGGTCACTTGGGGCACTAGCGACAGAGATGGATCCAGTAGTAGCACACCCTGCCTCTATGAACCTGCTCCTTCAACAGGAGTGTGGCCCCATCCAAAACAGGCAATAGCCCCATTATCCAAACTCAGGAACCACCCCTACAGCATCTCTGCTGACTTGCATGGTTCCTGTGTGGGGAAAATAGAATCCAAATACATTTTGTAGAAATGCATATTTTGAGCAAAATACATTTATACTGATATTTTTTTTCTTATTCACCAATTTATACAGAAAAGAAACAGAACAAATTTGCAAGTAAACACATACAACAGTGATATCCATCTGGAGATAGACTGATTTGACCATCCCTCTTTGGATCCACATCAGTTCATCTGGGACAGATTTAGTTTGGAGTGATTGGCTACTATGGTCTCCTGCCTCGTGGATCTCTGACTGGGCTACATCTTGAGCTTCTGGCTGGCGGCAGCTTGGAGATTCACACAAAGGTGTGAAATGGAGAAGACCACAAGAACATTTCCATGGCTGTCTTAGGAAATTTCTTCTCGCTATAGCAGTTTGGAACAGCAAGCTGGAGCTGGTATCTTGGGTTCACCTGAGTTATCATTGACAAGAACCATGCATATATGGCTGTGGACATCATGAAACCTTATAATTAATATATCAGGCTTCTACTTCAAAGGCAGGATGTCCAAATCCTCTTGTGGGTGTGGGTGATTGCAGGAAAAGTCTTCATGCCACAGCCTTCTTTCTCCCAGAAGGTTCACACAGCAAATTTGGCATGCATGTAGGTCATGGCGGTAGCCTGGAATGTATTATGTGCTGCATCTAACCCAAATGGATTCATTTAGGAATTTGATCTGTTTATTTGATTCTGATATAAGCTGTCTTGATTTGCACCTTCAGGTCTAATGATCAGGTCAGAAAACAGTTATCTACTGACTCTCACATTTCCTGTATATTTCACTTACAGCTCTGAGCACATGACCCTTTGCCATTCTCCATCTTGTGGTCAGAGAAACTGGGGAGGGGGAGAACATTTCTCCAAATTTATCCAGTGGAAAGAATATTTTATCTATCATCCATCTATCTATCTATCTATCTATCTATCATCTATCTATCATCTAGTATGCTAACACTTGCTTTTGAATTATGGTGCTGGACTGCACCATAATGGTCCCATGGACTGCAAGAAGATCAAACCTCTCCATTCTTAAGGAAATCAGCCCTGAGTGCTCACTGGAAGGACAGATCCTGAAGCTGAGGCTCCAATACTTTGGCCACCTCATGAGAAGAGAAGACTCCCTGGAAAAGACCCTGATGTTGGGAAAGATGGAGGGCACAAGGAGAAGGGGATGGCAGAGGATGAGATGGCTGGATGGTGTTCTCGAAGCTACCAGCATGAGTTTGACCAAACTGCGGGAGGCAGTGGAGGACAGAAGTGCCTGGCGTGCTCTGGTCCATGGGGTCACGAAGAGTGCTCTGGTCCAGGGGGACACGACTAAACAACAACAACAACAACATGCTAACACTGCAAATGACAGCAACATAAATTGTATTGTCAGCCTGGCCATCATTTGATGTCCTCCACAATAAGTATTTCAATCTTTTCCATACTTCTTTGGGAGTGAGGCCCCTTGGGCTCAATGAGTCTTACATCGGAACAACCCTAATTGGCATCAAGGTGTAAGTCTGTGTCCTATTCTTAGTTGGCATTACCAAATACAGTCTCAATGTAACTTCCTTCTTAATATGTGCACATAGATATAGGGCAGTAGTAATCTTTCCATGCTTCATCAGACTATCCTGGAGTTGAGCTTTCTTTTGTCATGTGGCCCATGGCACTAGGGATGCTGCAACTGATCTAATAAACTTCAGTAGGTGATTTGACTCTGAGTTTTAGCCGTCTTCAGCTGGGATGACTTAACTGAATTCTGAAACTCTGACTGTGTGTGCATCATACATTTAAGGCACATCCACAGACACACATCCACACACAAAACCACATTTCCTTCCACCCTAGTTTACAGGAGTTCAGTTCACTCCTGTATTTCCATGTGGTAGTATGTTCTGGTCTCACCAGAGACCCAACAGGCTCCCTATACTAGACTCTTCCTTGCCCAGATTGTATGTGATCCAGGCAATTCTGCAAGGCTGCATGGTATCCTTCCATTATACTTTAAATTTTTATTTTTAAAAAAACACTTGCAGGAAAGAAATATTACAATGCAGTTTATTGGCAATAAAGATCATGCAGAAAAAATGAACAGTGAGAAAAGGATGGGCCTCTGCAATTTTATTTACAATAAGCACTAGCAGACAGAAACCAATCAAGGTGAATGTGCTTGCTAAGTTATGGATTCAACAGTGTGTAAATTCTATTCAAACTTGTAAAATTCATCACTTTGCAAAGCAACCCAACCAAGACAAATATGTGCTCCACTTAGGAGCTGCAAGTGGTATGTGACCTAAAGACCACTACACTGGAATGAATACTGTGACGTTGATGAAGCCAAACTCTATCATTGTCCTGGGCACTCATGAAAATTAAAAAAGAACCAAAGCTGATTGATTGGTACACTTGCTCCTTTTGTTCATTAAACAATTCCCTGTTTCGACTGTGCCTGTGGCACATGGTGTCAGAAGTGGTTTGTAATCATTCAAAATAAATGAACAGCACAATCCGCAATATGTCTACTCTGTAGTAAAGACCCCTAAGTTCAAGGGGACTTACACTCAGGTAAGTGGGTGTAGGATTCATAAGAGTACAGCCATTTACCTGTGAGTAAGTCCTACTGAACATAATGGGGCTTAGTTCTGAGTAGATGTGCATCAGATTGCACTGACGGGGATATCAGATGCCTTTTATGGCCAAATTATTTTAATATATAAAATGGTACTTGATATTCCCAGTGTTACCTTGGCTGTAGGATGATATACATTGTATGCCACACTTCTCAATGCTCCAAGAGATCAGTCCCCAAATTTGCAAATGGAGCAATGGAATTTCATAGCAAAAAGCATAGACTTTAAGGTTGCAATTCACAGAGTGTTACACATTCTAAAACCCTGTGTGTAACTGTACATTCAGTTGCTGTCTAAAGTTTAGAACAAAGTCATTAGAAGTAGGGATTTATTTTAAATGGGCCTTTTGAAGTGAAGCTATGATCTAAAATAAATGTCATTCCTTGACATACTCAAGTTTTCTAGGGCGTTGGTGTTTTTTTTAAGGAGTACAATCCAGCTAAAGATTAAGCATTTTATCAGCCCCTTTCATTTCAGTGGGCGAAGCTGAATCACATCCTTAATTCTCTCACTGAAATCAGCAGGGCATTAAAGCGCTTTATTTATTTTTTTGCAGTTGGAGCATGCCCCAAAATGATTGCAATATTACAATGGGATCCAAGTGTTATATTATTTGCCTTCAATGGGGGGGGGGGGGGAGAAATACACAAAATTTGAAGTAAATTTCCTGCTGGTTTTGTCAGAGTTTTTGAAAGATTTCAAAATGTCATGCCAGTTCCATCTGCGCTCCCTCCCAAACAACTGGAACATAGACAGCAGCTGATGCAATTTAATGTGGGTGCCTCAATTCATTCATGCTGCAAGTGGTTCTGAATTCTTGCACTGCAGCCAATGTTAACCGTGTCAGAGAGAAGCGGGGAAACAGGGACTGAATGAAAAAGATAAACAAAGTGGGAGATGCGCTGCTCTCTGGTCAAGTTTGCTCTCATTTATTTCAACGAGGTCTAGATGTTTGTGCAGCCACAATGATGATGTTAATTGGGAAATATAGCCTTAAACAACAGAATCTATCCACTTTAGGCTAGGAGGCATTCTTCATGAATATCCACTGCATTCCTGTGTGATCATTTGGGGGACCATTTCTCCCATCATTGAGTCAAGGACAACTAGCTTGGAGGCTGGGTGTTGCTGCGGGCAGTTAGAACAGATATGAACATTTTCTAGAAGTGGCTGCACTTGTGTGAGCGTGGTTGTTTTCCTTTTTATCTGCCTATTTTCTTGCTGGATGACGAGGTTGTTGAGCTGTATCTCACACTCGAGGAGCCCCCTCCCCCTCCTGAACTCAGCCCCCCACCAAAGCCAGAGCTGTAACTGCTCCCTCCTGCAGTGACCGCACTGCTCATGCCATAACCGCCACCACTGCCACCCCCCATTCCGAGATTAAGGCTGCCGCTGCCGCTGCCACCTCCTCCTCCTCCACCACCACCCAGGGAAAATCCTCCGCTGCTCACTCGGCCGCCGCCGCCGCCGCCGCCAAGGCCGTAACTGCTTCCGCCCATGGTAGAAGAGCTGCTGATCACCGCTGGGGGAGAAAAAGGCATTTTACTGAAACATGCGCCAGAGAAATTCTCCATGCAAATGCGACGGCATGCAAAACACTGCAAAGCTCGCTGGGTAACCTTGGACCCATTGCTGCCTTGCAGCCTAGCCTAACCCACAGGGTGACTGTGAGAATAAAATGGGGCAAGGGAAAAGGAAGTAAGCCACCTTGATCTTTTTGGAGGAAAGGTGGGATATAAATGCAATAAAACAAATATAATATATAAATTTGTTTCATGACTGAGCACTGCTGAATCAGACCAAGGATCTACCCAATTCAGCACCCCATTGAGAGGCCAAACCAACTTGTTTCCTGCCTCTGATTTATTTCCCTGCCTCTGATACATTACTTATCATAAGTTTTAATTATTCTTATTTACATACCCTTCTCAAATTACTATTATTTTTTCACCTGCCTTCTTGTCAACTTGCATTTTTGTTCCCGCCAAAATTTGTGCCCCTTTTTATATTCCTCATTTGGGCAAGGCTTACATTTTCCCAAAAGAATCCTTCTTGCCTTTTATTCTGCTTTTATTCCTTGATTCTGCTTGCTAACCACACAGGCATCCCCTTGGACTTATTTGCACCAGCCGGTATGAGAACACCTACATCTTTCACCAGATCCCGGGCAGCACTCAGGATTACTTCAAGGCTTGCCTCCTTTCTAGTTAGATTATTCCTAGGGTGGCATCATTTATTGTATCTAGAAATGTGATCTCTCTGTTGTAACCTTAATGCGTTTTGGTCAACCTGTGGGTATTTGCTAACTCATAATTACAACATCCACCCCGGCTTCTCCTGTATATATATTTTCATCTACAGATCACCATCAAACTTTTGGTTTGAGTTGTGAGGTGATGCAATAGTACAGACCCAGTACCAATAAACTTTTTAAGTAAGTTTCCATCCAAAGAGATCCTATAGAGAAATATATATGAGTATAAAGTCTGAAAGGGGCTTTGGCAAGGTATGGTATATAAGAAGCATCACTGCCAGTGGTGTACACATAACCACACGTTTTAGTATTTTTAAAACAATACAAAAACCTACAAAATGTCTTTACTATAGTCAACAGAGGGGATGACTGCAGACACTACAGGCAGGGACCCCTCCTTCAGACTGTCTTCGGTTTCTGGAAGGAAACTATTTTGTCTCTTCAGTCAAAGTTGGCCACCTGGAAGCTATGAAATTTTGTTCCCTGGAGGTTCCTGATGGGATACGTGACAAGGCGTCTGTTAGAAACCACACTATACATTTAAAACATATTTAACACACATAGCTTTCCCCAAGGAATCCTGGGAACTGTAGCTCACCCCTCATAGAACTAAAAGTTCCCAGCACCCCAACGAAACTGCAGTTCCCAGGGTTCTTTAGGAGAAGCCACATGCTTTAAATGTATGGTATGGATGTGAGATTCATAGCAACATAGGAAGCTGCCTTATAGTAAGTCAGACCATTGTTCCACCTAGCTCAGTACATTGACTGGCAGCAGCTCTGTGGGATTTCAGTTTAATTCAGCTTAATCTGCTATCTGGAGATGCTAAGGATGAAATCTGAGACCTCCTGCACACAAAGCAGATGAACCCCATCTAAGCTATGGCCCTTCCCAGTCCCTTCGTTCTTCCCAACTCTATGAAGTTCTCAAAAGAGCCTTTGGAAGTCCTGCACAATTCTTGATTGGGAGAACTTCAGCCCAGGAACTTCAGCCCAGAGGTAAATTCTATGGGAAAGAGTGCGGTATCATGGACATTCACAGTGAAAAGTAGTATAACTAAAATACTTACACATGCTTACAGGGGTGGTGAGTTCTCCAGACATCCTAGTGAGAGAAAAACATTGAAGGCAAGTCAGCCAATCATTCAAGGATGAAATGCTTTTGAGCAAAATGATTAAGGTGCGTCACAATACAATCCTATGAAACAGTGCCCAGGCAAAATAAATATGTCTGCTAAGTCATAAGGTCCGTATAATAAAAGCTACGGTTTTCCCAGTAGTGATGTATGAAAGTGAGAGCTAGACCATAAAGAAGGCTGATCGCCAAAGAATTGATGCTTTTGAATTCTGGTGCTGGAGGAGACTCTTGAGAGTCCCATGGACTGCAAGAAGATCAAACCTATCCATTCTGAAGGAAATCAGCCCTGAGTGCTCACTGGAAGGACAGATTGTGAAGCTGAGGCTCCAATACTTTGGCCACCTCATGAGAAAAGAAGACTCCCTGGAAAAGACCCTGATGTTGGGAAAGATGGAGGGCACAAGGAGAAGAGGACGACAGAGGACGAGATGGTTGGATAGTGTTCTCGAAGCTACCAGCATGAGTTTGACCAAACTGCAGGAGGCAGTGGAAGACAGAAGTGCCTGGCGTGCTCTGGTCCATGGGGTCACGAAGAGTCGGACACGACTAAACAACTAAACAACAACAACAACAAGAAGAAGTCATAAGGACAGTTTCCAGACACAGAGCAAGAAACTCTGCCTGGCACTTTAGTCACTCAGTGGGGAGATCAGACATGGATGAAGTTAGGGCCCCTGGTATCTTGCATACAAAAGGAGATTTCCTAGTAAATGAAGCTTGCCATCCAAGGGCAAGAGAAGCTGCATGTCTCTCCCTGCAAGAAAACCTACTAAAGAGCCCTCCTATAGATCCCAGTCATGCATCTGCATACCTTAGACCAAGGATGGGGAACTTCTTGCCCTCCAAATATTATTGACTCCAACCCCCATCATTTCCAGCGAGCATCAGGCATGATGGGAGCTGTAGTCCAGCAACATCTGGAAGGCCCCCTCTATAGCCTGGGGAGGCTTAATGGTTCGTTTACACTACCAGGATTAGTCAGGCAGCATTTCCTGACCTTGTCCATCACTGGTGTCATGGCAGGCAACATCTCCCACCCTAACTTGGGTTGCTGGTGTAATATTACATATAGCAGGTTTCCACGTTGCACCGGCTCAGCAGTCCTAAGGCAGAGATGGGCAACTCACAGCCTTCCAGATGGTACTGGCCATAAGTTTATGATTTGCAAATTCACAGTAATGCCCAGCTCCTCACCATACATACTGTGAGTGGAGAGAGAGACCTTTCCACTCAGAATATATTTTAGAGCCACTACAGGAACAGGAGATACTGCTCTTAGGTGAAACTGCACATTGTTCCTTGAGAATCTTCCCCCTTTTAAAAGGAATTCATGTGCCTGACCTTCTGACAAACTATCCCATCCTCCAATACTTGAAAGCAGGGGCCTCTAGGAAGTGACTGTGAGATGGCCCTTTTCCTCAACCAAGTGGCTGTTCTGACATATTGACTAAATGGGAGAAAGGGACACAGGTTTTGTCTGAGCTTGTAGGAGGCCTCACAGGGCTGGCCCAAGCATTGGCCACGATGATGCAACCACAATAGGGTGTGCCATTTTAGGGGGTGAAACTTCCGGTTACAAACTTACCGTATTTTTCGCCCTATAGGACGCACCGGCCCATAGGACGCATCTAGATTTGGGGGGGGGAATAAAGGGGGGGAAATTATTATTTTTTCCCCGGCGCGGGGCTGGGGCGGGGGAAGCCCGAGCTTCCGCCAACCCCAGCCCCCAGAACAGGCAGCTCTGGGAGCTTGCGGGGCTGAGGGAGGGGTTAGCCGGTGCTTCCCCCTCCCCCAGAACGGGTCCCAAAGCGATGCAGAAGCTGCACGCAGCTTCGGCATCGCTCTGGCAGCTTGCGGGGCTGGGGGAGGGGGAAGCCCGCCCCCAGCCTCCAAACCAGGTCGTGAGACAGCGGGATGGCGCGCTGCGCCTCCCCGCTGTCCCCAAGCTTGCGGGGCTGGCGGTGGGGCTCTCCTGAAGCCTGGAGAGCGAGAGGGGTCGGTGCGCACCGACCCCTCTCGCTCTCCAGGCTTCAGCGAAAGCCTGCATTTGCCCCATAGGACGCACACACATTTCCTCTTCATTTTTGGAGGGGAAAAAGTGCATCCTATAGGGCAAAAAATACGGTAATTCGTTCCAGAGGTCCATTCTTAAGCCGAAACCGTTCTTAACATGAGGTGCACTTTCGCTAATGGCGCCTCACGCTGCTGCCACGCCGCTGGCGTATGATTTCCGCTCACATACCGGGGCAAAGTTCGCAACTAGGGGCATCTACTTCCGGGTTAGCGGAGCTCGTTACCCGAAGCATTCATAAGGAGGATGAGGAGGATGGTATGTAACCCGAGGTTCCACTGTATGTTTTTGGTGTGAAGAATTCAAATCCGCTATTATTTTTGTGTTTGGACTACATTTAGCTTGGTAAGTCATTTGATGACAAAGATTTCAGAAAACCAAAGAAATTTAATTTTACCTTCTGAAAATGTCAGGGAGTAGTAATAATAAGAATAAATAGTAAGAATATAATATAATTACAGTGGTGCCCCGCAAGACGAATGCCTCGCAAGACGGAAAAACCGCTAGACGAAAGGGTTTTCCGTTTTGAAGTTGCTTCGCAGGACGAATTCCCCTATGGGCTTGCTTCGCAAGACGAAAATACCTTGCGAGTCTAGAGATTTTTTTCGCTTTCCCCCTTTATCTAATCTGCTAAGCCTTTAATAGCCTTTAATAGCCTTTTAGCAGCTAATCCCCAAGCCTTTAAGCCTTTAATAGCCGCTAAACAGCTGATAGCGCTAATAGCGCTAATCCGTCAATGGGCTTGCTTCGCAAGACGAAAAAACCGCTAGACGAAGACTCTTGCGGAACGGATTAATTTCGTCTTGCGAGGCACCACTGTATGTATTTTATAATATTATATAATGCAAGTATCTGACAACCATTTTTAATTTTTCCTATGCAATTTTACATACTTTTAATTTTACCAAGTAAAACTAAATTATATTAATTTAACCTGAATGTTTTTTGAATTTCCAAGTCATGTCACAACTTTTTAGCACCCCTCATAACTGGAATTTGAAAAATTCAACATGCTCTCCCAGCAAATACTGGGAGGTAGGGATTGTTACCACACAGACTGCTCTACTCCTAATAAGCTAAGCTGTCAGGTGTAGTAGAGGCTAGGCAGCATTGAAATACAATTCAACTGCCGGTCCAATTGGTTTCTGTGCATCAAATTAGGGAAGGGAGTCAGTGTCTTGTCTATCATCTCAGGAAACTAAAGGCCTTGGACCCGCCCCCTGGAGGCGTATGAAGGGGGGTGGCTTGTGAAGAAATGGGGACTCTGATTTGGTAAGCAGAGGGGCAGTTCACACCATTTTGTTTCCCCAGTTGCTGCGGTCCTAAGCTGTTTCATTATCCCTGCTTCTGGGGATTCTGCAATCACAGCCTGAGTGAAAGACTGACAGTGGTTTCTGGGGTTGTTTGCCAGCTTCAGGCTTAACCATTTCTCACAATCCTGGGGTGGAGGACACACCAGTCAAACTAGTGGAACCAGTGCTCTGCCTCTGAGATAGTCTACATTACATGGTTGCTGTCATTGTGCGGTTGAGCTCAGATCTCAATGGGAAACATTTTGCCACTGGCTGGGACTATGGTGTAAGTCCATGCAATCACCCCTGACATTGCCATGCACACTCCCTCTCCCTTCCCCAGTTGCAAAACCTGCCCCCAGGGGCCAATTAATAACCCAAGCAACTTCAGCCATGGAGCAATCACCAAAGAGCTCCCTCAAGTGGTGAAGGTGCTTATATGTGGGAGCACTTTGACCAGGAATGAATGGCTGGTCTTTTTACTCATTGAGACTTATCAAGCAACAGGAGTCGTATTGGAATCTGTTTTGAATGACAGACGTCAGCCTTAGGCACATAAGCAAATAATAATAAAGTTGCATGTTCCTCTAAGCATGCACAGAGTACCTGTTTTTCACCATTGCGTAACTGTCATGCCCAAGATAGGAGCTAAGAGACCCTTTTATGAATAGAGATTCCTTTTATGAATAGTCTCTAAGTAGCATTATGTTTTTTAAAAATGCAGATACACATCTACTAATAAACAAACACAGACTTACTTATATGCATGTAAAACATTTGTGCATTTGCATTTTTTAAAATCCACCCAATGTTATAAGCTGCTTCAGCTAATATGAATGCAAATAAAATGCATGTGGAAACACAAAATTCTATGACATATGCATGCAATGTTACTTATGATGTGCAACAGCAGGCAATACTTCCTAAGTATGCACATAGATATTGGCTAAGAGATCCATTAAATATGAGACATTTTACATGATTGGATAAATGCCATGCAAATGTATCTGCGTTTCAATGCCCACATGAATAAATGTAATAAAAAGCAGGTATAATGGGTGCCACCACCTGAATGATTCTCTTGCAAAATCCCAAACTGGGCTATTCATGCCATGTTCTGTGTTTATAAACTGGCTGATGCCTATCATTTGAAACCCCCTTCTAACTACAGTGGTACCGCGGTTTACATACGCTTCAGGTTACATACACTTCAGGTTACAGACTCCACTAACCCAGAAATAAGTGCTTCAGGTTAAGAACTTTGCTTCAGGTTGAGAACAGAAATCGTGCCCTGGCGGCGCGGCGGCACGGGAGGCCCCAATAGCTAAAGTGGTGCTTCAGGTTAAGAACAGTTTCAGATTAAGTACAGACCTCCGGAACGAATTACGTACTTAACCCGAGGTACCACTGTATTTTCTGAGCTACCATGATGGCATAGCATGTCCACGAGTATTCCGCATGGTATTGTGGAATGTGGGGAAAAGGATCAGTCTAGGCTGAGATATTTCACATCCCACACAGAAATGTGTGCTATCCATTAGGCCACAAAATATCTCACGTAGGTTTTAGGTACAGGAGTAAGGTGACCAGATTCAAATACAGAGTTCTTGCATTTGTTTCATACAGAGTCCTGTACAACCTTTGATAGTTGTACAGAAGAGAAAACTTTTGAATGAGAGAGAAAGGCCTCTTGTACTAACATAACCTCTCCTACACAACCATTAAAAATATAGAAACTAACTTTGTGTGTGTAGAAGGGTGTGTGTGCGTACGTCTGTGTATCTGGTTCCCCTGGGCAAGAGGGAGTACAGTGCTACCTCAGGTTAAGAACTTAATTCATTCTGGAAGTCCATTCCTTAACCTGAAACTGTTCTTAACCTGAGGTACCAACTTTACCTAATGGGGCCTCCCGCTGCTGTACAGTGATACCTCAGGTTACAAATGCTTCAGGTTACAAACGCTTCAGGTTACAGACTCCACTAACCCAGAAGTAGTACCTCGGGTTAAGAACTTTGCTTCAGGATGAGAACAGAAATAGCATGGCGGTGGCAGCAGCGGGAGGCCCCAATAGCTAAAGTGGTACCTCAGGTTAAGAACAGTTTCAGGTTAAGAACGGACCTCCGGAACGAATTAAGTTCTTAACCAGAGGTACCACTGTATATATTGCTGGTAGGAAGGGGAGTGGAAGGTGAGAGAGGGCAGATAGGGGCAGGAAGCCCAAGTGAGGGAGAGGAGGCATCTAAGGAGCAGGGAATCCTGGGGCAGCATTGCTGAAGGGTGAGAGCATGCTAAGTGAGTTGGACTTGTGAATAATGGTTGGAGGAAGCAAAGATCTGAGGGGAAGTGGGACAGAGGAAACATCAGCTCAATGGGAGGAGGAGCCAGGTATGGTCTTCGTAACAGGCGATCAAAGAATGGGCAAGCAGGAGAAACTGGGAGGCTAAGATCAGAGACCTCAGGCAACACTGAAGGGCAAAGAGTGGGCAGGCAGTATTTCACACCCTGACGTGAACAAACTAACCAGGCACATCTTTGCTGAAGTTATCTGATAGTTAGACAAAGCCAAATGTATAGTTTTAGGATATTAAAGTATGTGTAGATTTGAATATGGATACTCACACCCCAAGTATGCAGGCATTAGCCATGTTGTGTCAAACGAAAGTACGCTACAGTACCTGGTATGAAATAAAACCATCGCAAGATGGCACCCACCTGCATTCCTCTCCTTCCAGCAGAGTTCTATATGTAGCAATCTCCATATCCAGGGATAATTTGACATTCATTAGCTCCTGGTAATCCCGCAGTAGGCGCGCCAGCTCATCCTTGGCACTTTGTAGGGCATGCTGAAGATCAGTGAGTTTCATTCTGGCATCTTTCAGGGCCATTTCCCCTCGCTGTTCAGCATCAGCGATAGCTGTCTGGAGCTGAGCAATCTGCAGCAGGTATCAGGAAAGTCAAATAGTCAGTAGCTTCCTACTTCCTAAAGTGCTTATTTTACATACAGTATAATATGTAATATTGCCTTGTCAGTGTTACGTGTAGATAGTTCAAGAGTCCACTGGCCACAAATCAGCTCTTTCCATACATCTGCTACAGAAGAAGCACAGAGACACCTAACCCTGTTTTCATGAAGTGATAGCAGTTTTCCGCGTGAACTCACAGTCATACCTTGGTTCCCATTTCGGTGTCAGAATGGAAAGGGTCAGCTGGAGGCATTGTAAGTTTCTCAAGAGGTCTAAATATTCCAGATGATAGTCTGGATTGCTGGCCAGATAAACATCAAACCGAAAGGCAATCAATTTAAAGTGTAGCTCGTAGAATCGTCTGTGAATTTTGATTATTTTCTGTCTCTCACTATAATTAAGGCTATCTATGGTATGTCTAGGGACACGGGTGGCACTGAGGTCTAAGCCACTGAGCCTAGGGCTTGCCAATCGGAAGGTCGGCGGTTTGAATCTCCGCAACAAGGTGAGCTCCCGTTGCTCGGTCCCTGCTCCTGCCAACCTAGCAGTTCGAAAATGCGTCAAAGTGCAAGTAGATAAATAGGTACCACTCCGGTGGGAAGGTAAACAGCATTTCCGTGAGCTGCTCTGGTTCGCCAGAAGCGGCTTAGTCATGCTGGCCACATGACCCGGAAGCTGTACACCGGCTCCCTCGGCCAATAAAGCGAGATGAGCGCCACAACACCAGAGTCGTCCGTGACTGGACTTAACAGTCAGGGGTCCCTTTACCTTTACCTATTGTATGTATATATGTATTTATTTACACAATCCTGCTCCAAGGAACTCATATGGGCTGCCCAATACAATTCCTAGGCAGTTTCCCAACCAGGTAACTTACAGGGCCAAACTTATTCTTTTCAGGAGTAGTTTGGAATTATACACCCAGCTTTAACTTAAAATATCTTAAGTTAGCATGGATTTGATGTGTCAAATACCAATACATTATTTTAGTATCACGGTGCATGAACAGACGTCCCCCAGTGGACTGAGAGATCCATGTCTGGCTCTATAAAAACCTTTGGTTAAATGCAAGTCTAAAGTAAAAGTAGCTGCAGCAGGCACAAATTGAGTCAGGGTTGCAGGATTTGTTACCTTGAACTATTTCCCATTACAGCCCCAAAGCCACTATCAGCCATGAAAGTGAATCTATAACAGTCCCTGTCTTTTTTCTCTTCTGCTGCTATTTCAATCAAGGGGCTCAGGAGGAAAAGCAGAAGTGGCAGCAGGACAGAAACAAATCTCACTGTTTCCACTGAGATTTTCTCAGCTTTGCCCAATTTAGTGCTGAGTACCAAACAGTGGCCACAAATATTAGGCCTGATGACACTTTTGAGAAGGGTTCTAGCTCCTGTTTTAGTAAGTTTATAGTGTGAGAGAGATCTGGGATGGAAGAATGGTGGGTGGTGAGCAACTGTCAGGAACTGCTGTCTGTAGCTGCTTCCAGGTGGGTGTTTATTGTGGGATCAGCACTACTCATGCACACAGGTTTTTTGCAGCACCCACCCCATGTCGCTGACATCAAAATGCTAGCCCATATTCCCCCACCATGTGCATCACCAAGCAGAGATTGAACCTGCAACCTTGTGCATACCGTCCATGTGTTCTGCCATTGAGCAAAGGCTCCACCCAGCCTGAACTTGCAAGAAAATACAAATTGAATAAATAATAAAAAGAAGAAAAAAAGAAGGAGGGGGGATGAAATACACACATGCCATAGATTCAGTCGTTGCTATATTAAAATGGTCCCCACCTGTTTCTTAACGTTATCAATTTCTGATTTCAGTCTGTGGATAATTCGATTCATCTCTGCAATCTCGTTCTTGGTACTCTTCAGGTCATCACCGTGACCAGCTGCTGTACTCTGAAGTTCTTGAAACTGCAATGCAGAAACACATTCTTCGGTAACTGAGCTACTTTAAGCACTACCAGTTCCAGGATTTGGGGAAGGGGAGCTTGGTTAGGCTCTGGAACTCCCTCCCTGGAGAAGCGAGACTGGCTCCCTCCTTGTTGTCCTTCTGGTTTCAATAGGCTTTTGAGAATGGACGGCTTTTAACGAAAGTGCTGCTGCCGTGCTGTTTTTATTATAATTATAAGTGGTTTGATAGCTTCCTTGGTAGCAAATGCTTGAATTTTTTTATCTACCGTATATACTTTGGAATCTATTAATGTTTATTATTTTTCTATGTTTTTAGCAATTCGTGCTTTTATCTGTAAGCTGCCTTGAGGTCCACCAGGAAAAAAGGTGGGACATAAATAAATATTACAACAACAACCACAATAATAGGCTAGGCAACCTGAATAATAGGCTTGCCACCCAGAAGATTCTTCTTGCACTGCCTCTTTGAATCCTTCCGCACTTTTTAAAGAAGGGTGTATTCTGCAACATGTCACTGAGCCAATCATCCTTCTGGGATGCTTCTCCGATGGTTCTACGTTATTGCATTTGGAGGGGCAGGACAAAAAGGAGCCCCAAATATTTGTGGCACAAAAAGTTACATGGTTTCCACAGGAAGCCATGGGACATGCAGCAGTTGAAATTGAAGCAGTATGTTCACCCTGAAACTTTTTCCAGACACAAATGTCATCGAAAGTGGGATTGCACCCTCATGCCGCCATGAGCAAAAAATAATCATGAATGCACAATAAAGAAATATGTCTAGGGTCCTATGAGCTTCTGGGATGTTCCCATATCAAGTAAGAATGGCAGTGCTATTGGGTGTAGTAGGCCTTTTGCTTATCATCAGAGGCTTTCCACCAGTGGTTGATTTTACTCTCTTCCAGAGCCAACTCCAATTTTAAAAGTAGGAATTGAGATCCAATTTGGCAAATATTCCCATTAAAATGGAACATTTTGGATTTAAAATATTTTTGGTCTGCAAGTTCAACTTAGTTTTCATTTGCCTCAGGCTTCTCTGTTGACTGAAAAATAGGGCCCAGATATGGATCAGAGGCCTCTTAGTCGCTGCGCGCCAAAGATAAAGTCTGCAGAAGGTCTCACCTTGCTTTGATACCAAGCTTCTGCTTCGGCCCGGCTCCTGTTAGCAATGTCTTCATACTGTGCTTTCACCTCAGCAATGATGCTGTTGAGGTCTAGATCTCGGTTGTTGTCCATCTGTAGGATCACGCTGGTGTCGCTGATCTGTCCGTGGATCTGAGCCAATTCCTGCATGAGAAAACAAGTTCTTAGTATCCCTCCACCTACCCATCCACAAACTCAGGGATTTTAGGATTACAGCTGGGTGAAAAACTTAATTATTAAGAAGTGACTAAATGAGAAAACCTTTCCATGACGGGACCACCACAGGGAGGCCATCTTTCTCTGCCTCTGCATGGCAGTTGTTCCACATGGAAACCTTTATAATGTGTGTACCAGCTCAAAGTTTGACCAAACTGCGGGAGGCAGTGGAAGACAGGAGTGCCTGGTGTGCTCTGGTCCATGGGGTCATGAAGAGTCAGACACGACTAAATGACTAAACGACAACAGCAACCAGCTCAAAACACAGACCAGGCCTCCACTATGTGATTCATCGCCCATCCTGCTGTCAAACATTCCTGCCAATGGATGGCAGTGGTGTGGAGATAAACCACACAGGCGGGGGTGAAGGACCACCCACGTGTTGGCCCAGGCCATATGGCTTGCTAGTAGAGATATTGTAGAATTATACAATAGAATTATACAAGAGACTTAGCAGAGTTCAGCATCATGTGGCACATTCTGCAAAGACCTCTACCATTTCAGACTCACTGTTCCAGCTACGCCTGGTCATGAGTCTCACACCAACGTGGGTCAGTGACATGACTGACCAGTGCCAAGTGCAGGAGGTCTTTGCGCATTCAAGGCAAAATCTGGCATACGTTTGTTTGTGAGCCCAGTATGGCAAGCCTCAAATCTGAAATGGAATTGAGGAGTTTAGCTGCACTCAAATAGCAGGAGGAACATCCCCCGCCAAAAACATAATAATTCTGAAATGATTTCTTTAGGGTTGCCATATTTCAAAAAGGGGAAATCCGGACACCAAAGTTTTTGAGTGTTTTTTGAAAGAAATTTGCCAAATTCTACACTTCTGACATGGGTTGCCATACGTATGGATTTTCCTGGACATTACAGCGATTTTGGCACAGACACTTTTTTCGATGGCCAAATCCTGGCTATGTCTGGGAAATTCTGGATATATGGCAACCTTAATTTCTTACCACTCCAGCATGTGGAACAGCCACTAGTTTCAGGCATACTGGGTGTGGCAGCCATATTATAAAATGTGACTCACAGTGAAATTCTATGCACACCTACCTACCTACCTGGGAGTTAGTACCACTTGCTTACTTACTTTGAAATAAACTTGCATGGAATTTCCCTCTCATACGTTCTTCACTCTGTGGCTAGACTCTAAATAACTTTTTTGTCCTTCATTTAAAGTAAAGCTCTGAAACAGAGATGAGGAATCTGTGGCACCTCCAGAAGTGGATGGACTCCAACTCCCATCAGCCCCAGCCAATGGGCAGGGATGATGGGAGTTGGAGACCAGCAGCATCTGGAGAAAGACAGGTTCCCCATCCAGTTCTATAAAGAACCATCTGATCCACCGCAGAGTTTATGTTGTGACATGCAAAGGGCACTCCTGTGCATTCATGTTTCCCTATCAGATCCTTTCCTTTGAATGTATAGGGCTTTCCCCATCACATAAAATAACTGGGTTATTTTATTTTATTTTTATTTATATACCGCTCTATACCCAGAGGTCTCACAGAACAAAATAAAAATATATAATCAAAATAAAAACAACAACCCAATAACCCCCTCCCCCCCCAAAAAAACCCCCAGGTTATGTCTAATGCATGCCAGATTTTGTCCCCTTGTAAGGCTTTGCCTGATACAGTGGTGCCTCGCAAGACGAAATTAATCCGTTCCGCGAGTCTCTTCGTCTTGCGGTTTTTTCGTCTTGCGAAGCACGGCTATTAGCGGCTTAGCGGCTATTAGCGGCTTAGCGGCTTAGCGGCTATTAACGTCTTAGCGGCTTAGCGGCTATTAACGGCTTAGCGGCTTTAAGAGAAAGGAAACAAACTCGCAAGAACTCGCAAGACGTTTCGTCTTGCGAAGCAAGCCCATAGGGAAATTTGTCTTGCGGAACGACTCAAAAAACGCAAAACCCTTTCGTCTAGCGAGTTTTTCGTCTTGCGAGGCATTCGTCTTGCGGGGCACCACTGTAGGAGCAACTGGTTTTGTTTTCATTTTGCCTCCCTTGCTGTCCTGCAGTATCCCATTTCTGATTCCTAACACCACTTTGAACTGATGGAGAAATAACCAACTCTAAAACAAATATTTTAGAGCACCATCAATGCAATATTGAGTTCACTCACAACTCCCATGATTCATTCCTGGGTCTGTGCAAAATTCAAAAAATGACTGAACAAGGCTCGCATTTAACTCCCCAGCAGACCTATGAAATGTTGTCCTCCAGAATCTGCCAAGGAGCCAGTCACATGTCCCATTTTCAACTTATTCAGCTGAAACATCTTTTGCGTGTGCTCTTTCTCACATGAGTCAGCCCACTTCTTTCTGCAAGAAGTAACTTGGCTTCCAGCAGTGAGGACACAGCTTATCAGATTCCACATTACTCTGATTTCTTTGACTCAAGAAAGTTAAGCACTTACTGCCTCATAGAGGGCTCTCAGGAAGTCGATTTCATCTCTCAGTTTATCACCTTTTGCTTGCAGCTCTATTTTGTGCATGAAGGAACCATCCACATCCTGAAATAAATGCATTGAATTCATGTTACATTAAACATGACTAGAGCCAAGCTAGAAGTCATAGACAGCTGTTGGTGCTCAGCCCAGTAACTCTGACTGGTAGAGGACTTTCCCAGGGGCATTAGAAAACCTTAAAGATACTGGAGACTGAACCTGGGTCCTCCTTCAACCAAAGCATGTGTTTTCCATGAAGTTCTGCATAATTTTCCAATATGCGTCTGGAAGCTTATGAGCAAGACACAAAGAAAGCAGGTTCTCCTTCATGGAGAGCACATGTTGCGGTGGGGGCCGCCAGGACACTCCAAAGTTGTGGGGCGGGCTAATTGATCATTGGCCACTGATGCGATTGGGCTTCCCTTGTTGTTGGGAAGAAGTTAATGTTGCCATTTGTTGATTGACAGCCAGAAATGCTAAAACTCCTTGCACGAGGCTAGGGCTTCCTCTTTTCACCCGTGCATCGGATTGCCCGTCCCCCACTCCCTAGAATTAGGGTTGTTTGCATTGACCTTGCTATGCCTGTCATGGGGTCATCTGCTCTTGGGGCAGGGGCCCGGTAGGAATTTTGTCCATCTGGCTGATTGGCTGGTGCCATTTGGTTTTTGCCTACTGCGTAGCAAATCGTCACAACTTGGAAGGTTGCGGTTAGGCATTGGTTTATGGTTTGGTTGGTGGAGGGGCATGGATTGGCTGTGCCTGCCCCTCCAATGCTGCTGTTGCAAGGGATTCCGTTAAAGGAATCGGGGGCTAACTATTGCTTGTCCACCCTGTCAAGGGGACTCGGGCCACTGCAAGAGCTCCTGGCTGCATTTGGGGAGGGCTGAGGGCAGGTTCCCTGCTCCGTCGCTACCCCCAAGTGTATTCCCCTTTTCTGACTTTTGCAGGCGTGCGGAATGTCAGTCTGTCCCCCACGGTGGGGGCAGATAGTCGCAACCAATGCCTAAGCAACAACTCACATGTTTGTAATTTAATAAAGTTGTGGCCAAAATTATGCCAAAAACCTTAAACAAAAAATTTGGTGTGATGTGTGAGTTATTGGGGTGGCCCTGGGGACCTCGACACGCAAGACAATGCTGTTTGTCCCCTAGAAGCGGTGATCCACTTATGTGCTTCTTCTGTATTATGGAGGCTCCTATTAGGCATGCTAAAGCATATGCAGAGCTTCACATATGTTATTTCACTATTTGTCACAAGAAATCTGTAAAGAAGGTCAGTACTATTAGCCTTACATTACAAAGGTTTGAACCAAGGACCCCCTGACTCAGAGCCAAGTGTCCTACGTATCTACTCAGAAGTAAGACCCATAGAGGTCAATAATGCTTGCTTTGAGGTAAGTAGGTATAGAATTGCAGCCTCAGTCAGTTGACTACATCTTCCTTTCATTGATTATTGATAATAATAAAGCCAGTAGGCAATTATTTGGGAAACAGCCAGCTGAGCTGGAATATGAAACCCATTTAATCTGGACGCCTCTAAGAGCTGAGACAAAATGCTATTTCCCCTCGAAAATAGACTCCTACTTATTGCTGCTTTTTTTATTAAAAAAAAGTCACCTTCTTGATGCCAACAAACTCATTTTCAGCCGCAGTGCGCTTGTTGATTTCATCTTCATATCTATTAAGAGAAGAAACAGATTTGGATTCTTCTGAGAACAAGGAGAACTGAGAGAGAGGAAGAATAGCAATAAAATGGTTCCCTCCTTTGATGCAATTCTGGTCCAGATGAGTAGGTTAGTTGCTACTTAGAAATCTGGATTGCAACCTTACATACTACTGTTAAATGCATTACACAGAAGTAAGTTTCACTGAGAGTTATTAGGAGACACCCCTATTCCCCTCAAAGGGATACAATTCACAGTCCATCCCTCTTCTTGGGAATTGCATCCCGTAAGGGAAGTAAAACATCTGCTAACAACTCTCTGCAAACTACAGCTCTTTAACAAACTACAATTCCCAGGATTCTAGGGGGTATAACCAGGTATCCCCAAACTCAGCCCTCCAGATGTTTTGGGACTACAATTCCCAACATCCCTGACCACTGGTCCTGTTAGCTAGGGATGATGGGAGTTGTAGTCCCTAAACATCTGGAGGGCCGAGTTTGGGGGTACCTGGTTATGACTGTTTAAAGTGGGATAATAGGGCTTTAAAGGTATAGTGCAGATGGGGCCTAGATTACACTTGTTGGGTTTTGCTGTAGGCATGCAAGTAGCATGAATGGCCATCTGTGTGTGCGGCAATCAGCCAAGTCAGAGGATAATGACTATCCCATCTGTGTGGGGGTCCTAAAAGTCTGTCTCAAGTGCCTCAGTCCCACTTGCCTTTAAAGCAGTTGTGCCCCTAAGTTTCTACAGTGTTTTTCTGCCAACACACTTTTCAACAGGCCAAGGAGTCATGAATATATATGACAGAATTTGCTGCTGCACGTTTTTATGGCTCTTTTTGTGAGCCAAGCTGCATTTTACGATCCTGTAAATACTTGCTTTAAATGCCCTCATTTCTTTAATATGCAATGAAAACTTCTCCAGCCTAAACCACAAGGTGGAATCCATGCCAAGAAAAGAAGATAGCATTGCTATGAGGCCAGAAAACACCTAGATTGCATCTTCAGCTCATTCCTAATGCTGGATTGACACATGACAGACCACTGAGCTCATCAGAGACCTGAGATGGCAGTCGGATGGAATTTGCCACTTAAGAGGAGCCTGTTGGGTCAGGCCAATGGCTGATCTAGTCCAACATCCTTCTCTCCCAGTGGCCAGCCAGAAGCCTATGGGCTTCTCATGAGGTACTCTCCCCATTTCAGACAGCAGGAACAGAATTCTTTTTTTAAAAAAATGCTCCCAATCCCTACAATAAAAAACAACAACAACCTCCTTGCAAGCAGAAAATAAACACAACATATAGAGAGCCTGATCAGGAGCTCACCAAGTTAGCGTCTAAATATCTCTACTTGGTTTTTTGTCGTCGAAATACACTGCGGACGTCTGATCTCCCTGGAGACCTAAAGATGTGACAATAGACTGCTCTGCCTCCGTTCTTTTAGCAAATGTTTTGTGCCACTGGGGAAGTGGTAATTCTGTAATGATCTGTTTTGGATGTTTGTATGTGATGCCAATAAAAGGTTTGATGATGATGATATAGAGAGCCAAGCTATGCTACTTTTCATAATTACATGCTCATTTTCTACTTCCAGGAAGATTTGTTCCAGTTTATATTAAGGGGGGCATTAAAAATGGGATCACACACACACATACTCCTGCAGTCTGAAATGGTACAGTCCATGCCTCCTTTTCAAGGTGGGTTAAACCACAGAGCCTAGGGCTTGCTGATCAGAAGGTCGGCGGTTCGAATCCCCGCAACGGGGTGTGCTCCTGCTGCTTGGTCCCTGCTCCTGCCAACCTAGCAGTTCGAAAGCACGTCAAAGTGCAAGTAGATAAATAGGTACTGCTCCAGTGGGAAGGTAAACGGCATTTCCGTGTGCTGCTCTGGTTCGCCAGAAGCGGCTTAGTCATGCTGGCCACATGACCCGGAAGCTGTATGCCAGCTGCCTCGGCCAATAAAGCGAGATGAGCACCACAACCCCAGAGTCGTCCGCGATGGGACCTAATGGTCAGGGGTCCCTTTACCTTTACTATTCTGCTGCATCAATGAGTATGCTGAGTCTTCTTACCCAAGTAGGCCCTGATGGCTAACTCACCTCTTTCTAAAGTCTTCCACCTGATCCTGCACATTTCTGAGTTCTCCATCCAGCCTCCCACGGTCACCAGTCACGGTATCCAGTTGTCTCCTGAGATTAGCAATGTAAGCCTCGAACATTGGCTCGATGTTGATCTTAGTACCTGTGCTGCTGTGTTGCTGTAGTAGGTCCCATTTGGTCTCTAGAACCTTATTCTGTTGCTCCAGAAACCGTACCTGAAACCCATCAAGAGACCCATGGTATGTAAACTCATATCATCACAACTATAAACTGAGTCAAAAGCATACTGGAACCAGAGCCCAGTCCTTATTACATACTGACCAATGAGGATTAGATGCACTCTTCAATGAATCCCCTTAAATCATCAAAGACCCTGGAGATACACATATTTGAATGAATGCAAAACACCCAGGGAATGGCTTAAATTGCTGTGCATACCCCTGAATGTTTCAAGTTTTCAAAGCACTTACAGCACTCCTGTAAGGCAGACCAGTATTATTATTATCCACATTCTGCAATGGCAACGGAGGCTGAGACAATGGTGGCTTGCCTAAATCCACCTCTCTGAAATGAAACTAGAATTGGGAATTTTCTGGCTCACACTCCTGGCCACTCTGCTGTACAAGCACCTCTCTCAAGACATCATAAGGAGAATGCAGAAATCTTGCCTTTGCTTGTGTTGGTGGGATCCTGAGGCCTCCTACAGCAAAGATAAGCTTCAACTAGTCATCATTGCTACATGTAAAGGGAATCCAGTACCCTCCTTTTTGTGAAACATGATTCTAAATCAATGGCAGCCAACCTTTCCGACAAAAGTCCCATAAATAGTACTGCCAAATGACCAAAAACATGCCTCCTCCCCATTCCTGGACTGGTCTTCTGCCTGTGACAGCAGCTTGTTCTTCACCAAAATATGAGAGTCTTAAAATGAGCATGGCTTTGCCTCCAGAATCTTATTGGAGACTCTTTACTTACGAGGAGTCTGCCTGTATGCTACTTTCATATCAATCTACCCCCACGTAGTCCTAAAATAGCTGTGCTGTTGAGAGCACTGAGTGACCCAGGTTGCCAGCTGACGGTGGCAAAACAGATGTTCTTTTGCTTGTGCCTTTGAACAGCAGCTTTGCAAGCAAAAATTTAGTTTCCACAGCATGGGGGCGGGATATTTTCACCAGCTAAAATCTCACATAAAGGTCCTGTTAGACACACCTTAAGTGGCTAGTTGAAAACTGAGAAGGTAGCAATCCTACCAAAAAGTCAAGCCCAATGTATTACATAACATCCTAGTAGTGTGCACTATAGTATATATGCAACTTCGGGGTGTTTTGCCTCTGATCTACTGAGCAGGAGAACAAGCAGCAGCACAATATGGGAGAGCCAGGCAAAAATATAGGCTAGCCTTTATAGCATAGCCAGGCTCACAGGCCATTCTGCTTCTCTCCAGGAGTGCCACAAGAAAGCCCTGCTGCTTCTGCCCCTCCCATGCTACAAGCTGGCAACTCATAATCTAAATCAGAGTTTCCAGTGCAGTGCTCATCATTCTCAGCCAGCATAGCCAATGGATAGGTGGCTGATGGGAGTTGCAGGCCACAACATGTGGAGCAAGGATCAGCAAACATTTTCAGCAGGGGGCCAGTCCACTGTCCCTCAGACCTTGTGGGGGGCCGGACTATATTTGGGAAAGAAAGAAAAAGAACAAATTCCTATGCCCCACAAATAACCCAGATATGCATTTTAAATAAAAGGACACATTCTACTCATGTAAAAACACGCTGATTCCCGGACCGTCTGTGGGCTGGATATAGAAGGGCCAGATCTGGCCCCCGGGCCTTAGTTTGCCTACCCATGATGTGGAGGTTACCACATTGACTACCCCTGATCTAAATCCATAACATCTATGAACATGAACATAAATGCTCTTGCATATAATGGTGACTCAGGCTTGAAAATGTCTTCTACTAAAAATAAGACCCGCAACCTTATCCTAAGGTTTGTTAATGGGGATGGGGTGTGGCAGCTGCTTTAATAAGGCAAACAGTTGGAGAAGAAGCAGCAGCAGGCAAACCCACACTATGCTTTAATAGTCATTCTCTCTTCCCATGGGAGTCTGGGAAATGTAGTCCTGTGAAAGAGATCCGTGACATCTAACAATCTACAATTCCAGACATGGTTTGTGGGAAACCACAGAGGTAGACAAACTGAAACCTTGGTTGGGAAGAATGATGTCTGCAATCTGCTTTCATCCAGCGTACCCTTGAGCGGCCCATCCCTTTCCTGCAAACTCTACCACAATGTTGTGTTCAATTGACTCACCTTGTCAATGAAGGATGCAAACTTGTTGTTGAGGGATTTGATCTGCTCCCTTTCCTGCACACGCACTTTTTGGATCTCGGGGTCAATCTCTAAGTTGAGTGGTGACAGGAGGTTGGAGTTGACGGTCACTTGCTGGATGCCCCCAGGAGGAACTATGAAGCCCGTCCTTGGACCACCACTAAAGCCCCCCATTCCTGATGCACCACCACCAAAGCCTGCAAAGGAACCACCTCCAGCTCCATACCCCCCAACTGAAAATCCTCCACCACCAAACCCACCTGCACCAAACCCACCACCACTACTCATTCCACCACCCCAGAAGCCTCCAATTCCACCTGTACCATGACTAATGGAGCTGCTTTTGTTAACTCCTAGGCTGTATAGGCTTCTGCTCCCAAAGCCACCCCCTAGCCCTCCACTGCTTCTCCCAGCCCGGGATAAAGAAACTGAGGTGAAGCTGCCTTTTGTCCCTCCAGGAATGGCCGCAGTCGAAGAACTGTAGCCGCGGGAGACCCTGACCCCACCCCCAGACCTGGAACTGAATTGCCTGTTCATTGTGTCTTATTCAAAGTATAGGGAAGAATATTTTGCAAAGAGTTATTGTGGAAAAGAGGGAGAGAGAGGGAGAAAGAGAGAGAAGGACGCCAGACCCCTCTCTGAGGTAGAAATTCTGTCTCCTCTCCCTATATATACACGCATATGTATGTTGAGGTGGGCTTGGCTGCAGTTGGTAATTAATCAAGAATAAGCTCATTAATGGGCTGGGCTATGTTTGGCAGCAACAGATTGTTTTAAAAAACGTCCTCCAAGTGTTCCTTTGAAGTGAAGCGAAGCACCAAAATTGCTTGGCTTGCAGGCTTTAATGGCACAAAAACTATGCCAACAAATTAATTTTCTCACCACCACCTCCACACCTCAGCCAAATAATACTAAATACACCTCAGCAAATGGTTCTTTTCCCAACTATTTTTTTTAAAAGTTGCTTTAATTGTGGATTATCCCTCTTCAGCATCTTACTTCAAAGCTCCCTATTTTCCCTTCCTCACATCATTGGCTTGAAATCCATAGTGCCTCCGAGAGCTATGATGAATCGCATGTAATCCCTGAGGTGATTCTGGTTCAATTCTCTTTTTTGCTCTCTTTCCCAGATAGCCATGGAATGACATTCATCTTCTTTTGGAACAAGAACAGTACATTTCTTAGCCCAAGGCCAGTCCCAGCAGCTGCCCTGGCCAACAGCATTTGCTGTTTCTGTCGCTGTAGTTGAAAGGACAGCCTTTCCCCAGGAACCTTGAGACATGTGCTTCTTTCTTCTACCTTAAGAACAGCAGAAGCCAAAGGAAGGCCTAACAATGCTAGAAAGCAGCAGTTCCCCAAACATCAGAGGACTTTTAAGCAGCAGAACAAGAGGTCCTGGAAAGGAGGCTTGTTCATTTCTCGCCTTACATGTGCAGGAGAGAGAAGGTTGAGTCCGTGCAACCTTAGTCTATGCAGGTGTTAAAAAGGAGCCCAGCAGATCTAAGCCAGGGCTCTGCCTGAGCCAACCTTGCTGCCTACAACAGGCACAGAATCCTCTGCAACATGTGGCTGACCTGAATGCAGTGGAATAGAAATGGGGGAGAGGCACTGGATGCTGGTTCCCCACCATCTACACACTGGGGGTCATGTCTGCAGAAGAGAATCTTCTCTAAGCATGTAGGCTTCCCTCCATGATGTGGTGTGGAAACCTGCCCAGTCAGTGTTTTACATTACAGTCTCTCCCTTCCACATGGTTAAAGAGGATGCATGAAAGAGTCTGTGGATCCTTTTGATTATTTCAAAGTCAAAAACTTGAAAATTGCTACTCTAAAGCAGCGGTAGCCTACATGGTGCCCTCTGAATGCTGTTGGAGTCCAACTCGCATCAGCCCTAACTCCAGGAAGGGTAATGGTCAGGGATTAAGGGAGTTGTAGCAACATGGAGGCAGTGAGAGATTTTACTTTCTTGGGCTCCATGATCACTGCAGATGGTGACAGCAGCCATGAAATTAAAAGACGCCTGCTTCTTGGGAGAAAAGCAATGACAAACCTAGACAGCATCTTAAAAAGCAGAGACATCACCTTGCTAACAAAGGTCCATATAGTTTAAGCTATGGTTTCCCAGTAGTGATGTATGGAAGTGAGAGCTGGACCATAAAGAAGGCTGATCGCCGAAGAATTGATGCTTTTGAATTATGGTGCTGGAGGAGACTCTTGAGAGTCCCATGGACTGCAAGAAGATCAAACCTATCCATTCTTAAGGAAATCAGCCCTGAGTGCTCACTGGAAGGACAGATCCTGAAGCTGAGGCTCCAATACTTTGGCCACCTCATGAGAAGAGAAGACTCCCTGGAAAAGACCCTGATGTTGGGAAAGATGGAGGGCACAAGGAGAAGGGGACGACAGAGGATGAGATGGTTGGATAGTGTTCTTGAAGCTACCAGCATGAGTTTGACCAAACTGCAGGAGGCAGTGGAAGACAGGAGTGCCTGGCGTGCTCTGGTCCATGGGGTCACGAAGAGTTGGACACAACTAAACGACAAAACAACAACAAAGCAACATCTATGCATCTCCATCTGCTCTGCAGATAGGTGTTTTGCTTTGTTTTCAAGTCCCCCAGTGTCATGAATCCAGTGATGCATAGAGACAAGCTTTGTGATCTTCCCACCATCATTCTGCAGGGGAGAATATGTACACCTACTTGTATTCTCCCTGACCATTAGCCATGCTGGTTGGGACTGGTGGGAGTTTGGATATCTGGTTGGCCTAGTTCTCACAAAAAGATAACTATCCACACACTGGTTTGGGAGGTGCAGATCAGGTGCGTTCATGTTGGAATTCACAGAAATCAAATCACTCTACCGTTCCTACTACTGCCTGGTATGACACTGGGGGGGGGGTGCTACCTGAATTTATGGACACTATGTGATTTCTGTACCTGTTCTAGATTTGAGTTTGTGTTTTGAGAACTTTTTGTAAGCCACTTGGAGAGCCTCTCTGGGCTCAGAAACGGAACAGAAGCATTCTAAATCAGAGGTAGCCTGATATTTGTTGGACCACAGCTCCCATCATCCCCAAACAGCATGGCCAGAGGTTATGGGATGATGGAAATTATAGCCCAACAACTGGAGAGAACCACATATGCTATCTGTGTTCTAAATAATATGATAAAATTATCATATTATCTACCACTAGTGGTAATAGTGGTAGTGGAATACAGAACACCCGTGGTCTTATGTACAGTATAGCATCTTATGCTACAGGTGAAGAGCTCTGGTCCTTCGTACGTTACAGGCAGATGCCACAGTGCCAACAGTACTAAACAACCTGGCAGAAAGCCCACTCCTTGGCAGGATATTAACCTCATTATTTGGAAGAACCTGCCTTGGCCTGAAGCAATGTATTATCTGAGTAGGCAGTAATGTTGCACACAACCAGTCAAAAGCAGCCAAATGTGGGGGGATCCAAGGCAGGTGGGTCCTATCAAATACCATCCCTGGGGAGCACATTGTTTCATGTTTCATGTTCCAAGCTGGAGTTGCTTCAAACTGCCATGTGCCTGAGGGGGCAAAGAGAGGGATGTTTATTAAAAATCTAATATGAGGTGTTGGGGGGAGGAGGAATTCCTCTGTTGCCTCATGACCTGATTATTCTATAGCTTCTTGATAGGTCTCATTCTCAACTACCAGTCTTTTATACCTTTTCTTTGTGAGTATAGCCACAGTATAGCCTGGGGAGAGAACAGCAAAGACCTGGTGAAGAGAGCACAGCAGAGGTTATATTTTCTGAGAATTCTCCAGAAAAACAATCTCTCAAAGGACCTGTTGATGGCATTTTACCATTGCACTGTGGAGAGCGTACTAACTTATGGTCTGTGCGTGTGGTTTGGGAGCTGCACGGCCAGGGAAAAAACAATGCTGTCCAGGGTTGTAAAGACTGCAGAGACAACAATTGGGTGCGCTCTTCCCACCTTAGATCAAATCTATGCTGCCAGGTGCCATAAGAAAGCGGCAGAGATAGCACAGGATAGTACGAACCCTGGAAATGATCTCTTTCAGCTTCTGCCTTCTGGAAGGAGGTATAGGGTTATAAAGGCCAGGACTAGCCGCCTGAGAAACAGTTTCTATGCAAATGCAATTCTGGTTCTAAATGCAGCATAAGGGGTTTCTATAGTATAGTGTATTTTAAAATGGGGTTTTAGAGTTTTTAGGGGTTTTTGAATGTTTTGTGTAGTTTTGTCATAGTTTTATGTAGTTTTTATGTAGTTTTGTGGTAGTTTTATGTAGTTTTTATGTAGTTTTATGTAGTTTTTCAATTTCATTGTCCTGCATGGGACAATGACAATAAAGATATATCATATATCGTACAGGTTGTGTGCGTGTTGCATCTTCCTGTTTTTAAGGAGGTCTCCTACTGGCATCATTAAAGTAAGGATATGCTTTAATTCTGGAGGGTGAGAGGGATCAAGAGTATAGTAAAAACATATAAGCACATATCGGGGCCAGCCTACCCATGAGGTAGGCTGAGGCAACCACCTCAGGCGGCAGAAGCTCAAGAGGCAGTGCACCCCTAACTGCCTCCAGTGTCACTGTACTGTTAAGGGGGGCATTGGGGGTGCAGCAACATCAGAGCAGGGAGGCGCCTTCCCATTTTGCCTCAGGTGATTTCATGCGCTGCCATGACACATAAGGTATAGCGGCAAGCGAAGCCAATCTACACATTCAGAAAGAGCGCATGGTACAACTTTCCACAGATAGTACCACTTTGGACTCAAATGCATGATGGAAGGGAAGGGGGTCACATATATGAATTCTCCCCAATGCAATAATTACTTGCTCATAGAAAATTAAGATTTCAGGATGATTAAGGTGATAAAACATGTGTTGGCAATGATGACTTCTTAATAAGCAGAGACTTTTTTATGTAGGAAAGCGTTCAAATATGACTGCTGTCTCCAGTCCAGAGGACTAGATGGCTTTCTTCTCCCCAAGCACAGAACAAATTCCATTCTGGAATTGTGTATCAGGAGTTCTGGTACAGGGTTGGCGTATGACAAATGTAGGGCTGGCTCACATACAACTCTGGCAGTGATGGTCTTTAAACATAAGGAACATGTAGGAAATAATCATGTGATATTCACCCTCAGGCTTGTGCATGTGTGCAGATTCCATCCACCCAAAGAGGTGTAAGCATGCATGCTTCACATCACACACTATAGGAACATAAGAAGCCACCCTGCAAGAGGCCAGATTATTTGTCCATCTAGCCCAGTATTGTCTACCCTGATGGGCCCAAATGTTCCTCAGTCAGAGGTCTTTCACATCACCTGCCATATGAATATTGCTTTTTTAAAAAAATGGAGAAGGGAGTTAAATCCAGGACTTTCTGCATGCAAACAAGTGCTCTGCTGCTGAACTATGATCCCTTCCCTATGTTCTGTGTCAGGGATAAGAATCCTGTGACCCACCAGATATTGGTAGACTCTAACTCGCACCATACATACAGACATACCTGCAATTGTGCGCCACCTTTCTGCAGTTCAAACTATGCTGCAATATGGCCAATGGTTGATGGCTGATGGGGGTTGTCAAACTGCATCTAGAGGGCCATTCCCTACCCCTACTCTACGTGGGAGGGAAGGGAAGTTGTAGGTGAACCACAAACTCCGCCTCACCTCACTGTACATCAGGGAAGCCAACTTGAATAAAATATTGGGGCGGGAGGCCAGGTAAGCCATGCCCCAGATAATACATCACATGACACGGTGCATGCACACCATTTGAATAGCAATGCCCATCGATTTGGGGGGGGGTCCTGGCACCCTCAAATATTTTATTGAGGGGGGACAAAGACCCCTTGGCCCCAAGGAGTTGGTGCCTATGATGTGCATAGAACACAGATGCCAGGACTATATGTGAGTGTGACATGCCTCTTTTCCCTAGCTAATGTATGGATAGATGAAAAAGATGCCATAATAAAAATGGTGAGATTTCACAGTAACTTATAATTGCCCATGAGCTCAAAGACTTTCTGTGATGGTGAGAGGTGCCCTGTGCTCAGGAACTTACCCAGGGAGGTTCAAGCCCCACCCTGAACTCCAGCCACCAGCCTCTGAGTAGCCCTGTTCATCTATTACAGATGTGTAGCGCACTCCTGTGTTGATCGGGGAGCAGTCTTGTACTACAGTCCCTGATATCACAAGCCCACCCCTTAAATCCCCCCCCGACATCCACCCATTGAGCATTCCTACTTTCAAAAGGTGAATGCCCAACACCCATGTAATGTCTGGCTAGGGCTTATTGGCTGGGTCAGCAGGCAGTCCCTAACTTTAGTGTAGGCACAACCAGGTAGCTCAGGAGGTTCATGCCCTTTGCTCACTGCTGAGATAACATATGCTCTACTCACAGCCAATGAGGAAATGGGATTCCATTGGGGATGTTTTCCATTGGGATTCCGTTGGGGATGTTTTCTCATTAGTCATTGCAGAAAAGTGCATTCTGGCTAACTTTCTGTCCTCCAGGGATTTTCTCTTTTGGGATGGGAGCTATAGATGGGATGTTCTATCAGTCCCTGACCCTTCCCCCCTCCTCAAAAAACCTGGGAGATCGTATGTTCTCACAAACAAGCATTGGTGGGCCTGTGATTCTTTTCTCATTCTGGGATTGTGCCATACAAGCCCATCAGTAAAGTGAAAGATCAGTACTTTTGGGGAGGTCCTGACATCCCAGAAGGAAAGCACAGTGAGAGAAAGTGATGGGTGATTGGGCAGTGAGTCCCTCACCCAAAGGGCTATAATGGTAGCCAGGCCCACTTTAGATGAACTCAGGCTTGCAAGATCAAACTGTCTGAATGGGGGAAGCGGAGAGAGAATGTGTGTTAGGGAGCCATTCTGAGCTGCTGTGTCACAAACCGTTTTTTGCAACACAAAGCAAGCAACAGTGCAGAATAATATTGGCAGCATATTAATATCCCAGCACACCACAGATTTATACAGTTGTACCTCTTGTTATGAGGGCGCTGTGGGTTAAACCACAGAGCCTAGGACTTGCCGATCAGAAGGTCGGCAGTTCAAATCCCCGCGGCGGGGTGAGCTCCCATTGCTTGGTCCCTGCTCCTGCCAACCTAGCAGTTTGAAAGCACGTCAAAGTGCAAAGTGCAAGTAGATAAATAGGTACCGCTCTGGCAGGAAGGTAAACGGTGTTTCCGTGCGCTGCTCTGGTTCGCCAGAAGCGGCTTAGTCATGCTGGCCACATGACCCAGAAGCTGTACGCCGGCTCCCTCAGCCAATAAAGCGAGATGAGCGCCGCAACCCCAGAGTCGGCCACGACTGGACCTAATGGTCAGCGGTTCCTTTACTTTTACCTCCTGTTACATCATTCTCTGGTTGCATTTTTTCAGGATATGAAAGCGGCAAACCCAGAAGTGTATACTTCCGGGTTTCGCCATGCACGCATGTGCAGAAGCGCTCTGCGCACCTCGCATGTGCACAGAAGCGCTCTATCACGCCGCCCGCATGCGCAGAAGCGGCACTCTAGTTGTGGACTTTTCAGGGTGCGAACAGCACCCAGGAATGAATCAAGCCCATAACCAGAGGTATCACTGTATTGAATTAACTGTCACCCCCTTTGAAGGGAACCCTGGGAATTTTAGTTCCTTGTGCAAGGTTGGTTACCGAAGCCTAACCTAGAGGCTTCTCAGCAATGTGCTGCTCTTAGGATTTGGAGGAGTGGGGAGCCATAGCAGTTAAAGTTAAATGCTTGTAGGAGATTTTATATATATCAGCGCCAGCCAACATGGTCAGTGGCTAAGGTTGCTGAGAGATATAGTCTAGCAACATGTGGAGTGCCACAGGTTTCCCAACCCCATTCTGAAGCCATGAAAAAGAGTTGTTGCACACAAAGGGCAAGTTTCTTCACAGCAGATATTTAGTGTTGACAGCCTCTAGGCTTTGCAAGTGGTCAGTTTGGTCCTTCAGTACATTATGATTATGGTTCATCTGATGGTTGTCCTTTTGCTCGTAGAGGTTGTTGATATGATTTTCAGGCCGGAGCAACTTCCGCCACCTCCAGAGCCATATCCCACGACGCCCCTGCCACTTCCAGAACTTGAACCGCTTCTGATGCTGAGTCCTTCTCTGCGGCTCAGTCCACTTCCTCCTGCCATGCCGCTGTTGCTAACTACAGCTTCAGGAAGAAGAAGAAGAAGATGAAGAAGAAGAAGAAGGAAAAGAAGAAGAAGAAGAAGAAGAAGAAGAAGAAGAAGAAGAAGAAGAAGATCATTTTAATTGCGGCACACTAATTTTAGAGAGATTCCCAAGTGAGACACTCATTCAGTTAAGCCTGTACAGGATATGATACAATTTGGCATAATACAAATTTCCCATGCATCAAAACATTGTAGAGAGGAGTTCCTTTTTTTCTGAAATCCAGCAGCTAGCTAGCCAGCCAGCCAGCCGGGTCCTTTTCTAAGAAATTCCATCTCACCCACCTCCCGTCATCCAGTTTTTTTTCCATTTTTCTCCTAACAGTCACTATTCTACACCATCTGAGGATGTTCAGTCCCTATTGAGTTGTTTTCGGTCTTGTCCTCCTGCTTTTTTTAAAAAGCACTTCAGCAAATTAAGGGTCCACTTTAGGAGAATGAGTTCCCTGTTGGTATATGATATTCACACTTAAAAGCTTTGGGAATATTCGGAACATTTAATGTGCAAACAATCTGAATCCTTATTCATTAGGGGCTATAACTTAGGGAAGGTTCGTAGCTCAGTGGTACAGCAACTACTTTGCAAGCAGAAGGTCCCAACTGCAACCTCAGGTATCCCCAGGTAGAGCAGGTAAAAGGATTTCTGCCTGAAACCCCAGAGAGCTACTGCCAGTCAGAGTAGAAAGTGCTGAGCTAATGGACCAATGGTCTGATGCAGTACAGTGGTACCTCGGGTTAAGTACCGTATTTTTTGCTCTATAGGACGCACTTTTCCCCCTCCAAAAATTGAGGGGAAGTCTGTGTGTGTGTGTGTGTGTGTGTGTGTGTGTCCTATGGAGCGAATGCAGGCTCCTTGGCTTCAGCGATAGCAACGCGAAGCCTCCAAAGCGCAGAGGGAGCACTCACTCCACGCTCCGGAGGCTTCGCATTGCTTTCGCTGAAGCCTGGAGAGCGAGAGGGGTCGGTGCGCACCGACCCCTCTCGCTCTCCAGGCTTCAGGGATAGCCGCCTGAAGCCTTTGGAGCACAGTGGGACCTCGCGCTGCGCTCCGAAGGCTTCAGGTTCCTTTTGCTGAAGCCGGGAGAGCAAGACTCTCCTGGCTTCAGCGGAGAGGGAGATCTGCACAGCGCCCCTTCAGCGAAGCGGGGGGAGAAATGGAAGGGGCTCCATTTCTCCTGCCACTTCGCTGAAGGGGTGCTGAACAGAGAGGGGGAGAATTATTTTTTTCCTGTTCTCCCCCTCCTATGGTCCGGTGCGTCCTATGGTCCGGTGCATCCTATAGAGCAAGAAATACAGTACTTACCGTATTTTTTGCCCTATAGGACGCACTTTTTCCCCTCCAAAAAATGAAGGGGAAATGTGTGTGTGTCCTATGGGGCGAATGCAGGCTTTCGCTGAAGCCTGGAGAGCGAGAGGCGTCGGTGTGCATCGACCCCTCTCGTTCTCCAGGCTTCAGGAAGCTATCCGCTGGGCTCCCAAGGCTTGCGGGCAGCAGGAGGCAGCCCGAAGCACAGGGCGCACTGCGGAGCACGCCCCCTGTTTCGGGCAGTTGTCCGCAAGCCTTGCGTGCCCAGCGGGAGGTCCCGCCAGGCTCGCAAGGCTTGCGGGCGGCAGCCTGTTCTGGGGGCTGGGGTCGGGGGAAGCTCAGGCTTCCCCAGCCCCAGCACCGCGCCTGGTGGGGGGGAAATAATTTTTTTAAAAAAATTTCCCCACCCCCCCAAAAAACTAGGTGCGTCCTATGGGCCAATGCGCCCTATAGGACAAAAAATACTGTAATTCGTTCCAGAGGTCCGTACTTAACCTGAAGCACCACTTTAGCTAATGGGGCCTCCTGCTGCTGCTGCTGCGCCGCTGGAGCAGGATTTCTGTTCTCATTTTGAAGCAAAGTTCTTAACCTGAAGCAATATTTCTGGGTTAGCGGAGTCTGTAAGCTGAAGTGTATGTAACCCGAGGTACCACTGTATAAGGGAATATCCTTTCTCCTGCCCCCACATGCTGTACTGGGCGTCTCCTGCATCTGGAGAGTGGATTTGGTGAGGCGCAGAGAGAGGAGAGAGGGAAAGCTTCACTGCACCAGCGACAGTCCTTGCTCTGGCTTCCAGTGGAATGGGGTACTTGAATCTGGCCCAGGTGCTTCAGAAACATGCTGTCGTTGCAAACCCAGAATGCCAGCACAAAATCTTTGGCTACTTACATATGTTTACAGCACTGCCATATTCTCCAGACATCCTGTTTGGGGAAAGAAAAAGAAAAAAGAAAAAAGTGAGCAATTCCGTATTCCACATCCTCCTTCTTCTCAAGCTTGTCTGCAGATACTATTGCATCATGCACACTTTCAGGTCTACTCCAAGCTAAGCCCCACTGAATTCAGTAGGACTTACTCCCAAGTAAGAGTATACAGGGTTCAGTGGATCTTACTGTTGAGCAGGGATACTCACTGGTATTTGGGTGTTTGTTGGCTGCTGAAATTACCTTGCCCAAAAGTGTCTCATAAAATCATTCAGCTAACAAAATGCCTTGTAAATCAACCTGAAATTGTCCATTGCAAAATTGACTTCAATTGTCTCTTTGTTTCTTGAAATGTCAGTTGCAACTGATGGCACAGCTAACATTAACAGCATGTTAATTATTCTGGCCTGCAGGGACGCTATTGTGCCCCCCAGGCTTGTGGTGTCTTTGTTCCCAGCAAAACAAAACAAAAATCCCACCTTGCACTTCTCTCAGTAATTACACCTGCCTGCAACTTGCTTTCTTCTCCATGAAAGACTGGTTGTCTCTCTCAGCTTGAAAAGTTTAAATCTGCCAGTTGCTGTTTGTTGTTGTTTAAGATAAATTTTATAAATGCGCTTCAATGGGGAAAACAGAGTTGACACAGAAATTGGTGGTGCAATTTGAGTAACTGCATTTGCTAAAATGCAGTCAAACTCATTCTTTCTGCAGCAATTGCAGGAATAAAGGTAAAGGGACCCCTGATCATAATGTCCAGTCGTGACCGACTCTGGGGTTGCGGCGCTCGTCTCATTTTATTGGCCGAGGGAGCCGGCGTACAGGTTCCGGGTCATGTGGCCAGCATGACTAAGCCACTTCTGGTGAACCAGAGCAGCGCATGGAAACGCCGTTTACCTTCCCGCTGGAGCGGTACCTATTTATCTACTTGCACTTTGATGTGCTTTTGAACAATTGCAGGAATAGGTTCTGATAAATAGCGAAAATGGCTCAGAGTGCAGTATCGATTCGGCAGCAGTTGCTGATGCTCTTTGTCAATGAAATTTGGCTAAAGTGTGAATGAAAACTCGATTTCTGCAACATTCGAGTACATCCCTGCCATTGAGAATGTAAGTACAGTATAGGATTGCAGCCTTGCTGTTGTTATCCGTTATTGCTCATGGCTCATAAATGTGGCAAAGCATCACCTCTGTACAGGGATGAGGATCCCATGGCCCTCCAGACATTGTCAGAATCAAACTCCCAGCCAGCATGACCTACAATCACGGATGATGAGAACTGTAGACCATCAACACATGGAGGACCACAGGATTCCCATTCTGAATATGAGCATTGCTAGACTGAATTCATTTTTACTTGCTAGCATGATTGTTAGCAAAGCAAATTGCTTGATAATCTACTTACATTGTGTAGATTGTATTCACATACAGTGAATACTGCAAGGCAACTTTTTTAAAACAAACAAACCAACAAACAAGCATTAGTGCTATACTAGTACTGCCACTGTTCACTGGGTGATTGCATTATCTAGTCTTTATATAAAGGGGAAAGCAACATTTTCCATTATTTTTTCAAGCAGCACTGAATGAAACTGATCATGTGCCCTCTTCAGGATTTGCTGGCAAAACTGGCTTCCCCTGTCCCTATAGCACTGAGCTTCATCAAACTAGCTAGACGCTTGTTAGTATCACCCAGGCTTATTTATTATTATTGCTATTATTATTATTATTGCTCCAACACTGACTGTACAGGAGGATGAAGATGGGGGATGTAGAGGCAGCATTAACAATATAAGATTGCTTGTCGTTACGTGAGACAATGGTGGTGGAATCTAAACACATATTAAAAATGTTCTGAAAATGCTTTTTTAAAGCCTTTTAAAAAATACATTGAATTTTCCATAAGGCTCACCATCGCCATCCAGTGTCACCTTGTATATTGCACTTAAAAGGTTTTATTTGCAGCTGTATAGCTGAGTCCAGTTTTTGTTCTGATCTCAGAAGATTGTGATGGGATTTATACAACAACAGAACAAATCAACATTTGAAGTAGACAGGGCAACAGGGTAAATGAGAGCAGAACCTTTTGAGATCAGTTCCTGGATTCTCAAGAATAAATTGAGGAGTAAAACGCATCAATGCCAGAGAAAATGGTGAGTATGGAAACAAAGCCACTTCCGAGCTAGGGAGGAGGTGGGGTTGCGGGCTTCACACCCCTCCCCACACTCACGGGGGCTGCCTTCCGCCCCCGCGATATCAGGGAATCCTCGGACGCGTCATCCCCGGGCCAGCCAATTGGCTGGCCCGGGGGGCGTGGCCACGCTACAGTTAGGTCTGGCGCGGCCGAGGCTCTTCCTTTTTCTGCACTGCAGCTAGCCAGGTTTTCCCCTTCCCTCCCACCCGTTAGGCTAGGCTCTCTGACGTTGCTATGGACTTTGGTTGGTCACCGTCAAGGGGCCTGGTAGGAATTTTTCCAATTGGCAGATTGGCACCAGCCACTTGGTTTTCGCCTACCTCGTAGCAATCCGTCACAACTCCCCTGTATTGGCGGTTAGGCATTGGTAAGGGTATTGTTCTATTGTTATGCAGATGAAGAGGGAAGGAAGCGCCATCACCTTCCCCCAAAACAAAATGGTAGTCCAGTAAAGGATTCCGGGGGGCGTGGCCTTGTCCTAAGCCTATGGAGGTGTGGGCCCACGGCACGCCCCCAAGCGGTAACTCCGGGGGGAGCTCCGAGTTGACATGCCTCTGCAGGACTCCCCCTACTGGTGGGTAACCCTTACCGGTCTTCTAGCAAGCGGGCTGAAGCCGGATAGTTGTTAGGACCAATGCCTAAGCCAATACCGCTCAATTCCTGTAATCAATAAAGTTGTGACCTAATTTGACCCATTAACCCGAATTCTTGTGTCTCGGTCGTTATTTCTGAGGGGGGAGGCAAGAACTCGCCACGCAACTAGTCCTAGTGTGGACAGCCTGTCAGCCATGCCATTGGTTTTCATCACACCCACCTCCATTCTTCTCCTTCCAGGAGGGTCCTGTAGGTGGCAATCTCAATATCCAAGGCTAGCTTAATATTCAAAAGTTCCTGATAATCACGCAAAAGGCGGGCCAGCTCCTCCTTAGCCTTCTGCATGGCATTCTCCAGTTCCAACAGCTTTTCCCTTGCATCTTTGAGGGCTATCTCTCCACGTTCTTCAGCTTCAGCAATAGATGACTGAAGATGGACACACTATGGAGAAAACGCAAAGAACAGAAATCAGCTCACATAGAAATCAGCCCATATAACCAGAGCTTCTTTTGGGGAGCTTTTTTTCAGGGCAAGCATTAGCCATTTTAATTATTATTTCTTATTTTCAGAAATTTTCCATATGCCCAGTACAGTCTCAAACTGATACAAGAATTACCATAAGAACACTAACTTAAGAACATAAAGGTAAAGGGACCCCTGACCATTAGGTCCAATCGTGACCGACTCTGGGGTTGCGGTGCTCATCTCACTTTATTGGCTGAGGGAGCTGGCGGAGAGCTTCCGGGTCATGTGGCCAGCATGACTAAGCCACTTCTGGCAAACTAGAGCAGCGCACGGAAACGCCGCTTGCCTTCCTGCCGGAGTGGTACCTATTTATCTATTTGCACTTTGATGTGCTTTCGAACTGCTAGGTTGGCAGGAGCAGGGACCAAGCAACGGGAGCTCACCCCGTTACTGGGATTCAAACCGCCAACCTTCTGATCAGCAAGTCCTAGGCTCTGTGGTTTAACCCACAGCACCACCCGCATCCCTCTTAAGAACATAGCGCACAGCTTTCTAACAAATTGAAATAAAACAGCCAAAGGCAAAAGTTCTTACACAGTCACAATCTCCATTTCATTGTCAAGTACAAGTTAGCAAACGTCTTGACAAAAGGTCTACCCATAAATTTAAGAATTGGGGCTTTAAGAATTTACACCACAAGTGACAGTGCTTTGAATGTTTCAAATGCTTCTTTCTGCCTCTAAATGAACGCTTCATTCATTTGGATTACTGGAGTCCATTTTTTGCCCTTAACTATCAGATGTAGCTATGCAGTAAGTCAAAAACATCTTAGGAATCATTGTAGTGCATGAAATTTGGTGCCTTCTAAATCAGGGGTCAGCAACCTTTTTCAGCTGTGAGCCGGTCCACCGTCCCTCAGAACATAGCTGTCAACTTACAGATTTGAAAATAAGGGATCAGCAGCCTCGAAAATAAGGGATCAGCAGCCAAAATAAGGGATTTTCCGGGCACAGGTATGTTCAGCTTCTGAGCCCCTCTGAGCCAAAAGCAGAAAGCCCAGCCATCAGCCAAACAAAGTCTCAAGCGGTGGTTCTCACAGCTCAGCAACCCAGCAAAGGGGATGCAGCAAGGAAAACCACTGTCACCTCTCTGCTGGGAAGCTCTGAGCAAAGGCGAATCCCCAGGCAACGAGGCCGATTTGATCAGCACAAGGCATGCAAGCTCCACCCCCCAGTCGTTCTTAGACTCCTTATTGGGTGAGCAACACAGCCAAGCAACCCAGTTGGAGCCTCCCTCCTCCCTGGCCAGCAGGGAGGGAGGGAGAGGAGCTGCTTCCTTTGAAACCCGGGAAATTTAAGGGACATCATCAATAAGGGACAGCAGCGGGACACGGCACTGGGATAAGGGAGTTTCCTGCCAAATAAGGGACAGTTGACAGCTATGCCTCAGACCATGTGGTGGGCCAGACTATATTGGGGGGGACACACACAAATTCCTATGCCCCACAAATAACCCAGAGATGCATTTTAAATAAAAGGACACATTCTACTCATGTAAAAACATGCTGATTCCTGGACTGTCCGCGGGCTGGATTCAGAAGGCGATTGGGCCGCATCCGGCCCATGGGCCTTAGGTTGCCTATCCTTGTTCTAGATGATGTTGGACTCCAGATCCCAACAGCCCCAGCCAGAATGACTAACAGGAATGATTTGCCTATTCCTGATTTAGCCCCCAATTTTTTCGAAGGTAAAATTATTTCCTGCACTTCTTGAGGCATAGCATGTTACAGATTATCAGACCAGAATACATCTTTTTGAAAGAAAACTAAAAAAAAAAATGTTCACAACTCAAAAATCCGTATTTACATTTTGAAGTTTGTAGCAGTCATAATTTAAAGGATTCGTCACACACCTGTATTTATGGAATGCCAAACAGGTAAATGAGAGAATCATACTGTGTTGTGAAATCAGCAAAAATATTTATAAACCAGGAACTGAATTATTTAGTTGAAATGGATTCAAGGCATATTTGTAGAATCAAACATAAATATTATTGCCAGCCTTGGGCTTAACTCAAGATCATTTCTTCACAAGGTGATGCTAAAACATCCTGAAAGCAGGGTGAATATCACAGGTGGGGAACCTGTGGCACTTCAAATCTTGATGAACTACAACTCCCATCATCATTGACCATCGGCCAGGCTGTCTGGAGCTGATGGGAGTTGGAGTCCAACAGAATCTGGAAAGCCACAGTTTCCCCACCCTGAGTGTATATAAACTCACCCCAAATATTGCAAAACCATAGTAAAACTGCTGGAGCTAATTAGTGCTGGATTGACTTGTTTTCCAGAAAGCATTACTGCTATTAAATTCTTAATTAGCTAACAATACATTCACTCCATTAAAAGTCTTTTCCCAAACCACTGCAATGTGCACTATTCACTGTAACATTATTAGACCATGGATGAGAACCATGTGGCTCTCCAAACGTTATTGGACTACAACTCGCATCATCCATGACCTCTGATTTTGCTAGCTGAGGCTGATAGGAACTGAATTCCAACAACTTATGGAGAACCTCTGCGGCAGAGCAATCACTGGATGCAAACAAACAACCTTTGCTATGCATATCTGCTAAAGCAATGTGCATCTTACTTGTTTCTTCACACTTTCCGTTTCTGATCTTAGTCTGTGGATGAGTCGATTCAACTCAGAAATCTCCATCTTGGAATTTTTCAAGGCATCGTCATGTTTCCTCGCTGTGAGCTGAAGTTCCTGAAACTGATTTTAATTGACATCATAAAGTGTAACAGCAGCAGCAGCCAGTCTTAGGCCAAATCCATCACCAGTTGCAACTGCCTGTAGCTACCAGTGGCTGAAGGTGAAAGAGGAGTTGGAGGGAAGCACTATGCCCCCAAAACAGGTTTAGGGGGCATGCAGGTGAAGTAGAGTGGGTTTGTCTCATTGCACAAGCAGACCTTGATCCACAAGTGAATACCCCATCTAGCACTAAGTTGAATTCCATCCATTAGTTCAATGGCATATTTCAGCATACAATTGCAAAAGCAAGAAGCAATAAAACAAAAAACCTTCCGAATCTTGAGTGTCGCTCAGATTCTCAACTTTGGCTTTTGAATGCAGAAATTCCCAGACAAGAAGGATCTTAGCTCAGTGGCAAAGCATGTGTTTACATACAGGAGGTCCCTGGGCACCTCCAGTCAATAGGATCAAGGGACATGTGATGAGAAAGCCCTCTCCCTCTCTCTGCCCAAGAACTTGAGGAGCCATAGCAGCCAGCCAGAGTAGACAAGAGTGGGCTAGATATTTTTTTTAGAAGCAAGTCAATAGATTTTTATTGTTTTGAGCTCTTCTTTGCAACAAGAAAGCATGAGCCTAGGGCTTGCCAATCAGAAGGTCGGCGGTTCGAATCCCCATGATGGGGTGAGCTCCCGTTGCTCGGTCCCTGCTCCTGCCAACCTAGCAGTTCGAAAGCACGTCAAGTGCAAGTAGATAAATAGGTACCACTCCGGCGGGAAGGTAAAAGACATTTACGTGCACTGCTCTGGTTCGCCAGAAGCAGCTTAGTCATGCTGGCCACATGACCTGGAAGCTGTACGCCGGCTCCCTCGGCCAGTATAGCGAGATGACCGCCGCAACCCCAGAGTTGTTTGCAACTGGACCTAACGGTCAGGGGTCCCTTTACCTTTACAGTGCTCTAACTGCGGGAATTATTTTTAGGTGGGAAATTCTCATTAACTCTCCTATTTGAATTTGTCAAGTTTCTTTAAGTAATGTTTAGTAGGCGGGCCACTTTCCACTTGAGTTTTTCCTCCTTACAGCCACTGCCTCAATTGGTGAGATCCACCATGGCATCTTCTGTTCTAGAAGGTCTCTTTATTTCTCCCAGACTTTAAATAAGGATTTTATGATAATATGATTGGTAAAGTCCTTATGTACTTTCCATAGATCAGGTATGCACACCAACCGTACCTGATATTAAATCCTTCAAGATCTAATAAGTCTGGGTTCCCCAATGAACACCAATCCCTCAACCAGGTGAAACAGACCGCCTCATAGTACAGACTTATATCTGGCAGTGAGAAGCCTTCTCTGTCCTTAATATCAATTAAGACTAGCTGTTTTGTTCTGGGTCTCTTCCACTGCCAGATGAATTTGGAAATATATCATTGCCATTCCCTGAGACAGTCCATCCCACCCAGTATCGGGATCGATTGAAAGAGAAACAATAGTTTGGGGAGCACATTCATTTTTATTATAGAGATCCTTCCTAAATAGGATAGCTTCAATCTGCTCCAGGTGTCCAAATTTCTTCTGATGAATTTGTCAAGTTTCATATGGATTCGAGTGGCATTTTAACGGCCACATTTTGCATCGCTTGTCATGTTACTTGCCCAAGCCAGATGTACACACCTTGCTTTGGTACATGGCATCTGCTTCTGCTCGGCTCCTGTTGGCCATATCTTCATACTGAGCTTTGACTTCTGCAATGATGCTGTCCAGGTCCAGGTCACGGTTGTTGTCCATTGAGAGGATGATGCTGGTGTCACTTAGCTGCCCTTGCATCTGTGATAGCTCCTGTAAGTCACACAAAAATCTTAATCATTGGGTAGCCATTGCTCTATGGAATCCAGATAAGGGTAGGAATGTTTGCAATCAGTTTATTTCATGCAGGGAATCTCAGGTGGTCCTTAGGAGAGCACAAAGTATCCTCACCACTTCATACAGGGATCTCAAGAAGTTGAGTTCATCTGTCAGAGAAGCCACCCTGGTCTCCAGCTCCACCTTGTTCATGTAGGCCGCATCTACATCCTGGGAGGGGGAAATTACATTGAAGATCATAAAGGGTTAAGGACCAGTCAAATGAACACACAGCAGTAGAGGTATAGCCCAAGTTAAGCATTTGATGAAACTGCAGGGAGTAAATCACAGACTATGGGGCATTCCTCCTTTACTCTAGGGTCCTTTCAAATCTGCAATGCAAAGTCCTGGGCCTGCAGGGGAAGAACATTTAAAACACACCTCCCTCTGCCAAAAAAAAAAAAAGGTGAATCCAGTTGGATCAGGGAGGTAAAAATGGAAACACGTTGCATCCCACCTTCCAAACATAGGCCCTCATTTTTTTGGAAGTGCTGAAAGCCCTGAAATTACCATCTTAGATCTCAGATTTGTGCCCTCCACTCTCCCAAACTTAAATCCTATGTTGAATGGAAGAGATTGTGCATCTATCTATCATCTATCTAGGCCTTTACACTGGCCAGACTAAATATGTTACCCTCAGCTGTTCTTGAAGGTAGATATCAAAACATTTCATTCGAGAACCGGCTCTGCCCCTGTGGAGCTGGCTACGTAGAGACTGTGTCACACGTTCTCCTGTCTTGTTCCCTATATAAAGATCTCAGGGACGAGACCATCACGCCGCTCCTATCTGCCATCCCGGGCCACTCTTGTGAAGCCAAATTGTTCTCACTCCTAGCCGACCAGAACAGCTCAACAACAGAGAAGGTTGCCAAATTTATCGAGAGAGCAATGAGACTGAGAGCTGCTATCTGACTGACATGAGTGTCACCCAGATTCCTCGCCTAGGATCTTATCATTATTATCATTATGTTTTATTATTAGTATTTTATTACCTCTGCCAAGTTTTAAGTACTGAGATTATTAATTTATCTGCATCTGGTTATTATTATCTTTCTCCCTGTCCTGACCATCCCTCCGAGGTTATATTTATATTTATAATCTTTCAATTTGGCTGGTCTATTTACTTAACCGACCTGGAACAATCTACCAGAGAAAAGGCCGCCACCCATGGGACAGAGGGTCATTGATGAATGATAATCCAGCTTTTACCTAGGGATTTAATAGGTCATAAGATTTTATGGTAACTATATTTGTAATGTATTTTTGTCGGTGTTTGTCCTTTGATGCTATGGCCTGTCGGCTACGCAAATAAAGTCTATTGATTGATATCATCTATCTATATCTATCTATCTATCTATCTATCTATCTATCTATCTATCATCTATCTATCTATCTATCTATCTATCTATCTATATCTATCTATCTATCTATCTATCTATCTATCTATCTATCATCTATCTATCTATCTATCTATCTCATTTATCTATCTATCATCTATCTATCTATCATCTATCATCTATCATCTATCTATCATCTATCTATCTATCATCTATCTATCATCTATTTATCATCTATCTATCTATCTATCTATCTATCTATCTATCTATCTATCATCTATCTATCATCATCTATCTATCATCCATCTATCTATCATCTATCTATCTTTGTATCTATCATTTATCTATCTATCTATCTATCTATCTATCTATCTATCATCTATCTATCTATCTATCTATCTATCTATCTATCTATATCTATCTATATCTATCTACGGTGGCATCAGCAGCTGATATCCTTGAGCAGCTGCTAGGGCTCCACTGCTGGGGCAGGGCCCAGTACAGATGATGGTGGATTTGGAAGTCACCCACCATTTCAGATACTCATAAAACCCCCAATGTGGCATCATTCTAGAGCACTGTGGGAAATCTACATGGCAGATGACTTATTGTGCTGCCTCTGCCACCAGTCCTGCTACAGTTGCCTGCCACTGCTGCCACTATAATCTCTAGCAGGTAAGCCCACCAGGAGAGATCAACATCAGAGGAGGCACACCAGAGGGCTTTATTTTTTCCCAGTGCCCACTCGAACATGGAGCTCATTCTAGATATACGTGTTCATTTGTTTGTTTTTAATTTAACAAAACTCATGCACTGCTTTGATTGTAAATTCACTAGTTGCACACCCTCCAACATGCCACAGAGGAAAATCAGGAGAGCAGCTCCTGCACGAGTCATGTGACTTGTGTGAGAGTGTGGCCCCCCAAATGCACATCTTTCAGGGCTGCACTCTTGCGTGAGCCAAAACAGGACATCATGGGATCTGATCAGAAGCTTCTGTAATTCCAGGATGTACCGCTTAAAGCAGGACAGTTGATGGGTAGGTTGCCTGTATATTTACATATTTCCACACTCACATACCCCTTCATTTACCTCCATTTGGAATAGGTGTGCAGAACTTTTTTCAGAGCAAAGGCCACATTCCTTTCTGTGCAGCCCCCCAGGGGACCGATACCAGAGGCCCATGTGGACAGGGAAAGGAAGGTAGATTTTACATTTGTACAGAAGGCTGGCTTTCACACACACACACACACACACACACACACACATGCAGCCTCTAGCCTTCACCCTGGCACTCAAGAGTCGTTATCAGAGTTCACGGACATTTCGGCCCGGATGCTATGAAGCCAGGCCAATGAGGAGAGAGAGAGTGTGGTTGTGTAGGAAGATTCCCCAGAGCCAGAAAGAGGCCTGGGCAGAGCTATATTCAGACCTCAGGCCTGAGGTATTTCACCCCTGATTTATAACGGGTGTCATCACTTTGCGTGCGTTTCAAGACTTGCCTTTTTTAGCAGTACAAATTCATTCTCAGCAGTGGTGCGCTTGTTGATTTCTTCCTCGTACCTTTTGAGAGTGAACGAAAACAAAAGCAAAGATTGTGATGGATCTGCGGCCATAATCTGTTCAATATCTGTTTAAAGTAAAAAAGGAGGGCACAAAACCAGGGGAAACGCCACTGGCAAGGTGAAATAGAGAGTAAGGGGCTCTACTAATTTCTATTCTACAATGGCACTTCCCATCAAATGTGTAAACCATGATAGGAGACCTTTCTCAAAACAGGAGCAAAGAGTACCATGCACTGGCAAGTGAATGTGGTGCCGATGAGGATTGCTAGTTTATTTGTGACTGGTTAGCTTAGAGACTCAGAGAATGAGGGGGATGGTCAAGGAGAAGCTGGGTACTTTTGCAAGACTGTTTGCCTTTCTAATTAAAAGCTAAAGGTTGCATTTCAGTGGGCTGAAGATCTTTGGTTCAAGCCTAATGTGCTTTACCAGATGAATTTGTTCTTTAACATCTATGGCTTGTCAGTTGTTCCTAATTAAATTTAGTGTTATGCTACACACGGCTGCTTTGGTGCAGGGGAAGTGCCTGTGAAGATACGGATAACACAGCTGCCTGCATTTGAGAGCTGCTGTTCAGATCGTAGCTATGAAGGTTGTCATGATGAGCTCCTGAACTTCAAAATGTACGTCTCCATCACTGGGGAATTGCACTCCGGGTGGGAAGAACTGAGCGTTGGCCTTGCCTTTCCTCACCTACCTGCGCTTAAAGTCTTCCACCAGATCCTGCATGTTCTTCAGTTCTGAACCCAGCCTCCCTCTTTCACCCTTTAGAGAGTCTAGATGTTTCCTCAGGCTGTTGGTGTAGGCCTCAAAGAGGGAATCTATGTTGCTCTTCGCGTGGGAGATGGGTTGCTGCTGCAGGAGGTTCCATTTGGTCTCTAGGACTTTGTTCTGCTGCTCGAGGAATCGAACCTGAGGATCAAACAGATTGAGAGGGAGGCTGAGTGTCTTTGCAAGTACCCAACAGAGCACTGGTGAGCAGCTTCAACATGCATATAGGAATGGCCAAGGGTAGTCGCACTGCAGCTCTAAGCCCTTCCAGGCATAGCATGGAGAGCAATTGTACTAAAATGTCACATGACATAAAAGAAAAGAAACTGAACTGTTGAATATTTTAGTGCAAATTTTGAAGTCCAAAATGCTCAAATTCAGGTTTCGACTCTAAAGGACAGGGCACTCTCTATCAGGGGTAGCCAATGTGATGCCCTTCAGAAGTTGTTGGACCACAACTCCCATAAGTTCCATCCAGCACAGTCAATGGTCGGGGATGGTGGGAGTTGTGGTACAGCAACATCTGACTGGAGGTCACAATATTGGCTATTCCTGATATTACAGTGGTACCTCGGGTTACACATGCTTCAGGTTATAGACTCCACTAACCCAGAAATATTGGCTGGGGTTAAGAACTTTGCTTCATGATGAGAACAGAAATTGTGCAGCGACGGCACGGCAGCAGCGGGAGGCCCCATTAGCTAAAGTGGTGCTTCAGGTTAAGAACAGTTTCAGGTTAAGAACGGACCTCTGGAACAAATTAAGTACGTAACCAGAGGTACCACTGTAATTGCAAAGGTAACCCTTATGTAGTCAAAACAATTCCATCCATGCTGTAGATGGTAGTATCTGCACTCATGGGGGAACCCCAATTTTGCAAAAGCACACACACACAAAATCAGAACACCACGTGGAAAGGGGAACATCCAAAGCAGCACATTGAGGACAGTATGCTGAGTGACCACAAAATGCTGGCTATTGAAGGAGGGCATGGAAAACTTCCTGAGAGGAGGGAGAGGAAATGGAATGGAGTCCTGGAAAAGGGCATGGCTGGCTGGCTCGCTGGCTGGAACCCTTAACAGAACACTCCACACTGTGACATTGGATGCATAACTGCCTGAATAAAAGGTAAGTCTGCATGATAATGCTTAACATTCTATTATTATTTTCCTTGCCAAATCCTGTACATACAAGATGTTTTCTAAACACCCTGGTCCTGATTCAGCTGTAGTTGCAGAAACAATTATTGGCCTTGGATGAAAGTGGTCTCACTCTCTGTTCAATATGATTTGGATAAACACTGCAGTATGCATGAGCAACAAGATGTTAATATCCATTGACTGGCTGCACACACAAATGTCTACTTCTGCAATGGATATCACTTGCTGGATGGAGATGCATGCCATCATAAGCAATCATAAAGCTTTCAAATTGGGGGAAGAGAATCAAATTAGGAAAATTTCCTTGAGTTTTCTTTTCAATTTTATTTCTTCTCTAGCACATAGGAAGCAGCATCACAGGAAGTCTTGTGGTGTATTGTGTGTCTCATCCAGTCTACATTGAAGAAATCACCTGATTGCTTTACTATGTAGCTTGCAACCCATGTTCCCCTACACTAAAATAGCCAGGTAAATTTCCTTTGGCTTAGATGGAAAACTATGAATTTTAATTTACAAATATTAGAGCATGGAATTTGATTCAGACATCCTTCCTGAACAACAAGAAGCTGCTCTACCTTTTGTTTATTTAACCTCCTTGGGCTTTGCATCTCGTTCCCCCCCCTCCCAGGCAGAACAATGCTGAGAGTTTGTTGGGCTCCCACAAGACTTGTCAAGATATGTGTTATGGAGTGGTTTTACATTATGGAGTTGCCTTTCAATATTCTATATCTATCTCTCTATCTCTCTGTCTCTCTATCTGTCACAGCAGGTCTTAAAAATTGCCAAAAAAGTAAGTTAAACCCAAATGCATCATGCCATGATATTACCACATGCTGTTTTCGCTCAAATGGAAACAGGGGTTGTACCCAGAATACATTGTTAGAAGATCTTCTTACAAATGTAAAGAAGAAGAAGAAAAGTTTGGATTTGATATCCCGCTTTATCACTACCCAGAGGAGTCTCAAAGCAGCTAACATTCCACTTTCCCTTCCTCCCCCACAACAAACAATCTGTGAGGTGAGTGGGGCTGAGAGACTTCAGAGAAGTGTGACTAGCCCAAGGTCACCCAGCAGCTGCATGTGGAGGAGCGGGGAAGCGAACCCGGTTCACCAGAGTACGAATCCACCGCTCTTAACCACTACACCACACTGGCTAACTGAAAAGAGCCCATTTCCTTAACATCATCAAGCTTCATTAGAAGATTTCCAAATAAATTTGAAAAAGGACAGTCTTATTAAATCATCCATCTGTCCTCATTCTATGAATTAAGGTTCAGTGTTTCTACTAAAATGTCTATTTTTCATTTATTTTAATTTGCCATAATAAAAAGACAGGCAGAATCCAAGAAAGCTGACCCATTCCCAGATTTAGATAACAATTGGCCAAAGTAGATGCCTATATAACCATCAGTGTGTCCATGGGTGGTGACAAGTGAGATAAGAATCGTAAAGTGTTTGTACGAAGGGGGGAAGAGGCAGATAAATTATATATATTTCAAAAATGTATGAACTAACATAATCACAGGCATATCAATTTGGAGTACTGCTAAATATTTCCTGTTTGACAAAGGAATTTAGTAACAGTTTAGTAATATGTAACAACAGTACGAAACGGTTAGTTAACACAGGAGCTCAAAAATCCTACCTTGTCTATAAAGGAAGCAAATTTGTCATTGAGGTTCTTGATCTGCTCTCTTTCTTCTCTGCGTACTTTCTGGATCTCAGGATCAATTTCCAGGTTAAGTGGCGCCAGGAGGCTCTGGTTAATGATGACTTCTGGGATGCTCCCCGGAGGATGGGAAAGAAACCCAGGGCCATTCCTTCCATTGCCAAAGTTGCCATTGGCCCATCCACCACCAGGAAATCCACCAAAACTAACCCCAGCATTGCTACCAAATCCACCTCCACGATGTGCACCTCCAGGAACGACACTCTGGGAGATGCGCTTAGTACCCCCCAGATTGTAAAGGCTTCTACTGTAAATGCCACCAATTCCACTTGCTGCTCCGGCGCTTCTTCGGCTAGGAGAGGAGGCATTGACCCTGCCCCCTCCGAAAACAATTGCAGAACCAGCACTAAACCCCCTCCCTCCATTCAGAGCTCTGGCATTCAGCTGTCGACTCATTGCGGCATAAAGGTGGCGGCGTAGAGAGAGATGAACAGTCCAAAATCCTCTCCAAGTCTTCCTTTATATGGCTTTCAGGAGCTGGGCTTGGTTGGAGAAGTGAAATGAAAGAAATTCGAACTATTCACAGGCTTGGTTAGTCTGGCACCAGCCCATCCTTTCTTGAAGCCCACTAAATAACATGTCCACACCTAGTGGGTCTGGGTGAAATGCAAAAAATGACTTTCATTGAGATTATCAGACGTTCACCTTGCAAACATTTTAACTCCAGAAGCCTACCCCTATATAATTAACACAGTATCTGCCTCTAGTTGAAATCCATATTTCATCATCCTTGTCAGTCATGACCAACATAGGTATTAAATTGTCAGCTATAAACATTCAGAAAGCTTTTATTTCCCCCCCCCCTTTAGTTTCTTGCTACTATTTACTGCAGTCAAGTAAATCTATCCCTCCTTCATTGGTAATTTATGGGAGTGGTTGACAATTTCTGAAGTACATTGCCCGTCCCCCTTCCATTCAGAAGTTATTATTATTTATCTTTTTAAAAAAGAATATTATGGATTTTTTCACAATTTTATACATTTTAACTTAACCATTTCAAACATTAAAATAAGACCACATTACAAGGTATTTTGAACCTTCGGACCTACTTCCCTCCCTCCATGGGTTCCATATTTAAGATTAAATTTCTTGCATCTTTTACCATTGTCCATCTGTTATATATCCATAGTTACCATAGCTAATTCCACATTACAAGTGTCATTACGTCCCTGCCATCGTTGCATGCATTATTATTTAATTATCCACTTTGAGGGACAATTCTGAAAGGCAATCTGTAAATACAGAAAGGGAGGCATGTGGATTTCTAAGTTAAATATTGAAATTGACTTCCTGCCACAGACAGGCCTCCAGCTACAAATGCTATGGTTTTTTTTTGGGGGGGGGAGGGAATGACCTGATTACCAAGGAAAAAACAAACCCCTTTAAAATGCTAAGGATCCCTGGGCAATGAATGCATGTGTGAGAAGAGGGACACTTACCCCATTCCTATTTATTAGAGTGTCTGTGTAGAACCCAGACAACTGTACAGCCCCCGGTCCTTCCTCTGCTGGCACTGGGTCTGTGGTCCCGATTCCTGGGCCCATAACCATGTTAGGATCGTCCTACTCTTGTGTAGCACTGTGGTCTAAACCACTGAGCCTTGGGCTTGCCGATCAAAAGGTCAGCAGTTTGAATCCCTGCAACGGGGTGAGCTCTCATTGCTCGGTCCCAGCTCCTGCCAACCTAGCAGTTCGAAAGCATGTCAGAGTGTAAGTAGATAAATAGGTACCACTCCAGCGGGAAGGTAAACGGTGTTTCCATGCACTGCTCTGGTTTCGCCAGAAGTGGCTTAGTCATGATGGCCACATGAACCGGAAAAACTGTCTGCAGACAAACACCGGCTCCCTCGGCTTGTAAAGCGAGATGAGCGCCACAACCCCAGAGTCGTTCGTGACTGGACTTAACTGCCAGGGGTCCCTTTACCTTTACTCTCGTGTAGGACCCTGGCAGAGGCACATGCCCAACTGGCAAGTTCTCTCCCTCCTGGTCTGTCGTTCGGAAGCTTCAAAAGCTTTCTTCAGCCCGAACATCACAGCAACTGATACCACCGGAGCACGATTTCTGTTCTCATCCTGAAGCAAAGTTCTTAACCCGAGGTACTATTTCTGGGTTAGCAGAGTCTGTAACCTGAAGCGTATGTAACCTGAAGCGTATGTAACCCGAGGTACCACTGTATTTACATATAATACACTCGGAGCATTCTGCCTTAGCCCCTTCTTCTTTCTCATCAGAGAGCAAAGAGAGAAAGAAACAAAGGACAATAGTCCTACATCGCGGAACACAGTAACACAAAACATCCTGTCTCCGTCACTTCCCACACTGTGGAATGAAAACATACAGCGTCATGTGATAGACAACAATCCCATGACTGCAAACACGGAGCAAGAATCCTAACATGGAGCACCACTTACCAACATTCAGCTGAGTGCCGCAAGAACATAAGAAGAGTTCTGCTGGATCAGGCCAGTGGCCCATCTAGTTCAACATCCTATTCTCACATAGGCCACCCAGATGCCTGTGGGGAAACCCTCAAGCAGGGCCTGAGCACAAGAGCATTCTCCCCTTCCGCGGTTCCCAGCCACTAGTATTCTGGTGTCTCTAGGGCAGGGTTTCCCAAACTTGGGTCTCCAGCTGTTTCTGGACTACAACTCCCATCATCCCTTGCTAGCAAGACCAGTGGTCAGGGATGATGGGAATTGTAGTCCAAAAGCAGCTGGAGACCCAAGTTTGGGAAACACTGCTCTAGGGCAGGGTCACTTGCATTCATTAACCATGTTAAATATCTGCGTAAGATGTACTGAGGTGGATTTTTTAAAAAAGTTTAAGGAAAATGAGGTCCTACTGGGATCTTTGGAATGCTGTAAGAATATGATTAGGAAATAATAATTTAAAAAATAGCTATACAGTGGTATCTTGGATTACATACGCTTCAGGTTACACACTTCGCTAACTCAGAAATAGTGCTTCAGGTTAAGAACTTTGCTTCAGGATGAGAATAGAAATCGTGCTCCAGTGGTGCGGCAGCAGCTATCCAAGGTCCTGCAACTCTAGTCTGACCCCATTCTGGACTTTGGATAGCTCATCTGACCCTAGAACAGGCATGTCCAAAGTCTGTTTTGGGGGCCTAATCTGGGCCTGCCGGTCGATTTAATCTGGCCCCTGTGGCAGTATAAATCAGTATTAAAAAATCAGTATATATAAAAAAAAAGCTCAGCAACTTTGGTCGGCCCTCACGCATGTTCACTTCATCAAATTTGGCCCTCTTTGAAAAAGGTTTGTGCACCTCTGCTCTAGAAAAATTGAAAGGCCATGTAAGAGTTTAGAGCTTGACTAAGGGACATAGGAAGCTGCTTTCTGTTGAGTCAGACTAATCGTCCATGTAGTTCAGTAGGCTGCACAGCATCCTTACAGCATAGTGCAAAGAGTAGGGTGTGTGCCTGTGGTGCCTAGGCAACTGGGAAGTGCTTGCTTTCGTTTGGCAAGTGTTGTGCAGGTACTTAGGCAACATTGGGGAGGGGGGTGTATTGCCAAACTCTTCGCACTCTGTGCTGTGGTTGCAGCATCATTCCGAAAGCTAGGAAAGCATCTCCACCCTTGGGAAAAAGAGATGATCATGGCTGCAAACTGTCAGAGAATCAAAGCTAAAGTATCTGGGCAAGAGATCAGAACCAGAGAGGGCACACAAATTTCATAGAATCATAGACTTGCGGAGTTGGAAGGGAGCACAAGGGTCATTTCTGCTTGGCTTTCATGACCTTTGCTGTTAGCTTTCACCGCCCCGCCCCCTCTGCTCATCAGTCTCCAACCTCTGATGCACCAGACACAGCCAGGATCTGTTCCCTTCTTCTACCAGGTTCTCTTTCCTGTCAGGTTAGGCTAGGCTTCTGCCCCATTCCACTAGGCTCCACTCCATAACCTATCAGGCAGCATCCCTTACTTCAGAAAAGGGGGACCTGTGGCCTTTCAGATGGTATTAGACTCCAAATCCCATCAGCCTTAGCCAGCATGGCTAATGGCTAGAGATGATATGAGCTGTATTCCAGCAACATATCTGCAGGTTCTCCATCCCTGTCTTGTTATAGCCTCTGCCCTCTGGGTCTTAGGATCTCAGTGGACCAAGCAAACCTAAGTCAGGTGGAGAAGCATCTGGGCAGATTGGCATGAAATGAATCGGCTATATTCAAGTGTTCTGTTAACTAAGGCTTGGGTTACAGGGAGACTGAGGGCTTCTAGTGGTTGTCTGGATATTATTGCCCAAATCTTCAGAGATACGGACCCTGGGGGTCAGGGCAGAGCCTGAGAGGCTAGCAGGTCGTGGCAAAATGTCTCTGGTAGGTTGAGGTGGAGCCTGGAAGTGTGCAGTTGGCCTAGGGACTGGATCATGCTAGGGTCAGGGATGAGTCCTATCACAAAAACCCATAGTTTAGGTATCCTATGCCCATAGTTTAGGTCAGTGGTGTCCAAACGTTTTTCAAAGAGGGCCAGATTTGATGAAGTGAAGGGCCATGGGGGCCAACCAAAGTTGTTGACCTTTTTTTAGGGTTCGAGCTGTTGAGCTTCTTTTAGGATTGAGGTTGTTGATTAGGCCCCCAAAAAGGACTTTGGACATGCCTGGTTTAGGTATTCTACACCAAGGAACCAGTTTAAATTCTAGAACAGAGGAGAAGCCTGGGAATGAACCATATAGAAAAGCATGACCCCCTCAATCTGAGCTTTAACTAAGATTTAAATGTGCAGTGTGGATGAGACATCATTTACTTGGAGTCCAAGGAGGAGGCAAAAATGCTGAGTCTTTGGGACATTAAGATTGAATATTATGTGTTATGTTGCTTCCTTCTCTCTCTGTCATCCTGGGACTCTATGAACCAGGACTGTTTGTAAGCAAGATGGGAAAGTGACAGAGGTCAGCATCACCAGTCTGAGCAGTAAAGATCTGGGCACACTGAACCATATGAACCAGTAGAAATTTAGAGAACCACGCAGGCTTAACTGCAACTTGAGGGTGTAGGTGTATATATAGGAGAAGAAGTGTGGTAAGAGACAGGATAAACAGGCTGGATTCATTAGGGTGGGGTCTAGAATTTATCTATTGCAGAAAACAGTATTGCAGAGGTGTAACCTGTTAGGGTGTGGACAATTATGCATCATCACAAAGAGAGGGCAAAAGAGGACAGAGATTTGCATCAAAATGGCAGGTGCTGATTTAGACGAATAGATGCACATTTATTAATAATTTCTAAGATTCTAATCCAAATACATAAAAAGAGCCATGCTGGATCAGACCAATGGCCCATCTAGTCCAAATGATGGTTCTCAAGGTTGCCAACCAGATGCCCACAAGGGAAACCTGTTAGCAGGACCTGAACAGAAAAGCATTTTTCACTCTTGGGGCTTCTAGCACCTGGTATTCAGAACCATTACCGCCTCCAATTGCGGAGGCCGAGCAAAAGTGTCAGTGGATTAATCTAATCTTTTGAAAGAATTAGATAAATTAAGGGAGGATAAAGCTAATTCTTTTAAAAGATTAGATTAATCCAAGTTGGCAGCCATCACTGCCTCCTGTAGGAATAAGTACATCTCACCATAGTGGGGAAAACTGTGGCCAAGTGACCTGTGTGCCTGCTTGGAATAAATGTTGGCAGACAACTTCAAGGCCACGCCTTTCCTTTCTTTACACCAGTCCTGGGCCAGAAAAGACCTGCAAATAGAGGGCACCTTCCAAGCAGGTTTTTCTGGTTTGCTTTTAAATGCTGGTAAAAGTGCTTGTTATTGCTTTTAGAAATTGTTTGTTACATTTGTACTGGGACCTTATGGTGAAGCATGAGTAAAGGTAAAGGGACCCCTGACTGTTAGGTCCAGTTGCAGATGACTCTGGGGTTGCGGCACTCATCTTGCTTTACTGGCCAAGGGAGCCAGCATACAGCTTCCGGGTCATGTAATCGGCATGACTAAGCCGCTTCTGGCAAACCAAAGCAGCACATGGAAACGCTGTTTACCTTCCTGCCGGAGCGGTACCTATTTATCTACCGTACTTGCACTTTGACGTGCTCTCGAACTGCTAGGTTGGCAGGAGCAGGGACCGAGAAACGGGAGCTCACCCCTTCGCTGGGATTCAAACCACCGACCTTCTGATCGGCAAGCCCTAGCCTCTGTGGTTTAGACCACAGCACCACCAGCATCCCGAGGAAGCATGAGTAAGAAATCTAAATATAATAAAAATTAATAATAATAATAATAATAATAATGTTTTGTATTGCTTATATGATGGCTTTATCATTATGCTATAAGCATAATTGCTTACTTTTAGTGGTTACCTTTAAAAGAAGAAAAGGATTGTTGTAATGGTTGTAGTACAAAAAGAAAAATCTGCAACAATTGCATTCCCCCTTTTCTCAGTGTGTGTGTGTTACTTACACACACACACACACACACACACACACACTTTTAGCCAGTTTCAGTTTAAACCAGGAGGATGTATTGCAACTGCCTTTCTTATCTAGCAGACAGGCAGACTTATTCCTCATTCACACTTTCCATGATGACATCAGCAAGCCTCCACCCATTACAGTACAATGTACAGATCCGTTGTGGCTGTTGCCATGGCAGTGAACTCATCAAATGATTAGCAGGTGAAATACCTGGGATGTCTTTGGCAAGGTGTCCATGATACTCTGGGGGTGATGATGATAAATTTGCCATCCTGTTAACAAACATTTGGACTGACCTGTTCACACTGTTTGTAAGAGACCAATATGTTCTCATCCACTTCATGTCTCCTAATGGATAATATAACATTATAATGGAAATGCACACTTTAGATGCCATGACTGGCTTCTGTTTTGATGCTGTTTCCAGACATAGGCTTTCCCTGTGTGCTCACATTAGATGTTTGCCATCTAACCTATGTGAATAGACTCCCAGAAGCTGGGAAGAGGTTCCAGTGATTAGAGGGTCAGCCTTCATAGGCCCCCATAGTTCTTGGCTCCTTTCCCATGGCTCTGAGTCTCCACCTACATGTTGTTGCCTACCCCCCGCCACTCTATTCTTTACCAAAAAAAAAAATCTCAGAAGAAATTCTGAGTCTTCAGAAAGCAAATTTAGAATAAATTATACTTTGCAACATTTATGCAAAATGTAGCAGCCTGCATAATTTATTCCAAAGGAGGAATTTGGCACACATGGTATTCTTCATAGTTCAAGGAACGACTCTAGGTTTTCTTCCAGGATTCTCTTTCTACTAGATTCTGCTGGCTCATGGTGACACCCTCCTGCTGTCAATTTTGAAAGGCGAGGGCATGTAGAAGGGTGTTCATAGGGGCTTCAGATCTCCCTTTTTTCACAAAGCAAAGCCAAAGACTCTATTCCAGGCATCCCCAACCTGCAGCCCTCCAGATGTTTTGGCCTACAACTCCCATGATCCCTAGCTAACAGGACCAGTGGTCAGGGATGATGGGAATTGTAGTCCAAAACATCTGGAGGGCCAAAGGTTGGGGATGCCTGCTCTATTCCAAAACCAGCCTCTTCCTGTCAGGAAACATTTAAGGACCAGTGAGCAGCAAGCAGTTCTTTAAGTGGCTACTATTGTTTCATTTTGAAAAGGAATGCTTAATTTATTTAGATTGCTCTCCCCCAGGACATATTCACAACCAGCATTAGGAACACCTCTTAGTCTCACCTGTGACACTTGTGAACTAATGTAATGAAGCATGTTGTGAACCAGAGACTTGTTTAAACTGCAATGACAGGCTGGAACATGGATTCCTATCCTTGGGTCAACGCTTGATAGTATTGTTTCTGCCACTCTGAGCTTTTAGTTGGATTGTGTTCTTAAATCATGAATTATATTGCTTAATTTTAAGAAACAAAAGTATTAATTGGCCAGACTAAATCCCTGTGTAACCCAAACATCACCCGCATTTCTGAATGCTGGAGAAAGGAACTGACTTGAAGCTGCAATCCTATACACACTTGTTCAGGTTTGTCCCATGAAACTTAATGGGCCTTAATTCCTAAGTACAGTGGTGCCTCGCAAGACGAAAAGAATCCGTTCTGGGAGTCTCTTCGTCTAGCGGTTTTTTCGTCTTGCGAAGCAAGCCCATTGATGGGATTAGCGGATTAGCGCTATTAGCGCTATTAGCGGCTTTTAGCGGCTTTTAGCAGCTTATCAGCTTATCGGATAAGCAGATAAGCGGCTTAGCGACTTAGAAAAAGAGGGGGAAAAGGAAAAAAAAAAACCAGGAACTCGCAAGACATTTTCGTCTTGCGAAGCAAGCCCATAGCAGATTCGTTTTGCGAGGCACCTCCAAAACGGAAAACTCTTTCGTCTAGCGAGTTTTCCGTCTTGCGAGGCATTCGTCTTGCGGGGCACCACTGTAAACATGCACAGGATTTCATTGCAAGAGTTTTTTGAAAGCTAATTCAGCTTCAGAGATGCCATATGACAGCAATCTCCAGCTTTTTCTGGCCAGGAACCCACCTTTTAACCTGCATTTGGAGACCCCTTTCTTAACTTCTTGCCATACATTTCTATATTGTGGCAGTGCTGTTTTCGCAACCCACTTTAGATCAGGCCATGACCACCAAGCTGTGGCCTCAATCTACAAGCTGAAAACTGGCAGTGTACAAGATCCCTCCAAAGTTGTTTTAGCCTTAAATTAAATTAAATGTACCAATAAGTAAATAATAAGAATCAAGACCACATATAACTTGACTGCAGTTTATTGAAAATGGCCACCTCCCAACAACATGGGAAGCAAACCATGGGAAATAAAGACAGGTGCAATGTAATTCACAAAACTGACACAAGAATGTACTTTTGATAATGAGATAGCTTTTCCAATGACACAATTATAGTAAATGATTGTTTACTCAGTGTTGTACAGGACCTTGTTGCTCTGTAGCCACGATCAGGCTGCCTGATCATTGATTAAATCATGACTTTGATTCAAGGGAGAAAATGCTCTATTTTCTTTTCTCTTTCTAGGCAGATAAGAGCAATCGTGACTTAGCATTATCAATGTTGGCTGGTCCAACATCAGCACATAGTCAAATACAGTGGGGACAAATTATGTCTTTTGGGAAGCAAGGAACTACAACAACACCTGGAGAGAACAACCAACTGGAAGAAGCCTCAAGAAAGAGAAGGAAAGGCCACTTCAATACAGAATGCCATGAACTGGCAGCCACCATAAAAAGCCAAAAAATGTACAGCATACTCTGAAAGAAACACACTCCTCCCCTTCCCCCTTCCAGCTACTCTCTGCTAACTGATATCCTAAAATGCAACACCATCAGCATATTTCATTAGCATTCTCTACCAGCTATCTTCCACCATTGTACAACTAAGCAACAGGTGACAGAAGCAAGATGGAAGATGGTAAGCTTAATGGTGCTTTCTTGGGGAGCAAAATAGATACAACATTGTGTTTTAAAGGACACAGTTTGTTCTTTTCTGTATTACCAGGGTGGGGTTGAAGGTGTTGCGCTGATGCCACAAGAAGCTAGAAGATGTTTCTTTCCTTTTAGGGACCAGCTGGGACATTTAATGCCTTCCGCCTTTGATGGATGAGCTGCTTGTGGTGGTTCTCCTAATGATCGTGCTAGAGCCAGAACCGGAACCTTGAGAGTATCCGCCACCGCCTATGCAGGAGCCTCCAGAGCCGCCTCCTCCTCCTATGATTCCACCTCCGTAACCCCCGCTTCCACCGCCATAACCTCCGCTTCCACCGCCATAGCCACAACTTCCACCGCCCATTCCTCCCCCTACGATGCTGCCGCCGCTAATGCCGCCGCCCATGCTACCAACGCTAATGCCACCGCCGCTCATGCCGCCACCGCCAATTCCGCCCATGCCGCCGCCAATTCCGCCCATGCCGCCGCCCATGCCGCCGCCAATTCCGCCCATGCCGCCGCCGCCAATTCCTCCCATGCCGCCGCCATATTGGGAACTCCTCACAGCTGCAAAGGAAACACAGGTTCAGTACATACACTTTCATGTTGAAAATAATTCATGTTTGAAACAGTGAAGGTGAACATGGAAGCTACTTACAGACATGGACTTGGGATCCTTGGCCACACAGCCTGTTTAGGAATAAGAAAAATTGGTCACAAAATGAAACAAAACCTTCTTTTCGCTACAAGTATGATCACTTAATCCAGGCTTCCTCAACCTCAGCCCTCTGGATGTTTTGAGATTACAATTCCCATCATCCCTGACCTCTGGTCCTGCTAGCGAAGGATCATGGGAGTTGTAGGCCAAAAACATCTGGAGGGCCAAGTTTGAGGAAGCCTGACTTAATAGGCAGAGTGGTTTCTGCAGATAGTAGTAGTCCTGTCTAGCATCTGTGAGTCATAGAATTACTGGGCCCAACTTACAAGTGACCCAAAAAGCCATGTAGTCCTATGCCCATTTTACAAGGCTAGACCTTCCATCCTCTAACTCCTGCCCCCCAAATTCCCTCCTGCAAATCAATCCATATAATCCGGACCAATGAGAAACAAGCAGAGAAGGCAGAGTGCTACACAACGTCATCAAAATAAGTAAAGAAAAGCACACAATACACCAAGGAGGCATAACAAAATAACAAAACAAAACAAACAATAAAACCACCAAGGACATTCCTTCTGGAGCCATAACAAATTTGCTCCCCATAATTTGGATGTCCAATATGCCACTAAGCATTCTATGAATGTTCAAATATTTGCAGAATCCTCCCTGAACCCAGCAATATTTGAAATCAAGGCAGATGCTGCTTGCAGACCCTTGGTCCAGTTAATCTACAAAGAAAAAAAAATTCCCTCTGTGGAAGGTTGCAGTGGTCACCCACCTGCTCTCTTCTCCTTCCAGCAATTTCCTGTACATGGCAATCTCAATGTCCAGAGCAAGCTTGACGTTCAGCAGCTCTTGGTACTCTTTCAATAGGCGAGCCAACTCTTCCTTGTCCTTTGTCAGGGCACATTCCAATTCTTCCAGTTTCTGCCTAGCATCCCGGAGAGCCAACTCGCCGCGCTCCTCAGCTTCAGCAATGGCTGACTGCAGCTGAGCACACTGCAAGACAAGAAGAAGAGAAAGATAAAAACTTTTCTATTTCCACTACGACTGAGACCTTGGGATGGACTTTTTGGAATCCCAGACTTCCTTGTTGCTTTGTTTACCTACTCAGCTATTTAACAAGCCTCCCAGGCAGGGATTGCATCAGAAGCCCATGTTTTTCTGACAGTTGTTGAGTCCAATCTCTGAATATCTGTCTCATTATCCCTGTCTATCACCTGAAACCCTGAATTTAGGAACAAAGGCTGGGAACAGACTGATCGATCCCTGATCTGAGCACCCATCAGGGATAATTGTTTCCAGGTCAAAGAATGGGATTTATAGGCCAGCCTGGACCCATAGTGCTAAGGGATATGGCCATGTTCATGATCTTAGAAAAAGAAAGATGCTGAGGCTCAAAACTGCATAGGAGCCTTCGTGGTTGCCCTGAAAGATGTATTCAAGATACCATGAGCATCCTTTCCCAACCTGTTGCCCACCAGATGTTGCTGGACTGGCCATTGGCCATGCTGAATGAAACTGATGAGAGTTGGAGTCTAATGACATCTGAAGGAGAGACTTCTTGTGAGTGCTCAGCAGTGGTGGGGACCAACACTTTGCCTGAACTGAGCCATCTCTTTCAAGTCTGAATCCTGATGTTCCAAAGAGGTTCAGAGGCTGAGTCCAGGTAAGCCTGGGATCAAGTTCAGCTCTCCCAACACATGTCTTTTCTACTTATTGGTATGTTAGATGTCATTATTTAATGGAGAAAATTAAGCAATATTTGGGGTTTTTTGGTAAGTCTACCTCCAGGTGGTTTTTCCAGTCTTCCTGTACTAAGGTATCTCAGCTGATACTTGGCACCTTAGCACATTTCCACAGAAGAGTGGCAGCTTCTAGCAACAGTTGATGTGTGAGAGACTGAGAACTCTCTGTAGAATATGGAGCAACACTTCTGACATTATACTGCACATTAAGGCAGCAGCTTGGAGAGGGCCAAGATGAATGTGCTGATCCCTCATTGCCAACATCCATGCATCTTGAATTAGAGTATCATGAGTCCATTGCTGAGCAACAGTTGTAAGCCAAGGTCCTCCCCAGAAAGGAACTCTTCCTCTCCAAGGCATGTGTATGGGTGCAGTGGAGCAGAGTTTCTGCCAGATTCCTTTTAGGCAAGAGACAAGACTCAGAACAGAACGACTACTGCTGCCTGCACAATCCACTAAGTGATGAGTCAGCATCCCTTCTCGCTCAGATGTTAAAAGCTGAGAAACATAGGAAACTCCCTTATACAAACTCAGATCATTTGATCATCTAGGTCAGTATTGTTTAAGCAAGCCTTCCCTAACATGGTTTAGACTACAGTTCTCATTATCCACAACCATTAGCTATGCTGGCTGGGGTTTATGGGAATTGTAGTCCAGAATATCTCAAGGGTGCCAGGCTGGTCCAAATTGACTGACTGCAGCTCCCCAGTATTTACAGATAAGACTTGGTTTAAAGCCAAAACGTTTCCACCCTAAAAGCCTCCCATGTTCAAATTGCAACATGATGTCCCTTGAACCACCCAGGCTTCTCAGGGAAATGTAACTTCAATCACTGTCACGCCTGAATTTACATACAGGCAATGCAATTTGCGTTGTGTGCTTGCCTGATCTGATGCAACAGTTGAACAAAGCCACCGCCATCCTTAATAGATTGCAGAGTGTTGAGAGATTGGAGGGACAATTCCAAAAGAGAATAATGGGCATCAGGCATCTTCCAGAGATAAATGTATGAAGTTGCTGAGTCAGAGTACCATCAATTTGGTCTCTTCCAAGGTCTAAGACAACAATGTAATACTTAGACCTGGAATTATCAAGGATTGGACTAGGAGCTTCCACAAGCTATCACTGAGCTAAAGCCCATCTGATAGCTAAGATGAACTTTACACCCATGTGGTGTGATGTGGACCTCCTGAAAAAGAAGACACTTTTCAGCCTTTGCCCAAATGGAATGTCTAAGTGCCATACCTGCTTCTTGACACGGTCAATCTCCCCACGCAGTCTCTGAATGTTCCTAGTCAGCTCTTGAATCTCATGTCTGGTGTTAGTCAGGCTGTCCCCATGTCTTCCAGCTGTGTTTTGCAGAGCTTCATACTGTTGGGCAGAAACAGTGTTGTGTTTAAGAAACAAAGCAAAAGTTCCTCCAGCAATGTTCTAATCATGGATACCATCCAAAGGTCCCTCTGCCACAACACATTAGCTTCAAGCACAGGGGTCATGCAGGGGCAGATCTGGGTACTATGGTGCCCTGTGCGAGGCCAATATTTGGTGCCCCCTTCAGTCTTTGCAGTTCCTTTCCAAAGGCAGGTGAGAAGGTGCCCATCCAAAGGTCCCTCTACCACAGCACATTAGCCCCAAGCACAGGGAGGATCGTGCAGAGGCAGATTTGGGTACTATGGTGCCCTGTGCGAGGCCAGAATTTGGTGCCCCCTTCATTCCTTGCAGTGCCTTTCCAAAGGTAGGCAAGGAGGTGCCCTGCTTTGGGAAGGAAGTGTGAGGGCTCTGGCAGGATCCCAGGGTCCTCGTACCTCCTTCCCAAAATCATGAAGGTGCTAACTAGATGAACTCTATGACCCTGTCAGAGCCTCGTGACTCCTTCCTAAAGCCCAGTACCCCTTTGTCTCAGCACTCAGCGCAGGCACACTGCTCACACAGCCCTAAATCCATCCCTGGTTCATGATGGAAGCAGCAAACTACAGAGAACTTCTCACTATGCTACAAACCTATGTTGATATCATTACACCAGTTTGACTATCATGGCTTCACCAAAGGACTAGGAATTGTGGCTGCCATTTTAAATGTCATGGCTTCCCCCACCTCCAAATAATATTCTAGTTTGGCTAAGGAGCTAAGAATTCTCGGTTCGAGATTTGCAGTGACTTTCCTTCCTTCACAGGGGTCCCATGGAGAAAGTGATCTGCCCTCAGGTCCCTTGCAATAGAAAGAAAACCCAGGAAACCACAAAGCATGTCAGGTTTCGTCTTTGCTTGATTCCTTACCTGGCTATGGTACCAACTTTCAGCCTCAGCTCGGCTGCTCCGGGCAATCTCTTCATATTGATTTCGTACTTCATCAATGATGCCTTCCAAGTTGAAGTGGCTGCTGTTATCCATACTCACCACCACAGAGGTGTCATGACCACCCATCTGGACCTGAGACAGTTCCTGTTAAAGGACCAAAAAGCCATCAATCAGTAAGTCTGCCTCATTTCTGCCATTTCTCCCCTGATGCACCACTCATGAAAAAAAATAACTAATTAATATCAATTATGTTTGAACTAATTAATATAAATTATGTCTCCACAAGCATGATTTTGATGTGTCTGAGTTGTAATTGCTTTCGTGCTTTTTCATAGCTTTCACTTTTTAAAAAAAGAATGGAAGTTTCTAGATCTCAGAGAGGAAAAGAGGAAAACTTGCCATGCTGTTACACTGATTAAGCTTTTTGTTTCAGGTGCAGGGCATAGAGCAATCCAATCTAAGGTGAACACAGATATCTCCATCCCAGTTTAATTGTGGTGGCTGGGGGGAAGTTCAGCACAGTCAAGGGAAGTACAGAATCACCAGGATGGAGTGAGGCTTCAGGGGCTATCCATCTTAGTCCTTTAGTCCTCTGTGACTATCACATACTTTCCTCTGGTTCCTTGCAGCCCTCCCTCAAAACTATGTGGAGTGGTAAGTAACATTCCCATGTATGCCTTCATTTATTTTAAGGCGGGGGAATTCAGTTCCTTTGAATGTGGGTTCAATGGGTGATGGTAGAAGAGAGAGTATTCTTATCGAGCAGATGGAATGGATAGATTCCTTACCTGTTGGAAGATACGTCTAAGGAATTGGATCTGCTCAGCTAGAGCACCCACTTTGGCTTCCAAGTCAGTCTTGGTCATGTAGGCACAATCCACATCCTAGAAGATAGATTATGGGGAATACAAACTTTAAAGCTTCACAGAGTGTCATCACCGACTGAGGCACCACATACAAGAGTTTAGGCATGTCCACATAGATAACATTTTATTCTCCATTCCTGTTGGGATGTTTAGCTGTGATGACTCAACAGGGACTCTGCTTCCCATATGAAGACATAATTAAAGGCAGGATGTTCCTAGCATGCACAGATTTCTTTCCCTCTTCACCAAGAAACCCCAGGAATTCCCCACACATCTGGCTGTAGGGGGAAAGGGCTTCTGGGTCAGAGGGTGGGGCTGCCAAGCAGGCTTAATCCAACAGTTCCTCTCAATTTATTAATAAAACAATGGATTTTTAAACAAATTACCCTGGATGCATAGGAAGCAGCAGTTTAATCTACGCTGCCATGTTTTGCAGTGTGCCCCTGCAATTTCTATGATTGCCCTTTTGAACTGCTATAGATCCAGTATAATTTGCTACTATGAGCTCTCCAGTGAGAGCTAAAGATGAGTGATAGGTGTCTTGTGGGGTTCAGCTGTTCTCCAAAAGGCCATTAAACATGTTTGCAGGCCAGAGGTGGTGCAGTAGTTAAAGTGTCAGATCAGGACCTGGGAGAAAAGGTTTCCGATCCACACTCAACCATGAAGCTTGCTGGGTGACCTTGGACCAGTCACAGATTCTCAGTCTAACCTACCTCACAGGGATACTGTGAGGATAAAATGGGGAAGGGGGAAGCACATTTGCCAAATTGTGCTAATATGTCAGGGAGAAGGCCTATACAGTGGTACCTCTGGTTACAGACGCTTCGGGTTACGCATTTTCAGGTTACGGGCGCACCGAAACCCGCAAGTACCGGAACGGGTTACTTCTGGGTTTCAGCGCTTGCACATGTGCAGAAGCACTAAATCATGATTTGTGCATGTGCAGAAACGCCAGATTACATCACGCACGTGCGCAGATGCAGCACTGCGGGTTGAGAATGCTGCGGGTTGTGAATGTGCCTCCCATACGGATCACGTTCGCAACCCGAGGTTCCGCTGTACTTGCAGCCTTGACTTCCCCCTGACATATGGGAGAAAACAACATTTCTATGCAATGGCTTGAAAACATTCTGATGCCTGATTCAATTCTATCCCACCACGATGCCTTCTCTATTTACAGTATGCTGCCAAGCGCCACTTCTCACCTTTTTCAGCACCACAAATTCATTCTCAGCAGATGTGCGCCTGCTGATCTCTTCTTCATACCTGTTTAAAGCAGAAAAAAAGAGGTCACAATGAGCTCACTGAGATAGACAACTGCAAGTGTATAAGATGCCAAGGTATTAAAATAAACCACACAAGCTGAACATTGCAAATCCCCCAGAGAAACACACACACACACACACACACACACACACACAGCTACTCAGATTACTGTTTCCAACCTTCTGTTGTACTGCAGAAGGTTGTAGTGCAGAGTGCAACCTGCACTCCTTTGGAATGCCCTGGAGCTGAGGACAATTTCATTATTCTGAACCAAAGTCACTTAATGATTAATGGCGGATCTCCCCCTGAAGCACAAATAGTGGTGACGAAGCACCTTTCATTTTTGGTTGTTCCTTACTTGTTCTTGTAGTCTTCTACAAGGTGCTGCATGTTCTGAAGTTCTGATGCCAGCTGTGACTTCTGCATACGGATTCGTTCAATTTGGCTTCTCAGGCCGTTGATGAATTGCTGGAACTCACTATCCAGGTTCTGCTGTGGGCCTCGGCCCTGGGTTTGCTGCTGTAAGATCTGCCATTTGGTTTGCAGAACCTTGTTTTGTTGCTCTAGGAACCGGACCTGAAACCCAAGAAATGGAAGATGTATAAGACATTGAAGAGATTCGGCATCATAGCACATTGGAGATGGGTGCAAACAGCAAAGTCCATTCTTTCACAGGTTACTGGATCCACATGAAGGCAACCTGGCTAAGCCCCAAATTACACTCTGCTCCCCCTGTTTGTTGTTACTCTGAATTAATAATTGAAGAATTGGAAACACTCACAATTTTCAGTTTCTGGGGGCCAGTGGAACCTTACCATTTCCTTAGAACTATGCTTTGTGGTTCTCATAGCAGGGCCACAGATCAGTGCCTGCTCCCCAAGTGATGACACAACATAAGAAACTGGGATGAAAGGTCATTTTTATGGTGACCGTAAAATGTAGCTGTGCAATAATAAACCAGTGTTGGCACTGTAAACTACAGTTGCTTCTATCTGGGCAACACCACCCTGACTTGAGGTACCAACCCACCAGAGTGGATCAACTCTTACCACAGCCACAATGTCCTAAAGGCAGCCTGAGGAGTCCATACTTGCTCTCTGGTCTGCATTCACCAGTAAGAGGACCACCTAGACTGAGTTCTGCGTCCTCCCACATCATCTCAAACTTTCAAGAAGTAATAGTTCAGTATAGAGCATCTGCTTTGCATGCAAAAGATCCCTGTCATCTCCAGGTAAGACTAGGTGAGACTCCTGTCTGAATACCTAGAGAGTCTCAACCAGTCAATGTGGACAATACTGAATATGATGGATCAATGCTCTGACTCAATGCAAGGCAGTTTCCTATGTTCCTTCACCCCACATGCCTCAAGGTGCTCACCAAATATTCTACACTTATGTCCACCATACCCACCCTTAAACTGACCAGAAAGCAAATCAGCCACAAGAGAATCACACCAAAAAAGAGATATGACAGTGATGGAAAAGATGTGCACAAAGGTGGATCTTAAGCCCACCCCAGATAAATCCTATTCTGACTATACAAATAACAGGCCACCATAGCCCTGGCTATCAGCCCCAGGATGACTAGGTAGGTGGGTAGCTGCACCAAAGGGATAGAAGAGTTACAGGCAGTGTTGCCTTGTGTAGGGTCATGTGAAGGGTCATTCCTGAGTCATAGTGAAGATGTAGTATACTACCCTCTTCATTCAATCCAGAAGCAGTGGGGAAACTCACCCCTGATCAATGCTGGGGAAATGACATTGCGTGTAAGACAGTCAAAGGTTGCCATCTGTAATTAATGTCTATCAGGTAGGAGGACTGGGGAGACCCCTACTTGAGACCCTGGAGAGTCTCTGCCAATCAAAATAGACAACACTAGGCCAGATAGACCAGTGGTCTGAGTCAGCAGCAGCTTCATATGACATATATTAGGACTGAAGTTGATGGACTGCAACTCCCACCATCCCTCGCACTAGCCATGCTAGCTGGGGCTGATAGGAGATGAAGTCTAACATCTTCAGAAGGGCACCAGGTTCCCCTGACAAATAAGAAAAAAGCTACTTTTTAACAGCCATGCAACTCACAGCTGAGAAGTTTTGCTAGTCATACCAAAAGATTTTTTGCTTCCTTAGAATCCTTGCTTTGGGTTATATCCAGTGCTAGTCCTACTCAGAATAGATCCATTGAATTTAATGGACCTAAGTTAGTCATATCCATTGACTTAAATGGATCTACTCTGAGCAGGAATATCACTGGATACAATCCAATGTTTCAGCAGAGGAGGTTCCCGAAATCCCTTTGAATTTTGCTTGAAGCCAAGTTTCAGGCAACGTCAATTTTAAATGGCATGTTGTCCTGTGTGTCAAGCCTCAATGCATCCCATTGGGCCAATTCTGCACACTTCCTTGGGCTTTGAACAACTCCTTAACACTTAGTTAAACTTTTTCCATTTCGTATGTCTTGTGAAACTATATACATCCATGTACCTGTAACACACACATTTCTCCCAATAAATCTCACTTGTGTCTTAGCCAACACCAATAAAAAAGTAGCAACATACTATTGCTATCCTGGAGTCTCTTGGTGAATCTGCTGGTTAATGCAAAGACTCCAGACATCTGCTTCTGCTTAATTTTCTTAATATTGGGTGGGTGGGAGGAACAGAGCAAATGTTCTTCCCTCTGTTTCATGCCACAAACATATTCAACACCCTGATCATCTGCCATTGCAAATGGCCTTAAGTGACATTAATGGCTTGTAAACAGTTAACCAGGAGGCTGTTACAGATATTGTGATATATAAATATCACTGCCCTGAGTGATACATATGCATGTAGAAGGGTAGGATATAAATGCTGGTATAAATGAATAAAGCAAAGAACTCATAATTTCAGGTTTAAGTAAAATATTCCGTGGCAATTAAATCCCATCTAATCCATAATGTAAACCTCAAAATTCAAGCTTTCATATTTTCAGACGTTACTCAACTGTTCATAGCAAAAATTAACTGCATTTTCCCAGACAACACGCATTATGTGAAATCAGTCAAACTGCATCACTTCCTTTTCTGGCATCTTACCTTGTCAATGAAGCTAGCAAATTGATTGTTGAGACTCTTGATTTGCTCTTTCTCCTGATTTTTCACTTGCTGGATCTGGGGGTCAATATCTACACGAACTGGTCTCAGAAGGCTTGGGTCTATTTGGACACTGCCAATGCCTCCACCACTAACACCAGGGCCAATTCCCCCACCGAAAGGACCACCGCCCATTCCTCCGCCACCATAACCACCACCGAAAGGACCACCGCCCATTCCTCCGCCACCATAACCACCGCCCATTCCTCCACCACCATAACCACCACCCATTCCTCCACCACCATAGCCGCCGCCCATTCCTCCGCCACCATAACCACCGCCTATTCCTCCACCACAGATCCCACCGCCCATTCCTCCACCACAGATCCCACCACCATAGCCGCCACCCATTCCACCGCCATAGCCATAGCCTCGTCCATAGGAAATTCTTGTTCCTCTACTGCCATAGTTATGGAGGCTCCTGCTGCCATATTGGCCTCTTATGCCTCCACCATATCCCTGGCATGATGAAGAATAGCCAATTCTACTTCCTCCTCCTCCACCACCACCGCCGATAACAGAAGTTGAGCTGTAGCCTCTGCGGCTCACTTTGCTGGTTTTGACAGACATCACTGTGACAGAGTTGAATGAGGAGCAGAGAAAATGATCAAGCCCAGAGGTTGCAATGCAAAAAAGGGAGATGAAGAGATGTGCAGAGCCCAAGGGAAGCAAATCCCTCTGGATCCGGAGTTGGAAAGAGCCTCCCTTATATCTGCTTTAGGGAGGAGCTGGGCTTGAGTTTGCATGGGCGGGAAGAAGGATATCATTGTATTGTGCTCATGAACTTGGTGTGGTTGACAGATCTTCATCTTCAATTTTCCAAACACTGACCCTACCCATTAGCACACCCCTTCACTGCCAAAGGAAGAGAAGACGATGATGATGACCAACGATGGCACAATGTCTTTGCAGTGACTAAGATACTTTAAGCTTGATTATTTTGTCTGGGGAGTAGGCTCTTTAATTGACACAGTGCATCACTCTTAATTCTCAATGGAGGTCCTACCTATCAGTATCTTCATCTGCATTTCTAATTGCAAAGCTCCATGGCAGGCAGCCGCTTTGCAGCATGCAAAGCATTAGCACACCTTTCACAATCCCCAAAAGCACGCCCGCAATTACACCCTAAATCTGCCTCTATGTGGAAAATTGCCTTTGGCTCCCTAAGAGCAGTTTCTCAACTTGAAGTTCACGGAGGATCTTCATCACCTTGGTAAACAAAATGCTTTGTCAGAGCAGATCTGTCTGGGCTCTTCTCGCATGGGCATCCCTAAAACTCCTTGGGACAGCAGCAGTTCCTTTACTCCAAGAAGCTAGCAACAACACTGAATGAATCTTAAGACGGGCAACACCAGCTTAAAGAAAAGAGATCACATGCTGATGATGGACGTCCATGGAGGACACTTCTCTTTTTACTTTGGATGGTGGGCATAAGGAAAGAAAGAGGCGACTGAGGCATGCAACCCTCTGCTTTGGTGGAGATGGTAGACTGTGGATGGCAAAGCTCAAGAAGAACGGATGGGCTAAAACAGCAGAAGGGAAAGGATCAACTGTTCTGCAGGACCTTCGAGATTGACCGATTAATTGCAGCATGAACTTTCACGCAATAAGATCAAAACTGTTTCTACTTCTTCTCTCTGTCTGTCTCTGTCTCTTTCTAGGTCACATGTCGGAATCCCATAAGATACATACTGTGCTCAGCCAATTTCTAGACTTTAGAATCTGAGTTAGCTTGTTTCATAAAATTTATATACCAATTGATTGTGGGGGGAAACCAAGCAAACAAATTTTTAAAAACGTTTTTAAAAGATACATATAAATGAATGTATATGTGTCACAGAGAGAAAAAAGAGAAGCAGTCAAAAGTGTGAAGATAGATTAGAAAGATTGGATGGGTCATTGATGGAGAGATGGGCAAAGAATTGTGAAACAGATTGGATGGTAAACTTCGAGCTTAAAGAAATTGCTATTCAGGCCACATAAAAATTGGACCTAGCAGTCACCTAGTTGCTTATGAAGCAAAGGCAACATTGTGAAGAAAGTCATTGTGAAATGTACTTTTTTTATTATTATGAAATGCATTCATCACGCAGCAGCTAAGCTGTAACAAGCTGAGTTATCGTTTTTCAAAGACATGAGCCATGTCTTCATCTTCTTTTTCCTTTTTGCTAACCTCCATTAAATATACAAATTAAAATTTGCTTTGACTTTGCCAGACATTATTTCTTAGGTAATAATGATTGAATTCACCAAATAGCATTTTTGCTATAACTCCCCTCCCACTAATAATAACAATAATAATAATGCAGATTTAAGAAAATAACCATTTTTAAATATTGCCCTTTTAAAAAGAAAGAATTTCTTAGCATTATTTTCTATTGAATCAATCAGACTCTTTGAAGCCTTGTTTGTACATGAATAAACAGGTCAGTGCATCTTCTCTATCCTTGATGATTAATACACCCATCCATTTCTTGCAGATGCACATATAATACCTTCATTTGCATTCCCTTCTTGTGTACTTCAGTATCATGGGCAATGCCTCTGGAGGTTCCCTTTCCACCTGCACAGGAGCTCTATGGAACCTGGCACATATGGGGTGCTCTGCCTGGGAAAATAAATGTCACATTTCCAAGAACAGGAGAGTATTTGGAGCACTAAAAGGAGTTGAAACACCTCTCCAATTTGTGCTAAACATACATAATATTCTGCATCTGGGCATACAGGAGCATCTTCGTGTTAGGTAGACAAGGTGCGTACATTGTTGTTGGTTTTTTGGGAGAGGTGTAGAAATCTGAGTGGTAGTCAACTAAGTGTTACTCAGAGTAGACCCACTGAAATGAATAGACTTAACTTGATCATGTTCACTAATTTCAGTGTGTCCACTCTGTGTAAAACCTAGTCAAATACTACCCACTTTGTTCAGCAATACAGTATATCTCAAGCAAGCAATAACAAACACAGTCTACACGCAATCAATCCTATTACTAAACCATGTAAGCAATTACCGTATTTTTTGCACTATAAGACTCACTTTTTCCCTCCTAAAAAGTAAGGGGAAATGTGTGCTTGTCTTATGGAGCGAATGCAGGCTGCACAGCTATCCCAGAAGCCAGAACAGCAAGAGGGATTGCTGCTTTCACTGTGCAGCGATCCCTCTTGCTGTTCTGGCTTCTGAGATTCAGAATATTTTTTTTCTTGTTTTCCTCCTCCAAAATCTAGGTGCGTCTTGTGGTCTGGTGCGTCTTATAGAGCAAAAAATACGGTATATGTTGTTTGATTCCTTTCAGTGCTCTAAGATAGCATCCTTGTGCATCAGAGGGCTAATAAATTGTCAATTTTTTAAAAAAGGTTATTTTGGGGGATTGTATCCCATGTTAATCCTACTCAGAGGTTTTATTACAATCAAGAAGTATATACCATACATTTCGTAAAATGAATAAATAAAATGCCTAAATCAAGGCCTTTAATTTCCATAGGTCTACTATGATTGGGTTAGCATTTCTTTTCCTCTCTCTTTCCCCAAGCTAGTGCAGAGTTTTCCTCATTTTGTCCTGCCCTCTTCTCATTGGATCCCATGCCTTTCTTTTTAGATTGTGAGCCTGCACAGAGAAATCAGAATTCCCCCTCTATTTTTTGTACCACATCAATGCTTAAGCGCTTTTGAAAATACAGAAATAAAATACAGAATAAATTGATTGTGGAAATGATGATGATGAATCAGAAATTACAACAGAGATAATCCAGATTTCCTGACTAAGAATGACTTCCTCTGGTTTCTATGATGAGTGTGTGTAGGTTATCTATTTCCTTTTGGATTGTAAAAATGTCTATGGCTGAATTCTTCATTCCTCTTGTGCTTCAACGTATTGCCACAAAATTGCCACACTTTCCATATGTCTCACTCCTCTAATCCATACAACATTAGTTAATTTGATCAGGAGACCATCCACATCCCAGGCTGTACATAACCTGTCCATAATAATGATCACATATTTGCATTTTCCAATCCCAGGCAAACGTCTGTCCTTGCAGCTCTTAATCAGTGAGAAAATCTTTCCAAGTTATCTCACATCACCAAGTATACTGTAGTCAAAAGGAAGGAAGGAAGGAAGGAAGGAAGGAAGGAAGGAAGGACACTGGGAGTAGTCCATTTGGTATCCTGTATCCAATAATATCTTCCACTTCAATTTCCAACAGATTATTTGTTTGGGGGCATTCTCATTCCCAAAATGTGTGCACAGTGGTACCTTGGGTTAAGAACTTAACCAGCCACGAGCTACTGACAGCATCTTGACACCCATTGATCCTCTTCAAATGGGGAAGTAATGGGGGCATCTTTTCCTCCGTTTCCAATGGTTGGAGAATATATACATTTATAAGGTTTTAAAATTTGGCTTCAGGAAATGGGCAAAAGCACACAGAGCTTTCCTCTACCTTCATTTCTGCCCTGACAGTTCAAGACCAGCAGGGCACAGAATGCAATGGTTGAACCACCTCCAAATTCCCCTCCCTGACCTTAGGACTACAGCTATATTTAGCTACCTGAACTCAACCTGAGTCTCCTGTTTTCAAAGCCATCTTGTTTTAATTGGATTGTTTTATTGTGGGCATTAATTATGGATACTTATATTTTGATATTTTAATGAGATAGTTTTATTGTGTATTTTAATTATGGATGTTTACAGTGAGTTTTAATGTCTGTATAATGGGTTTCTAGACTGACAGCCCTATCCACAGGCTCCAGGGAACATGTGGATGACTCTCAGCTCATATCGGCAGCATGTACTTTCTTTTTTCTTTGGCAATCCCTCATAGCCAAGTAAGATTGTCTTCCATAAACACGGTTTTAACAATGAGTCCGTAAGTGACTGTGGAGGCCAATTCTGGATCCACACGTCCTTCCACAGTGGGGACAATGGTTTCCAGGTGGGAACTGATCGCAGTGTGGATATGCCAAGAGTGCCTTCCTCTTAGCACATTTCTCCCTTTCGTCCTGAGTTTGAGTGTCTTCAAAACCCATGACACCTTTGGTAAAGGTACACTTAGGGCTCAGCCACACTTCTGGAAAACCTCTCAGGCCCATGATTTTGTGGTGCAGGACAAGCAGAAATATGGTTGAGCCCTTAGTTATGCAAATGCAGCTCTTGTGTATATGAGGAGGACTGAGGGAGCTCCTGTTCCCTTAATACACATACACTTACCATTATTTTCATAGGACACCATCCTATTTTCCCCCCTAACATGAGAATGGCATTGTCCCAGTGACAATGCTGTCACACCCAACTACAGATGCAAAAAAAACTAACAACAACCAAGAACATGTAAGTGATTCACTAATTTTAAAAAAACAAACAAACAGCAACACTCATTTCCCAGGCACTGTACCTTAGAGAACACGGAAGGTGTTAAGTCAGCAAGAACCCTATATCAAAAGAAGCCAATGAATCAACTTAGAGATAATGTGTCTCTTGCATCACTGGAGGTAACTCCAGACAACTCCAGATTTGATTATGATTATCAGCCTTAAGGCTCAACCTTGATTTGGATGTTTTTACCAACCAGTGGAAGAATTGGTAGTATACAAATGCAGATCTACAAGGAGGACATGGAAAGTAACATGCTACTTCTGAGAGAGAGAGAGAGAGAGAGAGAGAGAGAGAGAGAGAGAACTTCTTAGTATATTCCCATTCTTGCCCCCAGCCCCTCCTTTTCTTCCTTGTTTCCTAAGAAAACTGTAATTCAGACCTTGTGAGTTCACTTAAGGACAACTCAGCCTTCAGCCTCCCTCCCCCTTCTCAATTAGAGAGGCCTTCATTAAGAGCCTTCATTAAGAGCCCTGTAAATGCTGTAAATAAATCAGTTAACCTGGTAACACCTATCCTAAAAGGTAAAGGTAAAGGACCCCTGACAGTTAAGTCCAGTTGTGGCCGATTCTGGGGTTGCAGCGTTCATCTCACTTTACTGGCCGAGGGGGCCGACGTTTGTCCGCAGATGGTTTTTCCAGGTCATGTGGCCAGCATGACTAAGCCACTTCTGGAGAAACCAGAGCAGCGCACGGAAACGCCGTTTACCGGGAGCGGTACTTATTTATCTACTTGCACTTTGATGTGCTTTCGAACTGCTAGGTTGGCAGGAGCTGGGACCGAGCAACAGGTGCTCACCCTGTCATGGGGATTCGAACCGCCGACCTTCCAATCGGCAAGCCCAGGGCTCAGTGGTTTAACCCACAGCGCATCCCTAACACCTATCCTATGTGCAGCTAAATGCAATAGATGACCTTCAAAGTACAAAAGGCCATCTAGTTTAGTTTAGTTTAGTTTAGTTTAGTTTAGTTTAGTTTAGTTTAGTTTAGTTTAGTGTTTAGTTTAGTTTAGTTTAGTTTAGTTTAGTTTAGTGTTTCCATAGCTCAAAGGCACTGCAAAAAGCTACACAATGTTCTGCATCCCAGCAATTAAGCTGGCTGACAAGCCTTTCTTCTCTCTCTCATCAAACCTAGGGCTTCAAGTTGCCCAGAGACAGATAAGGCTTCTTAAAAAGTGACAAAACTTCATATTTAGTACTCAAAGATATAGAATGGCTTCCACCACTCTTCCCTCCCTGTGCCCCCTCTGATGCCCCCCAAACAATTTTTGGGGTCAGGAGAATCCCCAGAACAATGTGAGGGGAGGAAAGGGGGATAATTCCATCTGTCAAACTGCAATGTTTGCGCTGACACAATGTTCAGCGCAGTGTGACATTGAATTCCGCATACACTGTCTTGAAAAATTTATTCAAGATTAATTAGCCATTGATTGACCTTTCCACCTGTTTTCCAAAGCCAATGTACATGTGAAAGTTGCAAATGGAGCTGTCAATTCAATCCCACTCCTCCATTGTTGCTCACGTGGGAGAAAATGAAGAAGACCCATAATCTTATCACAACTAGTGTACACTTCATGTACATGAACATATGTGCACTTACTCATGTTTGTGTAACTTTTGCTTTGCTGTTTGGCAAGAGGTCATTCCCTCTGATTTCATTTACTAGGTTTTTTCCTCTATTCCATGGATTGGCAAACTAAGGCCCGGGGGCCGAATCCAGCCCAATCGCCTTCTAAATCCAGCCTGTGGATGGTCCAGGAATCAGTGTGTTTTTACGTGAGTAGAATGTGTCCTTTTATTTAAAATGCATCTCTGGCTTATTTGTGGGGCATAGGAATTTGTTCATTCCCCCCCCCCAAAAAAAATATATTGTCCGGCCCACCACAAGGTCTGAGGGACAGTAGACTGGCCCCCTGCTGAAAAAGTTTGCTGACCCCTGTATTCCATAGTTCTGCTAAGAGAAAATCCAGTGGTTTGTCACTGTCCCATTTTTCTTGCTTCTATCTGACTATCTAACAGAGCAAGAACATTGTGTACTTGGTGTAAAAGGAAACTGAAATCTAGGTTTGCAAAGCCAGTGGGAGGAGTTCCTTGAGGGAAGCCGCACATCTTTCATTGCTCCTTGTGGGTGGTGGTTAAGCGCTTGGTAGCATAAAGTTACAAAACTAAGGCGAGACACTAGCCGTTCATTTGGCCGTCTCAGCAAAAGGTGAATCAGCATGAGGTTTCCCACTTAAGGGAAGGTCTCACTTGCATACGCAATCCCGTGCACATGACTCTACTTCAGTCATGCTGCTGCAATCTCAGATGTTCTACCAGGGGTGCCAACTTGAATAAAGTACGTGGGGAGCAGGTAAGCCCCACCCCATATAACTGATCACATGACGTGGCACACAAACACCATTTGAATGGAAATGCCCTTCAGCTTTGGGGGCCATTTACACTAGAAAGTTTTTCATAAGTTTAACTTTCATGGCTATTCTTGAAAAATCCTGGAAAATGATATTTGAGAGGGTTCTGAAAATTAGGAATAGGGGGGCAAATTGGATTATTATTGCAATTAAATGGAAACTACCTAATTTGCCCTTTTTTTGAACAGGGTGATTAAAGGGCATTAAGGAATCTGGAGTCACAGATAGGCCCAGGTCCAATGCTTGTAGTCTAGATATACTCCAGATTATAAGATCCTCCCGCTGTCAAGCTCTGTGCCATGTGTCAGTCCCCTTCAGTCTAACTTGCCCCATCCCCTCCATCATCAATTCCTTGCCTGCCCTCCCAGTTTTACATCTACCTCCAATTCCCTGCCACCTCCTCCAAAGCCTCCTATTCTGCCATCCCCCTCTAAAGCCCTTTCTCCACCTCCCTCTGCCTTGCTTGGCCTGTTACTGGAAGTTTGGGCTGTGAAGTTCACACCTGCAATGGGAATGGACCCCAACCCCATATTCTGTTCCAGCACAGAATGGAGACATACACAAAGAGAGAGAAACTGTTCTCACAGTGGCTACTACCCTGTTTCCCCAAAAATAAGACAGTGTCTTATATTAATTTTTGCTCCCATCGATGTGCTAGGTCTTATTTTCAGGGGATGTCTTATTTTTCCATGAAGAAGAATACGGTACACATTTATTGTCTAATTGTGAGTCAGCCACACTCCGTCAGGGCAGAGCGAGCAGCAGGTGGCAGCTTGTCCTGGCGGTGGTGCGGGCTCTCTGATTTAAAGAGACCTTGCACTGCCTGAACAGCTGCACAGTGGCGCCCGCCACTACGGTCCAGAGGAGTCAGATGCCTTACGGTACCTTCAGGGGCCTTATATTCCGGGGAGGCCTTATGTTCGGGGGAGGCCTTATTATTGGGGAGGTCTTATTTTCTGGGGGTGCCTTATATTACAGTGAGAGACAAAACTGGAAGTAGGTTTTATTTTCAGGGGATTTCTTACTTTCAGGGAAAGACAGTAGATGCTTATGGGAAACCTGCAAGCAGGACCTGAGTGCAAGAACACTTTCCTCTCTTGTAATTTGCCACTACCTGGTATACAGAGACACACTACCTCTCACAATGGAGGCAGAAGAAGGTCATCATGGCTAGTAGTCATTGAAAGCCTTATCCTCCATCATAAGGCTTCCATGATTACTATCCCAGCATAAAAGCTCTTGGCAAAAACCCAGAAGACACCATTGTTCTCATCACTTAGAGTTTAATGAGCTGCAAGTGATCACACGCGAGAGGAAAGGAATCACCACCAAAACAAAAAGATTTTCAAGGCCATTACAAAAAGAAAGACAGAATGTGGAGCACAAAGCAGCTAAAGTTAAATCTGGATAAGCCGTCTTGCTTTCAATAGGAATGACTTAAGCATATGCTTAAGCTCTCTCATTGGCGTCAATGGGACTTAAAGGAGTGTAACTTTGGCAAGATCACATGCCCCTACCTTTTAGCTGCAGGTATTTTGCATATTCATTTAAGTAACCATTATGACTCAGCAAAACCACAGGCAGGTAATCACAGGAGAGTAGCTGGAAAGATATTCATTTGTATCAGGGCTTTTTTTTCCCCCAGCCAGAACTCTCCAGAACCAATCAGGTGGGCACCATTGCCATTTAAGAGAATGAGGGAGGTGCTTATGGTGAGTTCCAGCACCTCTTTTTTTCTAGAAAAATAGCACTGATTTGCATGAATGAGCAAAACATGAAGGCTGTGTTCACATAAGCAGTTTTTGATGGAATTCACATTATTTCTCCATCAGGTTTCATTCAGAGGAATTAGAATGTAGACAAAATAGCAGTACTCTTTAAACGTTATGAGAATCAAATAACCTGACTCCTAGAATTGTTTTATTGTCTGAACCGTACGCATCCAGCTGTTCCATGTGTTTCAATCCACCAAAGAGATAAAAGTGTCTCCTCAGTTGAAGAACAGCCAATGAGAATTCTGGGATACCTAGGATAGAGATATTCCTCCTTGTAGGACACAGGGCAGAGTGCTGCTCTACATAAAAGATGTGTGAATGGTACAAAAGCAAGGCACACATTGCCTAGAATAACCTCTATAGAACTACCTAATACTGTTCGCCCTTGTTCATGCAAACACAGCCTTCACATATTACACGTCTGTTGACTAGACCTAATTACGTTAGGGGCATGAAATGTGTCAACAATGAGTTAAGAACAAAGGGTGAGTTACAGACTAAGTTTGGGTTGGGTTGCTTGGGTTGGATACCGACTACATTAGATGAACTAAGGTCCCACTGACATAAATGAGACAAGTTAGCAATGACAGGTCTCACAGAACTCAATGGTACTTAAGTTCAGCTAACTCAGTCTGTATCCCACCCAAACAATGCAAGACTTAAAAAATATCCTGGGAGAGCAGCCATAAGGGCCATAAGGGGCACAGTCCATTTTTCTGAAAGGCGCCAAGATTCTGTTCAGGGTGGCTTTGCAGATGTCTTCAGAAAAATGGTTCTTTCATCCATGCTGATGTCATCACTGCACCTGTTGCTTCCTATTTCCTGCTTGAAGACTTGATGGAAGTGGAGGATGTGGTGGTTTTTTTCACAATGGTGCCTCCGGAACTATATCCTCCTCCGTATCCTCCGCCGACAGAGCAAGCTCCCCCACCTCCTATGCTGCAAACACCTCTTCCGCTTCCAGAGCTGAATCCACCAAGGCCACCAGATCCTCCTCCATAGCACATTCCACCTCCAAATCCACCTCCAAATCCGCCACCATATCCACCGCCAGAAGCAGTAGAGGAGGAGCCAACCATAGCTAAAAAGGAAGACAACCATGGTTAGCATTGTGGTGGTTTTATGGACTAATATGGCTATTTAATGCCTGGAATGTAATTCTCTAGCACTGAGCATGGGGGTGGTGCTACTTCATGTCTATTCCAGGGCATTCTGTCCCAGGAATGCACCAGTGGAGCATGCAAGCCATCGCCTGAAGAGATGGCAAGTCATTGTAGAAAGAAAGAAAGAAAGAAAGAAAGAAAGAAAGAAAGAAAGAAAGAACTCCCAGCTACTTTGCATCTTAAAATAAGACAAGCAAAGCCTCCAGGGCCAAGGAGTCATCCATGTGATGAGAGTCAATTGAGAAAGTGTGTGGCATGTAAGGGCTTAAGCACTGAACTAGACCTAAAGCAGGGAACCTGTGGCCTTCCAAATGTTGCTGAACTCCAGATCCCATCAGCCCTTGCCAGCATGGCCAATGGTCAAGAATGATGGGAGTTACAGTCCAGTAGCAGCTGGAGGGCCACAAGTTCCCCATCCTTGCACTAAAGGGAAGCTGGGTTCAAAATGATCCCCATTCAGCCATGAAGTTTATTGGCTTGCTTTGAATGAGTTACAAATATTATCAACCCATGAGCATGAAGCAATGCAAACCATGGCATCACATACAAAAGTTGTTCCCACATGGTATTTTTGTAACATTTAAAATTGGGGACAGAGAAACCGTGGCCCTCCAGGTCATCATCCCTGACTTCCTTGAGTTTCAACCTCTTTCTGGCATGTTACTACAGCACACTGGAGTTGCACCAACACAGTTGCATTTGTGGTGGTCAAAAAGTGTTCAGGATAGCGCAAGGGGGGATCTTCCACAGCCCGGATGCCACATTCTGCATCCACAACTTTCCTTCTGTGTCTGTATCTATGGTGCTTAAGAGCTTGGTGCATCTCTACTATGACCACTGTTGTAAAAACCACATCAAGATGCAGTGGTGCCAGCGCATGCCATTTTCCAGAGCAGCTGGTTATAGGATAGTGCCACTAATTTTAAAAGTTGAGTACAGAGTCACTACTTACAGATGCTCACAGTGCTCTGACACTCTCCAGACATCCTGTGAAGGAGAGAAAAAACCTGATGTTTAGGCAAGAGATGAGATCCAATTGGGCATTCATACACAAAATACTGAACAACAATGAACAAATCCTTTGAATCCCTTTGTTGCTTTAATCATCAGGCACTGCGAAGGTGAGTGCTGTGCAGTGCAGAGAGCAGATAGGGTTGGACACAGGAGACCCGGATGCAGCTGCTTGCTTGGCCATCAAGATCACTAGGGAATAATGTGGGCATGATCGGGTAGACAGTCTTCATTTCAAGAGTCAGGGACACACTTTACAGAACTTGTAATTCAGATAGGCATGTTCCTTCAGCTCACACTAGCCTGCCACAACTTCCAGTGGTTGCTGCAGCTGCATTGTCCACATTGTAAACGTCTCCCAGCACTGGAAGCAGAGGCAACCCCAGAAGAATGAGATGCGCCTTCGTTTGTGACATTCCCAACCTCTCTCCACCAGGTGAATTGCTACGTACTTCAAGAATTACTATTATTATTATTATTATTATTATTATTATTATTTGTAGTAATAGTAGTAGTAAAAATTGCAGGTGTTCTTTATATGCTTCATATTCTTATTATGACTTATTTCCATCAGCTTTTATTGTTGTAAGAGGTATGATCTTTGTTGCTTATTTTGCATATAGCAATATAGAAAGGGGGTATGCAAATTAAAAGTGAAATGAAAATATTTTGATAGATGCCTTTGGGCAAAAAAGATGGCAGGGGGCTGGGGTCTAGCTTTGCAGTAAGTAAAGTAACCAAAAATAAATAAATAAATCTTTTTTAAAAGGAGGAAAGAACCCTAACCCCCCCAAAAAAGAACCAGGACTCCAGTCCCCTGAGCCACCCTCTAACAATGTCCCTACTTCCCCTGTTCTTGCCACAGCATCCACCTAAACCCTCTCAATTAGGATTTGCACTGCCACAGCCTAATCTCAGCTCTTACCATTCCATCAAGCTTAACCATGGCTTAATCTGAGCCAGACCAGTTCACATGTGTACACAGTATGCAATACATCAGGGATGGGCAAACAATGGCCCTCCAGATGTTGCTGGACCACAGTTCTCAGCATGGACAACCATCAGGGATGATGGGAGTTGTAGCCCAGCAATGTTTGTAGATCCTACGATTCCCTATCACTGCAGTACATGCTTTCCTCGCCAATGGGTATACATTGCCCATCCTTACATTTCGGTTATGCAATGAAAGCTCTAGTTTGATTTCCTTTTTTTGCTTCTCTTCAGCAAAGTCCAGATACACATCTCCTTCCTGCGCATCACACTCACCTGCTCTCCTCTCCTTCCAGCAATGTCCTGTAGGTGGCAATTTCAACATCAAGCGCCAACTTGACATTCATCAGCTCCTGGTACTCCCTCAAGAGACGGGTCATTTCTTCCTTGGCCTTCTGCAGGGCAACCTCAAGTTCATTCAATTTGTCCCTGGCATCCTTGAGGGCCAGCTCACCACGTTCCTCAGCTTCTGCAATGGAAGCCTGCAGCTTCTCACACTGAAAGGCAAGAAAGGCATTCGAAAAACTGATTACTGAAATATCATTTTTATTTTTAATACCAGCAGCACCATCCCCCTACATTCACTGGGAACCATTTGTGAGTGCCATATTTTTTTGAAGTGCAAGGTCAGGAAGTAACAAAGAGGCCATCCTACTTCAGCCTGATATCTCTTGGCTTGCCTTTAGTTGTGTTAAAGGTAAAGGTACCCCTGCCCGTACGGGCCAGTCTTGCCAGACTCTAGGGTTGTGTGCTCATCTCACTCTAGAGGCCGGGAGCCAGCGCTGTCCGCAGACACTTCCGGGTCACATGGCCAGCGTGACAAGCTGCATCTGGCGAGCCAGCACAGCACACGGAACGCCGTTTACCTTCCCGCTAGTAAGCGGTCCCTATTTATCTACTTGCACCCGGGGGTGCTTTCGAACTGCTAGGTTGGCAGGCGCTGGTTGTGTTACTTGTGTTACTAGTTGTGTTACTAAATGAATTGCTGCAGTTAAGACAACAGCACAGGACTAAGATGACCAGATTGTGAAATTCCAATAAAGACCTCTGCCCCGCTCCACCCTCGGGTTAATCTTGCATATATTCCTCCAGCCTTACCTGCTTCTTCACATTATCTATTTCAGATCGTATCCTCTGAATCATCCGGTTCAGTTCAGAGATCTCGGCCTTGGTGTCACGGAGACTGTCACCATGTTTCCCAGCAGTTTGCTGCAGCTCCTCATACTGGAATTCAGAAAGAAGAAAGGGGTCAAATTGTGTCATGTCAGAGAAGATAAATCTTCTTCAAACAAAAACCCAGCTGACCAATGGCTCAGGTTTTGCCAAACCCTCTGACACCCTTCCAAGGTTGTCCCCAAAAAAGAAAGGCGTGTTTTTGCAGTGCTTGTTGGACTAGCCTGATTAAAAGCTTACCTACAAGTGATTTTGAAGCAATACTGGTAGATTACTAGCCAGTTTCCAGTGGACAACATAGCACCTTGGGGAAGGGCAATAGCTCAGCGGTAGAACATATACTTCGGATGTGGAAGGTCCTAGGATCACTCCCAGGATCTACATATAGGGCTGGGGAAGTCTATGAACCAGGCGTGGGAAACCTGTGACCATCCAAATGTTGTTGGACTACAGCTCCCCATATCACTGATCACTGACCCTGCTAGCTGGATCTGGTGAAAGTTGGAGTCCAATAGCATCTGGAGGGCACAAGTTCTCCACCGCTGCTGTAAGCCCCAGAGAGTCGCTGCCACTATGTGTAGACAATACCCAATCAGATGAGCTAGTATAAGGCAGCTTCCTATGTTCCAACTGCTGTTTGCTGGGCTTCTTTGTAAATAATGGGGGCCTTTAGCCTGTTCCAGCAAAGCACTACATTGTATGTTCATAAGCATAGACAGGACCACTTCATTAGGGTTGTTGTGGCTCAAGTGGCAAGAGATTTTGAACCCGCACTTGCTTTGCGAATGTAAAACACATTGGAAAACCATGGCGATTCTAGTTAAAATAAAGCAAAGCACACGGAGCTGAAGTCAGATCACTCGTAGTTTAATACATTGCCTTATGTGCATTTGGCCTTTCCCATTAATGAACAACCAGAGTTTCTTTGTTTGTTTGGATTTGGTTTTTGCTCAAGGAGGTCATTTTCCACTGGCAAGGCTTGATAGGCCTGAGAACTCACCTTGGACTGGTACCAAGACTCTGCTTCTGCTCGGCTTTTCTGAGCAATTTCCTCGTACTGAGCTTTGACCTCTGCAATGATACTGTCCAAGTCCAGATTCCGGTTGTTGTCCATTTGGAGGACAACTGAGGTGTCAGAAACAGTCTGCTGCATCTGGCTCAATTCCTGCCAAAGAAATCGATTTACTGATTTTTGTAAGCTGCCATGGGAGTCCATTTGGTTAAAGTGTAGAGTACATCTACCTTAAATAAATAAATATGTAGACAGCGCCATGGTCACATCATGTTTTTTCACCATAAATGTTGATTTTATCACTTACCTCTCCCCTTAGTAGGGCATCTGTCTATTTTTTTTCTAAAGGTGACTAATGGATGTGGTAGTCCATATTGGCACACCTGCAAAAAGTCTGTCCTTCTAAAAACTTTGCTTAGAACTTTCTGGCATCCCAAAAACTGGACATGAAAATTAGCTGTTATAATACAGTGGTACCTCGGGTTAAGAACTTAATTCGTTCTCGGAGGTCCGTTCTTAACCTGAGACATGCTTTTGCTATAATGGGGCCTCCTGCTACCGCTACGCCCCTGGCACGCAATTTCCCTTCTTATCCTGGAGCAAAGTTCTTAACCTGGAGCAACCACTTCCTGGTTAGCAGAGCTTGTAATCCAATGTGTCTGTAACCCGAGGTACCACTGTACACTAGTCAAATTGCTGTCATAACAGCAGACGATGTTGCGTGCATGTGGATTTATGCATTGCAAGGATGTCTTATGGAGAGGATGCAATGCACTTTTGCACCTTCTGCAGAGCAATGAAGAACATAAAAGATTTCCCATTATAGTGAATGGGGAAACTGTGAGCTTCATTTTAGACAGAGTAGCTCAGGAGATGGATTACAGATCAAAGCAGAGACAGCACAGAGTGACTCAGAAGCAGACTGGAATTTTTACAAGCACACAGGTAGAAGGGGAAACTTAGGGCCTGTGCACACCCCTAATACTTAATTAAGCAATGTGACACCCAAAACAGGTAGTCATCAGATACAGAATAATTTCCTAATCTAACATTTTAGACTAGCCTAACTTTCATAACTGCAATCCCAACTCTTTTACATATGCTTCCATTACCTCTCTAATCTCCACCCCTCATTTCCATATCTCTTCTTCCAGTTGCCATTTCCCAAATGACTCTCTACCTGTCACTCGCTCTTAACTCCACCCCAAAATTCGCATCACTCTAGTGTTCTCCCAGGAGGCCACAAAAAGACTACTTACAGCGTCGTACAAGCATCTCAAGAAGTTGATTTCATCTGTCAAGGAGTCCAGTTTCGCCTGCAATTCTACTTTGTTCATGTAAGCAGCATCCACATCCTGAAGGAAAGGACAGAGAGAAGTTCATATTTTGCACACAATGATGAAGGCAAACACACACACAGTTCTTCTAAATGCCAGTATGTGAATAGCTACTTGCACCTCCGAATCACTGCAAAGGAGACAGGAAGAGTGGCACACTTACCTTTTTCAAGAGCACAAAGTCATTCTCTGCTGCCGTGCGCTTGTTAATTTCTTCCTCATATCTGGTCAATGCAAAGAAAGAACATCAGGTGTGAATACTTTTCCTTTTCTATTTGCACAGTTTTGTGTGTCTTTTCCAACATCTATCTACACTCCCCAATTTCTTGTAAAAAAAAGGTCCAATTTATTTTAAGAAACTGAAATCTTGGATGCAACAATAAAATAGAAGCAATATGTGAAATATTGCTTTGTTATTCCACAGCATCGTTTGATTAAAAAATCTTGGTCCAGAATTTTTTTTTAGAAAGTCTAGATCAGGAGGGGGTGGGGTTGAGCAAAGGACATCTAGCCCTGCCTTCTTCTTTCTAGATTTTCTTAACAGCCAAAGGCCTTGTGAATTTGCTTGGCCTGCAAGTGAAAGAGAATTACCAATCCCCAATTTTGTGGGTTACTTGATATCCTAGGTTTATAACTCATAGAACATTCTTCATTGTTTCCATTCTTCAGACACTGTCCTCTGCCAAGAGCATTCTACATTCTTTGGCATCAGACAAACAAAGACTCTGTTGAACGCCATCCTGATTTACAACATACTTTCCTGGCTCAAGAGTTTATTAAATTACAGTACCTATTTTCAAGTGCCACCAAATGCATACCTTAGGGCTGCCCAATGGATCAGTTTGTCAGAATTCAAGCTGTGGGTCACCATTTTTGCTAGGATTAACAGCAGACATAGCCAGTGTGGTGCCTTCCTGGTGTTTTGAGCTACAATTCCCATCAGCCTCAGCTAGCATGGCCAATGGTTAAGGAATATGGAGGTTCTAGTGTACAACATGTGTACAAGCACACGGTATTCCCTGCCCAATTATAGCATAGTGTAATCATGTTACTGGACTTCATTGAGTCTTGAGCAATGAAAAGCAAAAACAATTTGTAAAATCATATATTTCAACGTTGGGAGTTATTGGAAATCAACCATAGTTTTTCACCTTAGCTGCAATAATTATAAAGGTGCAAAGAGCCCCAAAAAGATACAAACACATGATTTTACCAATAAAACCTTTAAAAATCCCCTGGTTACTCTGTACATCACACAGGATGTACACTATGTTCGTGAGTCATCTCATATGTAACAGTGAATCAGATCATTCAGTGTGATATAGTAAGTAGACCATGGAGATTCAAGTTCAACTCCACATTCCACTCAATGAATGATCTAGGGAAGGTCTTACAGATAATTCGGGAGCATAAAATAGAATAATCCCTTTCCAAATCCATCAGATTTCTACCGGGGTCAAATTCAAATTCAAGAGGAAGTTAGGTCCCGCCAGAAGCATGATACCATGATCAAATTGTGACTTCTCACTGGCACTGAACATTCATTGTTGAATGCCCAAGCTAAGAGGCAAACCAAACACACACACATCCGAGGCGTTCTGTACTCTATCTGTGGGTATATACACTTTTGTTTAAAATAAATAAATAAATAAATTGAAAGTTAATATTTCTATTTTCTGTCATCCTAGCTTCAGCAAAAGGCCAGGTCTGGCTTTTCAAATAGGTAGTCTGGGCCTGGCCCATCCACCTTCAATTGCACCGGCGGGAAAGATCGTTTATTGATTCCCATTGATTCTTTTCGTTCTATAATCCCTTACTTGTTCTTGTAATCCTCCACAAGATCTTGGAAGTTCTTCAGCTCTGATTCCAGGCCTCTCCTCTCATTCTGAAGACACTCAAGCTGCTTCCTGAGGTTGTTGATATAGACCTCAAAGAACTGATCAAGGTTCTTTTGACCAATGCCAGTCCCTTGGCCCTGCTCTTGCAAGAGTTTCCACTTGGTCTCCAGAACCTTATTCTGCTGCTCTAGGAAACGGACCTGAACAAAACAAAGAATAAGGGTGGAGAAAGAAAGGGTTATGATCATGTACTCTAATTGCCTTTAAAGAGGAGGGCAGTTCCTGGAGTAAATCACTATTCCTGTTCTGTCCCTGTTTTGGTTTTTTGAAGAGTTTGGTGTTCCTTTTTTAAAAAAAATGATGCTAATGTGAATTTCTATAGAGCAAGCTTTCTCTTCTCTGCTTCTTTGAAGCTAAATAATAGAATCATAGACTTGTAGAGCTGGAAGGAACCCTGAAGACCATCTAGTTCAACCCCCTGCAAAGCAGGACCATGCAGCTGTCCCATACGGGGACTGAACCTGCAACCTTGGCATTATCAGTACCGCACTCTAACCAACAATGTCAGAAGGAACTGCCGTGTATTAACATAATATGTGCATACGTAGAGAAGCCTTCACCAAGCTGATATCCTCCAGATGCTCTAAATCAATACTCCCACCCACTCCCAGCTGTGCTGGTTGGGGATGATGGGAGTTGTAGTCCAGGACATCTGGAAGCACCAGATTGTCCAAGGTTGGCAGTGGCATAATGCGCATCCTGCTATTTCAAAGGTTGCCGTTGGTTAAGCTTAATTTTGAAATGTAGGTAATATATTCTAGGAGACAAGTCAGGCTGTTTTAGCATATCTTTAACCAGAAGAACAAGCTTACTGTTTAACTTTGGGATAATGCAGAATCAATGGATGCACATACAAAGCAAAGAATAGTAGTGACAGGGGTGTTTTAGCAGTGTTCCTGAGCTAGCAATAGGTATGGCTGCAGGCACAAAATGAGTATCCCTCTTTTCATCTTTAAAATATTGGAGGAAATTTATTAACCTTCAGGGCTGGAGAGAAGATGGTGTCAACAAACCTCTCCCTCCAGTGCCAGCAAATTGACAGGATAGAGAAAAACACCTGCCCATTGTCTCAATGCCACCATTACTGTTAGTGGCTCTGTTCCACTCAGGCTCGTGCACAAAGCTTCAGGAGCCACATTAAAGCCACTTTCAGTTATGCCACATGTGATCTGACGACCTTCACAGTTTCCTTCTAAAGAGCAAGAAATAGTGCCCTGCTTCTTCTCATACAAGTCAGGCTGCCCTTGCTTTCTGGAGATGAGGATGGGGCCACTGCCTGTATCATGATGAGGGTGTGACCATCACCTTCTGGGCTTTGAAAGCATCCAGGTATTCTTCACATTGCTCAACTCCTGGATAACTGAAACCACAGCAACAGGTGCTGGATTCTGCCCAGTGTCCTCTTTTGGAGTACTGGACATGGCCATTAGTCCAAACTTGCCTGCTGATGTTGCTTTCTCCTAACACCACTTATGCATCTCCTTCCTCCATTCTAGGCTTTCCTTTGCATTGCCCACAAGCAGGGAGACCTTCCAGTTGCGTGTTCTGTACTGCAGCCACTACTTTTTAGCCTCCCCAAGACCCTTGAGTCACAATAGGCGGCTGAGGGATGCAATGAGGAGGTGACCAGAAAAGGAAATAAGAAGGGACAAGGATTTGTTGCGTCACTGATGCACGTATGATGCAGGTCAGCTGTGCATTCAATGCGCATCTAATGCCCTCAGTTTAGTGGGATTCAAAATAGCTTCCAGCCTTTCCTATCTGTATGTTAGAGAAGGGTCACTAAAGGATCAACATGGTAGTTTCTGGGTATTGGTCCAGGATTGTCCTGGGGAAGAAACATATGCCCACCTTTTCCCAGATTATCTTTCACTGCTTACTGATTAGTACTGACAACATTATGCAAATGGGCATGTCAATAGTACATACTTGCACAGGTCATACCCCCCAGGGCATCCTGAAAAGTATAGTTCTGTAATGGGGAAGAATCTCTGAGAATAAGCATCTGCTTCACCAAACTGCAGTAACCAGAATCCTTTGTAGGGAGCCACGGCAGTTACATTGGTACAGATTTTTAAGAGAAACTTTTGCCCTGTATTATGTTCCTGTTTACTTGAAACACTCAGGACTGGCATGCCCTTGGGGACTCACATTTGACCACCCCTCCATGAAGTATACAGGTTAAATATAAAACCTCTTGATTTGAGATTTTATAGCAAGGCAAATTAGAAAGAATCATAACAAAACTGGCAAACTAACGCTTTTAAAATGGCTTCACCATTTTCAGCCTTGAAATTCATTGTTGTTGTTGTTTTAAAAAATACAAATCAGACCAGATCTGATAGACACAATACTCAGTACAGACACAAGACAAAAGGCCCTCATACTGAGAAACAAAAAGGAAAGAGAAAGAGAAAATCTTGGAGCTACATGCAAGTTAAATGCTCTCAAAATCATTTCACCTTGTCGATGAAGGAGGCAAACTTGTTGTTGAGGGTCTTGATCTGCTCCCTTTCTTCAGTCCTCACTTTTTGGATCTCCGGGTCTATCTCCAGGTTGAGGGGCTGCAGGAGGTGCTGGTTGATGGTCACCTCTTTGATGCCTCCAGGTGGACATCCTGGGAATGGAGGGCAGATTGCAAGTCCACCTGGACCGCCAAAGCCACCGCCAAAGCCACCGCCAAGGCCACCGCCAAGGCCACCACCAGCTCCAAAGCCCCCAGCCCCTTGGCCACAGGCGCCACCGAAACCCCCGCCAAAGCCACCGCCACCATATCCACCATAGGAGATTCTCTTGCTGCCCCCCATGTTATGCAGGCTCCTGCTGCCAAAGCCACCGCCTCCGCTACGGACATTACATCCACGGGACATGGAAGCAGTGTTGAAGCTGACTTTGTTTCCACCCCCAAAGCAGACAGAGCTGGAACTGAAACCCTTGTTCTGAAACCCTCCTCCAATGCTCCGGGCACAGGACTGGCGAGACATGGCTAGAGGAGAGGTTGTCTTGCTGGTAGTGTAAGGAGTGATGTTCCAAGGAAGAGTTCCCAGTAATGAATGAGACTGAGCCCCTCTGGCAGGAGGGAGGAAGATGTACCTTTTTATCCGTTCGGAGAGTTGGCTGGGTGACAGGGGAGTGGAGGAAAAAAAGTAGTCATTTTTTTTATATTGTATTCTTGAGCTTAGGTGTGCTTGGCACCCTCCCTCTTGCTCTGTGCCAGAAACTGACCTTCCCTTAAACACACCCCAAAGAGCTGGAGAAGAACCTGCAACTTGACAGTGAACTCCTGGCGACCCCAGATTACCTGCATCACCCTTCTGTCAACTAAGACTAGATTTCTCTGTGAGCCTTGCCTGAATGGCAGGGCATGGCAGGTTCCCTTGACATTCTTTTGCCCTGCAGGGAAAATAATCCCCTGGCTGAGTTATCCCCATCACTCCCTTTTCTGAAACTTGATGGCAGATGGTTCCTTTCAGAGGGTTCCAAAATTAACCTTCTGACATGCAGAGTTCACTTTTTTAAAAAAAATACACACCCACAATTGCACCACACATCTGGGCATTTCTTCTTGGAATAAAAGAAATAAATCCAACATCAAATCTGACTTTCAGATTTCTCAAAGGGGCGGGAGGTTGGGTAGAGAAAAAGACACTTCCTCAATCTGAAACGCCAAATAAATGACAATATTCAGCCAAGCAGGAAAGAACTTGTAGCTTGCCAGGCCTCTTGTGGGCTTTACAACATTTTTATCCAGCTCTTCCTCCAAGGAGCTCAAGGTGGCATGTTTGATTCTTTTCTCCCCTCAATCACTTTTATTTTCAAAGCAATCGTTCATTCATTCACTGTGTATATTTATTCTTTATTTTAAAATGTTATATCCCATCTTTCTTTTAGCAAGATTATCTATATAGCTCTATCAGCGTGCATGTCACTTTGCAGAAAGGCTCTGCCCCAAGGAGTCTACCATTCTAAATGCAGCACAGTTCAAATATAAGTAGGACAAAGACGGCTGATAACCACAGCGTTATTTTGAACAATCCCAAACCCAATATGCTTCAATCTGCCTGGATACGGCGGGAATGCAGAAAGAACTGCCTTCTTTAAGAGAATGAAAAAGCAACAATACATAATCGTGTAAGTTACTCTGGGAGGGAAAGGCTTAAGGATGGGAAGGAGATTTGCTTCAGTTTGCATTCAAAGATTAATCTACCTAATCTGCACTTCTCGAAACTGTATGTGAACAGAAGCACAACCTTCCTTAGACATTTGAGCTTCTCTGAATTTTGCTGTGCAGTTTACCAGCCAAATGATGCGAACAAAAAATGCATACACTAGAGGAAAGTGTGCATAAATGCAAAAGTTAGTAAAAACAGCATGCAAAAGCAAATTCTGTTGGGGCAATACCTTGCCAAAATAGGCATATCAGTCAAAACTGCATGCGAAAAAAATGTATTAGGATTATGACAAAAAAATCAAACTGATGCAGAAATGTGGGAAACAGCACTTATGACTGGAAACTAAGAGAAACTAACATAGAGAGATTTGCCCATCCCTAATGTTAGAGAGAGAGAAAGGTAGAACAATGGGATACTTGACTCATCACAAGTCAGGGAGCATTACAGCTGGTATATGAACTGTTGAAAATTCTATTCACATTGAATCACAATGCACTTATTCAGGTAAGTGTTACAGTTCATTCACTGCGATAAGCCCAGAAAGCTGTCGAATTGGAGCTTTAGTCCTCCGATTGACAGACCTGACAAGTGGTGACAGAGTAGCAGTAGTGCTCACCTGCACCTCCCAGTGAAAACCACTCCAACATGTCATCAATCATCCACAGCCCATCCAGGCACTGGCATGACACCATGACCAGCCTTGGATGGTAGGCTCATCCTTGCTTATAGACACCCCGTATCCTAATCTAAAATGGCTATTGCCTCAAATCAGGTCACCCAGCAGAGACACAAAGACCATACCTAGGTGCCCAAGAGTGAAGGCACCTGAAAGGCTAGCTTATTCACTGTGGCTGCAGAAATGCACGCAAGAATAAAGGTGCAAGTCTTTGAGGTGCTATAAAATTTTTGGTTGTTTGGGACAAGGAGCATCCCTGGTTCACCGTGAGGAATCAGACCTTGCCAGCCATTTTCTCCCATCCAGCCTGAGGAAAAGGGGAAACCATCTTTAGATGCGGCCACGATGGCCAACTATCACCCAGTCTCAAATCTTCCATTCTTGGGCAAGGTGATTGAGCGAGTGGTTGCTGAACAACACCAGGCATGCCTGGAAGAAGCAGACCACTTGGATCCCTTCCAGTCGGGATTCAGGCCTCATCATGGGACTGAAACTGCCTTGGTCGCACTGGTTGATGATCTCCGGCGGGCTAGGGACAAAGGTGAGAGCTGTTTCCTAGTTCTGCTGGATCTCTCAGCGGCATTTGAGACCATCGACCATAACATCCTTCTGGACCGTCTTGAGGGGCTGGGAGCTGGGGGCACTGTTATACAGTGGTTCCGCACCTTCCTCCTGGGCCGTGTTCAGAAAGTGGTGGTGGGGGATGAGTGTTCAGACCCCTGGGTTCTCACTTGTGGGGTGCCTCAGGGTTCTGTCCTCTCCCCCATGCTTTTCAACATCTACATGAAGCCGCTGGGAGAGATCATCAGGGGATTTGGGCTGGGTGTTCATCAGTATGCGGATGATACCCAGCTCTACCTCTCTTTCAAATCAGAACCAGTGAAGGCGGTGAAGGTCCTGTGTGAGTGCCTGGAGGCGGTTGGAGGTTGGATGGCGGCTAACAGATTGAGGTTGAATCCTGACAAGACAGAAGTACTGTTTTTGGGGGACAGGAGGCGGGCAGGTGTGGAGGATTCCCTGGTTCTGAATGGGGTAACTGTGCCCCTGAAGGACCAGGTGTGCAGCCTGGGAGTCATTTTGGACTCACAGCTGTCCATGGAGGCACAGGTCATATCTGTGTCCAGGGCAGCTGTTTATCAGCTCCATCTGGTACGCAGGCTGAGACCCTATCTGCCTGCGGACTGCCTTGCCAGAGTGGTGCATGCTCTGGTTATCTCCCGCTTGGACTATTGCAATGCGCTCTACGTGGGGCTACCTTTGAAGGTGACCCGGAAACTACAACTAATCCAGAACGTGGCAGCTAGACTGGTGACTGGGAGTGGCCGCAGAGACCACATAACACCAGTCTTGAAAGACCTACATTGGCTCCCAGTACGTTTCCGAGCACAATTAAAAGTGTTGGTGCTGACCTTTAAAGCCCTAAACGGCCTTGGTCCAGTATATCTGAAGGAGCGTCTCCACCCCCATCGTTCTACCCGGACACTGAGGTCCAGCACCGAGGGCCTTCTGGTGGTTCCCTCACTGCGAGAAGCCAAGTTACAGGGAACCAGGCAGAGGGCCTTCTCGGTAGTGGTGCCTTCCCTGTGGAACGCCCTCCCACCAGATGTCAAAGAGAACAACAACTACCAGACTTTCAGAAGACATCTGAAGGCAGCCCTGTTTAGGGAAGCTTTTAATGTTTGATGTATTATAGTATTTTGGTGTTTTTTTGGAAGCTGCCCAGAGTGGCTGGGGAAGCCCAGCCAGATGGGCGGGGTATAAATAATACATTATTATTATTATTATTATTATTATTATTATTATTATTATGTAATTTTCTTGCCCCCTGCTTCTCCATTTAAAATTGCTTCCCACATGGTTTCTCTCCCTCTAACACACACACTTGGAATCCTCCCACCCAGGGTAGACTGGAGAGCCGTCTGAGGCTACAAGCAGAGGCTTGTAGTCAACCTTAGTCCTACTCAGAGCAGACCCATTGAATTTAATGGGCATGACTAACTTCCGTGGGACTGCTCAGTCTATCATGAGTTGGTTTACTGGTGTTTAAATATCTAATTTGGCCCTGAGTGGCTAACAGGGGTGCTGCTGGCAATATTAAGGATCTCTGACCCTTCCTCTTAATGTGTGCATGTGTGTGTGTAAACCGCAGTGCCAATGAGACCTCAACTACCTGCCATTTCTTGAGCGGCTGCATATTTCTGCAGAAAGGAGAGGAAGAAAAGGCTAATTGCTTGTTTCCATTTTAATTTATACTTTAATTACCCCTTGTCAAGCTTGTCCTTGACCTTCCCAACCAGCGTCTCACAAAAAAAAACATACATATGCAGGCACAAACAAAAACTTTCTCAAGATCTGTGCTTTGCTGGTAATTCAGCAAGGGAAGGATCTCCTGTGCAGTGCCAGGGCTCATCCATACTTCCACTGGTCTCATGCGTAGAAAGCAGGGGCTCAAGTGGTTTCTCCCTTGCCCCACTCTTTTCCAAGAGAAAATTCACTCTTTAGCTTTAAATCAGTACAAATGGCAAACTGCAGAAAACCTGGCTGCTGTTTGCTCTGATTGAGCATTAAAGAATGGTTTTCCCAGGGCAAAGCAGTGGGATAAGGGGAAATGTGGATGAGCCCCAAGATTTTTCATTCAAAGTGCAACACACAACAGAGTGTCTTGTGCCCTTGGAAAGATGATTTTTCTGGGTGCTTCTTACATCGTGCATCCAAAATCCAAAGGAGTTCAATGCTCCTGAAATCCATGGGGGGAATTCAATAAGGTGGGATTTGAGCCCCACATTGAACAAAAGGTTCCTGCATTGCAGGAGGTTTGATTAGAAGACCATTGTAATCCCTTCCAACTTTTCAGTTCTGTGAATTTATCGTTCTATTTTCCAGGATGACTGGAGGTATTGTGAGTTGTAATCCAGCAACGTCAAGAGGGCACCATGTTTGTTGCTCACACAAACGCTTAACATTTATTTAGGACTTGTTTTTTGCATCTCCTTATCGATTCAGACAGGGACGCGGGTGGCTCTGTGGGTTAAACCACAGAGCCTAGGACTTGCCGATCAGAAGGTCGGCGGTTTGAATCCCCGCAACAGGGTGAGTTCCCGTTGCTTTGTCCCTGCTCTTGCCAACCTAGCAGTTC